CTCTTCGTTGGCTTCACTCTCATCTGTACTCCTCGTCTTCATCATTGCATTCAGGTGACAAGTCCACCGTGCACCACGCCGTCTACGGCGGCATCAGAGACATCACATGCAAGTACCGAGGCGCGAACACGAGAAGCCTCAAGCGCCGCTGTGGACCGTAGCTCTTCCCCATCAATCGTCCAAACTCGGTCTCCACGTCGAACACACCTTGCACGAGTGGCGCAGTGGCAACCACATCCCAAGAAGAGAAAATCGTCTAAGTCCACCCAATGAGGAAACAGCTTGCTTACTAAGTGTTTAGAAAAAAAAATCGTCCCGGGCGTTTGTCAATCGAAATAAACCTTGAATGACCATTGATCAATCGGAACTTGTCTTGTCCATCTGCTTCTACCCACCAAGTTGTCTCATTGCTTCGCTGACTCGTCTTATGGCGCTGCCATTTGACATACCAATCAGAGCCATGTAGCCCTAGAGAGTCAAAGCCAAATAAGTTTCGTATGGAAAAGAAATGGGATTTATTTCAAAATAAATGATTTTCTGGTCTTTGGGCTGCTATGGCATCCACAGGAAGCGTATGAACACAAGAGCACCCTCGTTTGATCCGCAAAAATTTAGCGCTTCTGCTGTGCTTGATTTGAAACGCACAGCAGACAGAATCGCCGAGCACGACCCGAAATACTGACTGCCAATTAATCGCACCTGCCTCAATCCCAAGAGCAATATGTTGTTACAAAAAGGGAATACATATGTTACTTTCAAGGAGGTGACCGAACTATCCCGCTGAACAACATATTAAGGTACATTCAGCAGACGGACGCCATCTGACATCTGACATCTGATATCTTGTTGATTTCGCTGACAATTTATAGAGTATGGTCACTGATTTCGATTATATGTTATCATGACTGATTTCGTGGCTTTATGCACACGTGCATCTTTGCAAGGCAACTGCAAGCACACGCTGACTTACTTTGGAGCTTGCGTGACTCTTACCCCACACACACACACACACAGATGTGGTGCTACCATATGTTAGATCGAGCCAGGATCACATTGCCGCCCTTTAGAAGAGAGAGAGAGAGAGAGAGAGAGAGAGAGAGAGAGAGAGAGAGAGAGAGAGAGAGAGAGAGAGAGAGAGAGAGAGAGAGAGAGAGAGAGAGAGGGCAACAGGCGCAAGTCACTCGCTTCGACGTTTTTCCGGCTCAAGCAGCCATATCACTTGCCCTGGTTCAATTTGGGTCGCGGTCTGCTGAGGCCGACTTGATACAGGTACACAGACGAACAGAGTTGGAGCTGGAGTCAACTTGACTGGCCCGTACGCCCCGGCGCGACTTTTGATTCAAAGCCAACTGGTAGGAGCATCTTCCTTGTCCGCATGTGGTCTGCCCACGTTTGCCACGCGTATCTGGAGGTCTCCCGCTGGACCGCCTGCAGTCGTCGTGTCCAGGGCGCTCTTTGCTGCGCAGCGCAAAGGGGGGCACGAGCCTGGCTCTGTGCGCGTGTGGGTTTATCCCTGTTTGTTTTTCTCGGTCAAGTGTTGGCCTGCGAGTGTCGTTGTCCATCGCTTTTCTCCTCCTTGTCTCAGCTACACTACTCGTGTTTTTGGCATGTGTGTGTGGTCTCTCTTCTCGAGTTGCCACGACCTTGCACCCCCGCTCCCACATCCAATGATCTCTCTGTCTCAGTCGTGTGATGCGTCTTCTTAATGTTTGCCCTGACATGTATCCCTCTCTCATTTTTTCACATCCGAATGGTAATGATCCCCTTCCTTGCTCGATCCGCGTGTAGCCCTCCACCTCTCCTGCGAGGCAAATTTGCTTTCCTGGTCCTGCCCCGCCGCCCCTCTTTTTCGGCGGTTTCTGGCGAGGTAGGCTCTCAGTACTTGCTCTAATCATTTCTTCTCCTTCCCCTCGTTTGCCCCTGCTCAGCCTCGCCTGCTTCTTTTTTAATGCGTGTTGCTCTATCTTTCTTCGCACGTGTTGCTTGTGGTGCTGGCACCGTCTCACTCGGGACCATTGGCTCCCCCCCGGCGCGTTCTTCTTTGCGTAGAGCTGAAAACGAAATGACTTGAACCCTTTGGTTTTTGGGCCCCCGATCTTGCCATGTCGCTGTTTCGCAATGCCAGCCGCCTCGTCGGCTCTGGCCGCGCTGCCAGCTGCTTGGTGGCTACGGGTCGCCAGATGATTGTTTCGAACGCACGCTTGACGCCCACGGCCCCGACGTTGCTTCGCTTCACACCCGTTCGCGTCGCATTGCGACCCAACTCGAGCTGGGTGCCGCAATGGTCAGCTCGACCGGCCGTGCTGCCCGTCGCCTCTGTGCCGCTGGCCACGGCCTGCTTCGCCCTGCGTAGCCTCGTCCCCATCGCACAATGCTCCCCTGCGGCAGAGCAGCCCGCCATCACCCGCAACGTGGCCACCCTCAGTCAGACCATGGACCACCTGAAAGGTACGACTTTGTTCCTCCGCTGTCCTTTTGGATCAGCTAGATCCGATCGTTTCTCATCTCTCCGCGCCTCTGGCTTGTGTACACAATAGAGGAGAAGGTGTTGCGCCGCTTATTTCGCATCTTTAGTCGTGCTCTTCGCCACATCTTGCTCTTCACCCCCGTACGTGTCTTTGGTCGTGAGCCCCGGCAGACATGGTGAGCCCAAGCTCTCAGTATCCGTGACACTCTCATTGAACCTCTTCCCCACCCCTGATGGGATGACTCTAGGTGTTGTGTGCCTTTCCGTTCGCCTATCTGCTGAACCGAGTCGGTTTTATCTGGAACGGCTGGTGGTCGTGGTTTCTGTGGACCATTCAAGTGTCTGGCCCAACCTTTATCAAGTTTGGCCAGTGGGCCTCATCGCGCCGCGATCTTTTCTCTGTCGAAGTTTGCAACCGCTGTGCTCAGCTGCACGCATCTGTCATGCACCACACCGTGGCTGAAACCGAGGTACGTTTAGAGGGCAGGTTGGCCCAAAACTCAGTTACTCCCTCTCCCTGGTACAGCTTTGCCAGCTCCACCTGCTTACCATGCCGATGCTGGCAGGCCACCTTGGACGAGTCCTTTGGCGTCGGCTGGCGTGACATTATGGTCCTGGAGCCCATTCCCGTGGGATCGGGCTGCGTCGCCCAAGTCTACCGTGCTCATCTCAAGCACCCATCTGGCAAAGGCCCCTCGGATGTGGCCGTCAAGGTCATTCACCCCCAAGTTCAAAAGCAGGTTATCGACGATGTGGACCTGCTGCGCTTTGTGGCCAAGGCGATTGAGCTGATCCCCATGCTGCGATGGGTCTCGGCTCGGGATGGTGTGGAAGAGTTTTCGCGCTCCATGACCGAGCAGCTCGACTTGCGCAACGAGGGCTACAACATGCTGCGCTTCCAGGAGAACTTTAAAGGTAAGCACTCAATTGTGACTGGTGATAGCGCCTGCACGTGCTTGTTGGCGAACCCGATGGTCCTCGCCATGGTCTGTTGCTGTTCTGATTTTGATTTCGCACCTCCTTTACCTGCCTGATGACAGATGTGTCGGACGTGATTGTTCCTCGCGTTATTCCTGAGCTGACGAGCGAGAACGTTTTGGTGGAAACATACGAGGAGGGCCAGCCGATGCACGTCATGTTTGATGGCGACGAGAAGTTGCGTCGACGCTTGGCGCGTCGTGGTCTGGAGCTCTTTTTCAAGATGATGTTCAAGGACAACTTTATTCACGGTGATTTGCACCCGGGCAACATGCGCGTGACTGGTGTGGACGAGCATGGTCAGCCCACGGGCGAGCCCGTGAAGATTTTGTTGCTTGATGGCGGCATCATCACGGAAATGACTCGTCGGGATCGCGCCAACTTTATCGACTTGTTTGGTGCCATTGTACACAAGGACGGCCGGGAGTGCGGTCGTCTGATGCTGAGCCGTGCCCGCCTCCACGATTGCGATGATCCTGAGGGCTTCATCTCCTCCGTTGACAAGCTTGTGCGCACCGCGTGCGACATTACCGATGCCGGGTTTCGCGATCTGAACGTGAGTGGGTCGTCGTCCTCCTCCTCCTCCCGACCTGACCCTGTCTACGAGGGCGAGCGGTTGGGTCTCGACACGAGTTGTTTTGTCGCGGTGTCAGCTGTCCATCTGGATGCGGGTGGGAATGACGCTCCTGGATGGCGCTCTGACTGACTCCTTTTTCACCTTGCTTTTTCCCCTGGGCGTTTGCCGCTGTCGCAGTCGGGCATGCGCCTCAACAAGGTGCAAGTCGGCGAGCTTCTACAACGAGTGCTCACGCTGATGTGCCAGTACCGGTTCGTTATTGGCCATGTTTTTTTTTTTTTTTTTTTTTTTTTTTTTTTTTTTTTCTTTTTGCCTGTACCTGTGATCAAGGTACCAATGCGCTGCACTGATGCCGATGGCTTGTCGTCTTGTGCGGTTCAGGGTGAAGATTGAAAGCAACTTTACCAATGTTTTGATTGGCATCATGGTGCGCGATTACTGAACGGTTTTTGCTGTCCGCTCTTGGCTTGCCTCCGTCATGATATCAAGGCAGAGAAGAGAAAGGGGCTGCGGCGGGGTATGGGAACGTGCTCGCCACTCACTCACTGTTTTTGCCGTCTCCGTGAACGATCTTCAGGTGGCTGAGGGCGTTGGCCGAGCACTGGATCCTGAAGTCGATTTGATGGTGTTGGCAGGACCCATCCTGCTGAAGGAAAAGGCCAAGATGGCACTGTTAGGCCAAATGCACTAGTTTTTTTCACCTGCCCCTCCGCCCCATCTGGCGTGTTGCATGTTTGTGTCTTCCCGAATGTTCGCGTTCTTTGTTGCATGTTTCCTGTGTTTGTTCTTACGGGAAATGCGATCTACCCGCCCAACGCCACAAATTGATTGTGGAGCTTGTTCATGGTTGGCCTCTTGACGCCTCTTCAAGCTGAAGGGGGCCTTGAGTGTGAGGTTTTTTGAGAACAAGGTCGTCTTGATGCGGGTGCCGTGGCTGTTCTGTGGGACCGCGGGGTTGATTTCTTGGTAAAAACGGGCATGGTCGACGCAGCGGGGCAACCTGACAGCCCACTTAGTTAGCACGAGAGGAGTGACAGAAGTTGTTGGGGGGTGGGGGGTGAAGAGGGTTTGACTTTTTCAGAATCGAACGGCGAGCCCCCCAAACCCACAACAACACATCCATCCAGCAGCTCAGATGCCATGTGATGTGACATTCATGCAACCGCCCCATCACCCTAACGTCGAGGAAGCATCCCGACCTGACTGGAACGTGATGGACTTACCCACACTTTATCTCATCAAAGCGTGACTTTATCCACACTATGAAGTGTCAGCCAAGCCGGAGGTTGACGGAGTTACGGTTGTGGAATTACTTCCCGCGACCCAAACGGCAGCGCCCTCCAAGCAGTACACGCTGCTTGACCGGAAACGAACCAACAAAAAAGGATAAAAGGATAGAAAGGAAAGCGGAACTTGGGTGTGCGTGCATCTGCGCAGGGTGCGTGCTTGTTCTGGGCCGCATATCTCTTGCGAACCCCAGACTTCCAACCATTTGACCTTGCTGGCAGAGATTGCACCACTGAATCTCTCTTTCTCTCTCTTTCTCTCGCGACTTTCTCTCTCTTAATACTTTTCTCTTCTCTCTCTCTCTCTCTCTCTCTCTCTCTCTCTCTCTCTACTTTCTCTCTCTACTTTCTCTCTCTACTTTCTCTCTCTACTTTCTCTCTCTACTTTCTCTCTCTACTTTCTCTCTCTACTTTCTCTCTCTACTTTCTCTCTCTACTTTCTCTCTCTACTTTCTCTCTCTACTTTCTCTCTCTACTTTCTCTCTCTACTTTCTCTCTCTACTTTCTCTCTCTACTTTCTCCATCTCAGTCTCTCTCTCACTTCATCTCTCTGTCTCCCTGTCTCTCTCTCTCTTCATCTCTCTGTCTCTCTCTCTCTCTCTGTGTTGCGCGTTTCTCAATTTCGATCAAGCCAGGTTGATCGCGCGCACACACGTCAGGCGACCGGTGACCTGTGAATGCATTCACGGTGAGTTGGCAGTGCCTCGGGCACACGGTTTGATCATATCCTTTTTACATGCCTACCCCCTTCCTCGTTGAGCCATCCCTCCCTGTGAGATCTGCTATCAATGTGCACAGCAAAAGCCATTGCCAACTTGTGATCACCATCACGACCACCATCGCCTGATGCACTCCAAGCGCTCGCCAGCCCTCGTACTTTGCCAGACAAGGGTGTGGGGAGAAACCCGACTCAATCGCTCACACTCCTCTGCTTTCCATGTTGAATCCCTCTATTCCTCCCGTCGAGCAGCAAACTCTTTGTCCCTCCTACAACCCATCATTCGCGCACACACCGTTGCGACCGACCAACGCACACATCCGCTCACACAAACCCACTTGCTGGCAATTCCCTGTTGGCGGTCCCGCCTGCACCCCGACTCCTCTGATCCCTTGCCCTGTTGTGTGTTGTGTAACCTTCCGCCTCCCCATCTCTGTAGCTTTCAGTCTGCTGAAAACGGCAGCGCCCGCGTTGAATAGCTTACTGCCGTCATCATCCTGTTCTGACTTGCCATCCTTTCTTCGACCGGTTGACAAGTGGCCTCGACGAGCGTGTGCGAATTCTGAACAGTTTTTCAGTTGGACTCATTCGCCGTCTTCGACGGCCGCCGCCTCCTCTCCCTTGTGGCCAACTGTTCATCTGCTCTTCCCTCCTGCCCGTGGCCCAGGCACCCATTGCCGCCTCAAATCCTTGTAGCGGCTCTGGCGCCCGGGCTCGCTCAAAGTCATCCTCCTCGCCACGCTTCTGCCACGACACAACTTTTGCCGCTCACTCAAGCCTCCTCCAGCGGCGCTCCCATCAGCGCGCCGCCATGGCCAAAAGCGCCACCTCCGAGTCAGGCCCTGGCCGCGACTTGCCACATGTGCGCAGCAGCGCCAAACGGTCGCCGGTCGCCTCAGACACGTCCGCAGCCCCCGTTCTACCCCACGAACGCTTCTGCCAAACCGACCTTCCGCCTGCGTCGACGAGTGGATATGCTCCCGCCATGTCGCCCGAGTACAGCCAGCTGCTCTGGTGTAACTATGTGCAATGGCTCACTGCCCTTCAGCAGCAGCTCCTTCAGGCCCAACTCTACCAGCACCAGCAGCACCAGCAACAACACCAGCACCACCAGTATCAGCAGCATCAACAACAACATCAGCAACAGTTTCAACAGCAGCAGCACCACCACCACCACCAGCAACACCCTCAGTCCCAATATCCGCATTCTCAGCCCTACCTACAATCCAAGCAACAGTCGCCATTATCGCAGCCCCCACAGCACAGCCAACAACAGCCTTCTCAACAGAATCGCCAACCGCAGCCCACCCCTCCCACACATCCCGCCATGTTTGCGCAATTCCCCTCCGCCTCAAACTTCACGCTTGGCCAACCACATGCCCCAGGCTCGACATCCACGACGCCCTCCTTTGCGCCTCATCTTCCGCCTCATGCCCCCCTCTTCATGCAACAACAAATGCAGCAACAACATGCCGCCGCAGTAGCCGCCGCCGCTCGCGGCTACACTTACCGGCCCGGTTCGCAACGTACCCCAGACTCTGGGGGGGGACCCCATGATCACGATCAGGACCGAGGCCGCAGTCGCAGCCGCAGCCGCAGCCGCAGCCGTGGACGCGAACGCGAACGCCATCTTGACCAAGTCGCCGCAGATGACGCTGCAATGGACACTACAGACACCAATCCACCTCTTGATCACAGTCGTGACCGGGGCCGTGCTCGAACCCGAGCTCGCGCTCAACTGACAACTTCGGCAGATGCTGAAGTCTCCAGACCTGATGACGCTCGCCCCACGCTGGCACCAGGCACCGCACAACGTGCCCACTCTCGCCAGCAACTCCCAAGCTTTCCAGCCACGACTCCACATACAGCTGGACCCCCAGCACACCCGGCATCGGCACAAGGCCCAGCTGACGCGCACGAGCCGGTCCGCTTAGCCACCAAGGCGCTAGCCCAAGGCCCTGGGACCCGCGCCAAGGTTGCATCCGAAGACAATGACGCTGACAGCGAGGCCGACGAACCCGCGGCTGCGGCCCAGTTTCCAGAACCCCTAGCGCCACACGTCCAATCTCAATTGGAGAACGCTCGGGGGCAGAGCCGCACACGAAGCCATCTGCGGACGAAGAACGCGGCACATGGCCGCAGCCGTAGCAGCAGCAGCAGTGGTGGCGAGCGCGAGCATCAGAATGACCGTGACCGTGAACGTGAACGAGATCGCGACCGGAATCATGAACGAAGCCGCAGCCGCAGTCGCAGTCATGGCCGCAGCCGCAGCCGCAGCCACGGTCGCAGCCGACGTCACCACCATCACCACAAGAATGACGCAGGGGCCTCCAACCCGATGCCCTCAACCAAGCGCAATGCAGCCACAACAACCGCGCCTGTTCCCATGCCCATGGGCCAGTTGTCACCTCAGCAAGCCCAGCAACTTCTCTTTCAATTGCATCCCTTGCAAGCGCCATTCGCCGCCTCCCACTCGGGCATGCTACCCACAGTCCCAACCTCGCTTGGCCCCTCACCCATGATGACGTTTGGCACGCCAGGCATGCCGCCGGCTCCTGCGCCAGCTCCACCTGGCGTCTATCAGCCATGGGCCACCCAGCCCTTTCCCATGGCATCACCATATGAACCTGCGGCCACCATGGGTGTACCGGGTCAGGCTGCTGACCTCGAGCCTCAGGTAGAGAGCACCCCGCTGGATCAAGCCGGCATGTCTGCTGCCAAGCATCATGCGTACAAGCGCCGCCAGCGTGATAAGGCCGGTGAATCAGATGCCTCGGGCCATGGCAGTAAGCGCGTCAAGGCTGATTCTGGCATTTCTGCTTCAACAATGACGGGCTGGATTTCTCTAGCGCACTTTAACGATGAGCAGTTGCACGAGTACACTCGCCGACTTGCCTGCCACCGCCCAATTGGGACTGTCAACTGGATTTGCGACTGGGTTTCAGGGGTGCGCCAGCCCGAACCGCAGGAAAAGGATGCCTTTTTTGCTCAGAAGGTCGAGCTGTTCATGCCCAACATTGAGGCCTTTTCATCGACCATGTCACATGCCGGGACGCACACAGTCGAAGAAGGTGACTCAGCCCGCGACGACAAGTCCCCAGCAGGCGATCAGGCTGAACAGCTTGATGCAGAAGAGACAGCGCCCAAGTCGCACTACAACCACAGTCCCAGCCTCGACTTGAGCCGCAACGTTCGTGAGGTCACCAAGCGCTCACTAGCCCTGCGTCAGGCCAGCACGCAGAACTCAGCCCAACCACCAACAGGACCAGGCACTGCCGAGGACAACGCAGGCAAGCAAGCTTCGCCGCGTGCTGCAGCAGTGTCGAACACAGCTGACCTTGTGGCTTTGCCGTCAAAAGCATCCACAACAACCGCCATGGAGCCAGAGGCCGATGCTGCCGCTCAACAGCCCGAGGCCATTACTCAAGTGAGCCCCGACGCCAAAGACCCGGCGCATCGCGAGGAAGCTCTTGCAGCTGGCGGTGGGTCGTCTCGTGATGTCATGGCGCATGGTGACGGGCCCAAGGAGTCTTCGCAAAGCAGCAAGACCGAGCCCGGTGATGAGGCCGAAATGGACGCATGCAGCGACTCGAACGAGCATCGGGGCGAACCGGGCAGCCTGCAGTTTCGGTCATTCACGCAGCTGGCCAAGCGTGAGCGTCATCGCGAGCTGTTGATGGATACCCAGCGTCTTGACGATAACATTGCGTATTTGGCGTCGAAGGAAACACGCTTGCAGCGCCGCCTTCGTCGACTGGAGGCCAAGGTGCTCGACCGCTTCAATGCTGGATCTCCGCTCGAAAGTCCAGCCTGCACGCCGCGACCTTCGCCCACTACTGCCGGCAACGTTCTGGCATCATCCGCCGTGCACTGATGTTGAATTCGCGATGATTGTGTAAAGAACCCCTCTTTGGTGTTGAGTGAGATGGATGTTCGTGTTCATTACTTTTCCTTTATAGAATGTTAGCTCTTTAGAGTTGTGTGATGTGCTCCTTCCTGGTGCGGGGCAATAGAGTGTGTGCGATGTTGGCGCTGTGCTTTCGAGGCACTGAGCATTGAGCGCAGTGTTTTAACTTTGTTCGTTTGAGCTATCCCCACTCTTGAAGAACAGCGTGATTTGTGAGCGACATGATTTTTCCTTTACTTGGTCTTTGACGACCATCGTTGAGCTGCAGATGGGTCTGCGACCCCTGCTCTTGATCGTTTGTGATGCAACCAAAATTTTAAAAAAAAAATTGAAATGAAACATCTTTCAAGCATACCCTATTTATTGCAGTGCCACGCTTGCGTCTCATTAGTACAAAGCGCGGGCGGGCGAGGTGTGGTTCTCAATTTCAAGTAAGCGGCTGGGTTTGAAAGGCGCGAGCCCTGAGCTTCTCAGAGCGCCATTGGAAGGCCGATGGATGAATGAAGCGTGACTGCGTAACGCTCTACTTGCGACGCCCCCATGCAGTCTTGTCGGCACGCACTTTGGCCAGAGCTGCCACTGGGTCTGAACCCCAACCCCAACCACAAACGCATGCATGAGCAACTGACCACAACCCCCGCTCCCAGGAAAGGATGTGCAGAAGAATGGTGGCTTGATATGGTTGACAAGGCAAGATGCCGCACCTGTTGTATCCGCATACTGAAGCACGGTTTGCTGGGTGCAGCGTACAAAAGGGTTGGTGGCCTTCTCCGCACCTACTGTCGTTGGCACTGTGTACTCATGTGCCTGCCAGGTGCAAAGCCAAATGCAGTCAATATGGGAAATAGCATGCATACACAACCGCTGGAAAGGCTGTGTTCATGTGTGTATGCTGCGACGGCCGAGGCTGTACCTCGCGGCGAGCACGGGCCCATGCCAGCCGATCTTGCACTTCCTGGCTATCAGGCTCGACCGTGGTCGCAAAAAGCAGGTTCTTCACAGTGTATTCGTGTCCAACAAAGAGCTGAGGTCAAGACAAACGGTGTTTGGAGTGAGCAGAGCCAAACAAGGGCGCCCATGCGCTTCAGAGGGCAATGGCGGGGAGGTGAGGGATCAGTTCAACTTTTTGATCAAACTCACCTGGCTATCATCAGGTAGCGCACAGATCTTGTCCACCAAGGCCGTCTTCATTTGTTGGGCAGTTCCCGAGTTGAAATTGCCACATCCCGCAACGAAAAGCCTGAGCCGCCACGCCGAGGCCATGGACCAAGCACGGTATACAGAGGCAAGAGGGATTGATGCTGTGAGTCGGATGTTGCAAAACATGGACCACAGCCTGGCCGTGTGAGAGTGCGCGTGAGTGCGTGGGCGTGCCGTACGTGTCGCCTGTAAACGCGGCCGCTGGCTGATCGGCATGTCGAGCCACAAAGGTGACATGTCCAGGCGTGTGACAGGGAGTCTCAAGGACTGTGATTTCTGTTTCACCCAGAGTCAGCCGTGTGGCTTCGTTGACCTAGAACGCAAGGAGTGATGTCAAATAACTAATTCACATCTTCATCAACCAAAAACAGTGATCACAACGCCGGGCGCAGGCACGGGGCTGACCTCCTCGTCGACGGCCTCGGCATTGTCGCCCTGTCCTCCATAGATCCGAACGCTGGGGGCCTATGCAGCGCGACGGCAGATTAGGTCTTTCGAGAAGAAGGGCTTGTTCATCGCTGTGCAGCGCTGCCGAGCCAAACACACTTGAACTCACCAGCTGTTTGAGCTGACCATTGCCTCCAGCGTGATCCCAATGGCTGTGCGTGGTGAGTGCCATGACAACCTGGACGCCGTGCTTTTTAGCTTCGTCCAACAGCTGACCACGAGGGGCGCCAGAAGCATATCAGCCGTGAGTTTGAGCCACCGCACAAGAGCCTGGTGGGCGCCATCGCTGCGTTTACAAGCGCAAATGGCACGGTCATCTGCTCACCATCCCAACGCACCTTCTGCGGCTCGACGGGGTCAACGACGGCCGCGAGCCGGGATGCCTGGTCAATCACAAGGTAGCTATAGTTGTCCTCAAGGACCGGTACGATCACGACCTCCATCTTGGCCACTAGTTCCAGTTCCAGTTCCAGTTCCAGCTCCAGCTCCAGCACCAGCTCCAGCTCCAGCTAGCTCCAGCTCCAGTTCCAGTTCCAGTTCCAGCTCCAGCTCCAGCTCCAGCTCCAGCTCCAGTTCCAGTTCCAGCTCCAGTTCCAGCTCCAGCTCCAGCTCCAGCTCCAGCTCCAGTTCCAGTTCCAGTTCCAGCTCCAGTTCCAGGTTCAGTTCCAGCTCCAGCTCCAGCAGCTCAAAGTTGTGGAGCTCTTCTTTGTCAGATGTCAGATGTCAGATGTCAGACGTACAATTCAGAGAAAAAAATTTACCGGCAATCAGTGAGACGAGGAAAGAAGCTGGGGAGCTGGAGAGCTGGAGAGCTGCTGGAGGCACCATGGCGGCGGCAGCACCACCTGAGATTGAATATGCCAAATCAAACCGGTGCGGATGAGTCGCTTGGAGGATCGTCTTTTTGATGGGACTGCTGGTGATGCATGGTGGTGACTCGCCCCTGCTACGTCTTGCAGGTCATCATGCCGACTGTGCAAGCAAAAAATTGGCAAGGACACGATTCGAGTAGCCATCATGGCGCAGTCCTCGCACGTCAGTCTCTCGCGCCCGTCTGTCTTGACGCATGCGCGCACACACTCATGCATGCCCGTGGCCCTGATCAAACCCGCCACGCCCTGCGAACATAGTTTGATGGTTTGGAGCCCAGATGGCACCACGAAAGCTGCTTCTTCGAGCGTCAGCGCACAGTCAAGGTGACGAGTGCTTTGGGGCTGAATGGCTTCGAGGCTTTGCGGCCGGATGACCAGGCTCGCATCAACCAGCACTTTTCTGGAAAGAAAAAGCCCAAGGCGCAAAAGGCCAAGACAGCACAACGTGGTAAAGCAGTGGCTTCCACCACGGTGGCCGTCGCTGTCAGCAGTGATGAGCCTCCTCCCACTTGCCCTACCTTGGCTGTTGAACACGCCAAGAGCGGGCGTGCTGCCTGTCGCGCCTGCGAAGAGAAGATTGCCAAAGGCGACTTGCGCTTTGCCGTTTTGTGCGAGGCAGAACCAGGTGAGTTTGACACACGTTGCTCTTCCGTCTCTGGGTTATCCTCAACCCTGTGGGTCCAAGCTCATCGCGCGTCACTGCGGGATGGATAGGTTCTCGATACCGTGGGCCCGTTCCTCGATGGTATCACAAGGACTGCTTCATAGACGGTCCGTATTTACCACCTCTGCCAAATTGTCTGCTCTCTCTTCAGGCACTCGACACTCGCCATTCACTCGTGCTTTGTTCACAGGCCTCGAGAATCACCCCGATGTGCCTCTGGAACTGATCGAAGCCAAATGGCTCACGAACATTACACTTCTCGGTACACGTGCCAATTCAATCAGTCACCCCGCTCTGGTGGAACCCCGCCCCCCTTCACCGATTCTGGATACGGGTCCTGATAGAGCCTGACGAAGTCAAGGACATCGATGACATGTTCGATGAGGCCCGCAAGGACAAAGGCCTCGCCAAACTGCCGCAGAATAAGCGGGTGAGCCATGCGTTTGGGAATGTTCCCAATACGGCCAGACCATCCCCGATCAGCCGACTCAACTGGGGGTCCAAACGGCTTGCCTATATTCCACCTGTAGGCCAAACGCGCCGAGGACCGTGCCGAAGTTGCTGCGACCGCAGCTCTCCTCTCTTCTGAAGCAGAGAACCAAGCAAAGCTGCAGGCGCAGAGCAAGGCTGTCTGGGAGGTGTGTCGCCTCACGCCGCGCGGGCCATCGTTTCAAGCCATAATGGCTTGATTCAAAACTAGTAGCACTCATCTCACCACGGGCTTGCTTCAGGTGCGAGATCAATTGGACGCCAACTTGACCACAGCCGATTTGGTGGAGTTTCTGGATTTGAATGGTCTTCATACCAACGGCGGTCGCCCCAAGCTCCTGGTGTGAACCCCTTCTTTCACGATCTCACCTTTCGCCGACCCACACAAGCCTTGCTCTCCTTCTCATACATAAAGTGACGCGTTGTTCTTGACCCAATTGTCGTGGACGTTGGACTTGCAGGAACGGGCCGCGGATGCCATGTACTTTGGCACACTACCAGCTTGCGATATATGCAAGGAGACCGAGTGGCATTACACGCGCGAAGGTTACGCCTGTCATGGCGACGTGGATGAGTGGACAAAATGCAACGTCGTTACTCAAGAGCCAAAGTTCAAGAAATGGTGGGTCGCTGCGCCCTCAAACCGTCACATCCCGATCTTTTCTGCGTCCAAAAGTGCTCACGCGAAGTGTAACAATGCAAATGTGCTTGACTTGGTGTGCTTTGAACCGCAGCAAACTCACCGCCGCCGTCAAGGCGATCCCCGTCCTTGGAAAGACAAAATGGACCGCCAAGCAGCGCATCTTTCCTGCGCCCCGCCCAGACACCGAGTGCGTAGTCTCAAACAGATGCTTCACCTCTATCCATTCATATCTAGTGACCCGCCTTTGTGCAACGCAACGACTGACTCATGACGACTTCTGGGGTGCATATTATGGAACACAAACACATGATTTGAAAAATAAAACGAAAAATCCATAGAGTGGTGGCGTTCACTCGTAAGCAACCCAAGGTTCGTTTGTGGAAATGCTGTTGTCAAGGATCAACTCAGTGTCTTGCATTCCTTGCCAATTCTTTGTCGGCTCTTCTGGCTCACTGTATATTTCCCTGCCTTACCGTGACGGGATTCGGCTTCTACCAGGCCAAAAAAGCAAAATCTGAGGCATCTGCTTCAACGAGTAAGACACTCTTGGTCAAAGGCCGTTGCGCTGTGGACGATGCCGTTGAGTGTGGAGAAGCTTACACCGTTGTGGACGACGGTAAGCGTTCGCACCTCAGGCGTGCCTCCCGAATCCATCATCCAATGGTGAAAGAGAGAAACTCATGCCTTGTTGATATGAGCGCAGGAACTGTCTGGAACGCCTCCATGACGTTGGTGGACAACAAAACTGGAACCAACAGCTTTTACAAGCTGCAGCTTTTGCAACATGATGCAAGCCGTGCCTATTATCTCTTCCGCGCCTGGGGCCGTGTCAATACAGAGCGTGGTGGCTCCAAGCTGCAGTCTTGCCATGGTTTATCACAAGCCAAGACCGCTTTTCAAGACCTCTTTCAGGAAAAGGTCCGGCATCTGGTTTTGGTGGTTGTTTTTCGTTTTTTTTTGTTTTTTTTGTTTTTCGTTTGTTTGTTTTGAGTCTTATTTCCAGGGAGCAGGTCAAGCTGACTGGAGCATTGTCATGCCGGGAACGTTGCCCCTCGAGCGCAGTCAGGCAACGTTTTTGGGGAAACGCCTTATCAGAAGGTGCCAAACCACTTTTTCCCCTTGGACGTGCAATATGCTGGCACTAGCGGGTCAGTTTGCAAGCCACGCCCCACCCGACACGATCGCGTTGTGTGCCTGAAACATGCTTGACGGATGATGTGCTTCGCAGATCCAAAGCTGGCTTTGGTGAGACCTCAACCTTGCCAAAGCCAGTCCTGGAGCTCCTCCGACTCATTGGTGATGAAAAGCTCATGAGCAATGCCTTGCTGGAAATGAGCATTGATACGACCAAAATGCCCCTTGGCGCTCTCTCAAAACGGTGGGTACAGAATTCAAGCACCGATATGTTTTATGTTCATACGCCTTGTGTTCACGTGTTTTTGCGCCGCCGACAATGTCTTGTCCCCATACAGGCAATTGCAAGAGGCCTATAGTGTACTGACCACCATCTCCGAGCTTCTTGAGGCTGATCTCTCACAGAGCGAGCTGGTATTGCCCGCCTCCCCTCCTCTCTTGCAAGCCAGCATGACACCTCGTGGTAGTTTGAACTGAATTATTAATGCCTTTCTTGGCCGGGATGGTGTGTGCCCTAAATCTGCAGGAGCTACGCTTGAGCTCAGCCACCAACCGGTTCTACACGCTCGTGCCACACGATTTTGGCGAAGACCGCCCTCCGCTCATCGATTCCGTGGTTTGTTGGTGCTTCCATTCTCGAACCTTCTCCCTGATGGCAGCTTTCACCTCAATCCCTTTTGATCTCATACGCTCATACGTTGACAACCAGGTGGCAATTCGGGAGAAAACTGCTTTGGTGGAAACACTGATTGAGATGGCAGTTGCCATGGCCTTGCTGCGCGGCACAGATGCAGAGACAGGCGCGTCAGATCCTGCTGATGCTCTCTATGCGCGCTTGCACACAAAGATGCAACCTCTCGAGAGCTCCTCGGATATCCATAAGATGATTTGCGTAAGCTGGCATGCCATTCCTACCGTGTCATCTGTGACTTGTTTTGCTCGTTTCCTCTCATACTCCTGACTTGCCTTGTGATAGAAATACATTCGCAATACACACGCCGCCACGCATCGCTCCTACAAATTGCGTGTGGATGAGGTACTTTTTGCCTCTTCAGTCGTTGGAGTCACATTTTCGAAGTTCTTCAATGGTCTTTCTCATTGGACCATGACCTGGCGTGCATAGGTGTTTGAAATTGCACGGGAGGGCGAAGCTGAGCGTTTCCAAGAAAAGTTTTCACATGTAGAAAATCGCAAGCTCTTGTGGCACGGGTGCGTGTCGCTTGTGATGTTTGACCCACTCGTTCGCACGACCATCCCCCCTTGAGTGATCTTCACATGTTAACGAGCTTTCGCACTCTGCTCTGGTTGGTAGATCTCGCTTGACTAATTTCTGCGGCATTCTAAGCCAAGGCTTGCGTATCGCGCCGCCCGAAGCCCCAGTGACCGGCTACATGGTATGTGCTTACACGTGCTCATTTTTTTTTTTTTTTTTTTTTTTTTGAAAAAAACTACGGTAATTGCACCAAGGAGCGCATTCCTGGCCTCATGGTGAACATGATACTTTCAGTTTAACAAGGGCATCTACTTTGCCGACATGTGCAGCAAATCTGCCAACTATTGCCATGCTTCTCGCAATGCGTCGACGGGATTGCTGGTGAGACACGCAAAACCGTTTTCGCAGACTTTGAGGCATACTGCGTCCTGTACCTGTCTTACCAACGTTGTCAATCGGGACGATAGCTTTTGGCCGAGGTGCCACTGGGCGAATCCGTGGTTAAAACGTCTGCCGACTGCAACATTCGCCTTCCCAAGGGCAAGGTTGGCTCCAAAGCCCTTTTTTTTATTCTAATTTTTTTTTTTTTTTTCCTTGCCATGAGAAAGCCAGTCTGCGCAACTGACTTGCTGCTCACATCATTAATGTCTGTACTAGCACTCTGTGTTTGCGCAGGGTCGGACACAACCGGACCCAAAACAGTCAATCACCATTGATGTGTGTAGCCGGTCTCTTAGGCGTTCTTCATCGTGTTGTATTTGTTTTTGTTTTTTTGTTCTGATAACTTTATGTGTGCGTGTGTGGAAAGCATGGGGGAGATCAAGCATACGCTTCAAGAGTCGACAATGGGCACGGGTCGTGCATGCTCACGCTAGGTTGCTTGTGTGACCTCAGGACGGCCGGGTTACCGTGCCGCTCGGCAAAGCTACGAGCGCCGATGTCAGCCGCACGGATCTACTCTGTGCGTATTTTTTCCATCTCGCTCTCGACGTATTATGCCGAGACGTTTTTGCTCTCCGTATCATTGCCGTAAGGGCAATTGCCATTGACAGTTTCTGCTTGGTCCTCTGACCGTGTTGCCCTTGCTGTCGACAGACAATGAGTACATCGTGTACGATGAGTCACAGGTCCAACTGCGGTATGTCGTTTCGTTGCGCCCATGTGCCCGTACCACAAGGCAGATAGCAATTGTTCATTCACGTAAATCGTGGTGTGGTGGTGCGGTTTTCTATCCGTTCCATAGCTACCTAGTGCGCTGCACGTTTGACTTTTAACCATCAAGCATCTTAACGCGCACTCGGATGATGCTGGACTCTGTGCGAATTCTTCGGGATAAGAACCCCAAGCCTGCATAACGGCTCGTAGTAGTTGATGCTTGGGAGGGAAAAGCTTATGGGGTAATCGTCAACGTATAATTCAGGGATTTCTGGGGCTCGATTTCCGCACCTATGACTTCCTATTTTCGAACTCTCAGTCATGAAAAACAAATCAAGCAGATTTTGTTTTTGACGATCATTCTCAAGTGTCTAACTCATGTTTTGAGGTTGTGATGGCCGGTGGAAACTCCAAACAAACAAACGTTTGTTGAAAGGCGCTCAAGCGGAATCAATCAGGTATCGTATCGGATTGTTGTGCACAACGCTTACATCAGCCAGTAGCATCGAATCGAATATTGTTATGATGAAGAAATATCAGAATTAGGATCTAAAAAAATAATATGAAAAAAATCATGTGTTTTTGCACGGGTTGCGACGCAGATGCTGGGCAAATTCTCAAAGCTCACTCTCAGTTTCAGTGTCATTGGAAAAATGGGAATGCGGGTCTGAACCAGTACGGGCATCGAGTACTTGCTGCAGCGTCATCAACGCATCAACAATCGCCCTCGTGGGAGGCCGCTCCTGCGCCGCGGTGCTCCACATTTTTAAAAGCAATCTAGGGTGCAGCACACACCAACAGCAGCAAGAAGTAGGAAGTAAAACGTGAGGGTCCCAAGGAGCCGTCCCAAGCATTGCAAAAGGGAAGTATAAGCAGTTCAAAGACGCGTACGATGCCAAAGCGGGTGGAAGCGCTTGCACAGGTAAGCGCCGGCCCACACTCAGAAGCTCAACCAGCATCTGCATTGTATACTCTCCATACGGGGTGGTGCCCTCGTTAAACATCTAACATGGAATAAAGGCCGTCATGCCAAAATGTAGACGCAGCGAGCCGACAACAAAGCGTACAAGCAGCACCCATACCTCCCAAATGGTCACACCAAGACTCCAGATGTCTGATGCTTGCGTGAAAAGCCCACGCTGCAAAGCTTCGGGCGCCATCCACCTAGTCAGTTCCATAGGCGAGAAAACCGACCGCCATGATGATGAGCATCGGCCTTGGCAATTGGCTTCGAGATGCTTTACAGAGACCAGAGCGAACCGGAAAGGGAGTTCAGTAAGCTGAGTGGTTTTATAGTAATCACAATCTTGAGATATAAAGCGACTCAGGCCAAAGTCAGCGAGCTTTGCGCGCGGCGTTGCCGTGGAGCTTCGGAACAGCAGTACATTGCGAGCTGCCATGTCGCGATGCACCAGCTGACACTCGTGCACATGCAGAAGCCCCAATGTAACCTGCCGTGCAAGGTCCGTCTAGTTTCCAACCACTGTCCGTGAGGCGCGATTTGGCACCAGCAAAAAAACAAAACAAAAAAAACAACAACAACAAAAAAAGAAAAAAAAAGAAAGGCACACGAGCCGAACTTATGCGCTTCAGAAGCACTGCTAGCACGCCAAGAGCCCGGAGAGCAACAGGGTGTCGATTGGAGACCTTGCTTCAAGGGCTACAGGCAACCCAAATGCACAGAAATGGCGTACCAGCGAGGTGTGCGGCAAGACCCTGGTGTGACGTAGGTAGGTCCGAAGATCGCCCAAGTCGGCCAGCTCAAGCACGAGCGATATTGGAGCGCTAAGTACAAGCGGTGATCAAGTCAGAATGGCACACTCACGTGTCGAAGAGCCAGCAACAGCAGAGTGCCGGCCATGCTACTGTGCATGCCGTGCCCAATTGCGCTTCGCGGGGTTGGGAGGGGCGAGGCCACATACCTGTCGTGAACGATGGCAATCAGGCTGACAATGTGAGGATGATCGCAAGCAATATGCAGAAGAGCTGCCTCCAGCATGACTGCCTTGTAGTCAGACGCCTGTGGTGGCCCAAAAAACAAGCAAACATGAGCAAATCGAAAGAACCCGATGCAGAAAGCGGCCGGCACAATTCGACCTGAATAGATTCGAAGGTTTTGAGTGCAACGTGGCTTGTGGCCAAAGCGGCATGCTGGCGTGTCAGGGTTGCCTATGTTCAAGTGCGGAGGCAGGGGTAGCGGCATGTCGTATGAACAGATTCACACTCCTTCTCGTGGCATCAAAAAAAGCATGTTGGTAGAGCAAGCAAGTAGCCATGGAGCGGGAGAAAGAGAGAAAGCAAGAAAGGAAAAAGAAGAAGAGATCCAAAGCAATGCTGGTTCCTGCATTGTAAATTTAAGCCGACACGTTCAAACCTACCCGAAAAACTGTGCCAAAATTGCCTTTGCCCAACACACTTGTCTGGATGAGCGCATCTCTGTCGTCACGGGCCGGGTGATGGATGTATCGCGGAGGTGAGCTGCATTGCGAAACGGTCGGTGTGTTAGGCACAAAGTTACGGCAGATCCTTGACATACTTGGACAATAGGATTGGTTCGCGTTGATTTCCAGACGTGGCAGCTAGTGCCAAGTCTGCACGCTGAGTCATCCCCTGTCGAAATTGCGCCAGACACAACATAATTTGCCCTGCTGAAGACATGGCCAACGTCTCCTCCTGCAATAGTTGATGCTGAGTTGCCACCCGTCCCCGGTTGCGAAGCTGGTGTACCACCAGAGCAACTAGTAAGACCATCGCAGCCATGCCAGCCACCAAGCCAGCAATTAGGTTGGTATTTGGGCTTGCGTGTGCGCCAATCACGCTTGCTGTTGGTGTAGATGAGGGCGTGGTCATGCTATAAACGGTTCAAAGGTGTGTTATGAGCAAGGAACAAACCATTGTGCCATTGGTGCGCATAGCTTTGAAGAAGACCAGGCGACAAGAGCCAGACTCACGATGGGGTTGTTCTGTTCACGATGCAGCCAGGCTGTGACCTGATACGTCAACGGGGCGAGGACCTCAGTTAGTGATAGCGAAACAAAGCATATCATTATTATGGTTGATCGAAAGTTGAGACGTGGTCGTCAAAGGTATGTGCTGAGCAACGCGAGCATGACAAGAGTAGGGCGCGAAGCCGCTCTCAGCCGTACCGAAGGTCGTTCAGGAGCCAGCGAATGTCGCTGGAGTTGAAGTGGGCGCAGACAACGTCGGGATACCCATCGCCGCTCAAATCTGCAACAATGGCTCGCGTCTGATCAAAGCTCTGGGCAGCGAGGATGTAGTCCTGGTCAAACACACCCTGTCCAGCATTTCGGTACCAAACGACTGCAAATGAGTTGGATGTCACAATGTCTAGGCGACCGTCCTTATTCATATCTGCGACTGCAATGGTGCGCAGATCAAGCGACACCGTGGAAATGATGTGTCCTCTGCCAAATGCACCCTGGTCATTCTTAAACCATTGCGCGAAGCCTTCGATTCCGCCACAAATGATGTCGGGCCAGCCGTCATCATCTAGATCAGCCACAGTCACGGCACTGGCAAGCTTGATGTCCGCAGATATGATGTGCTCGCTAGAAAAGCGGCCACGGCCCAGGTTGCGGTACCACGCAATCTTGGCATCATCTGAGTTGGCGCTCACAACGTCCACAAGGCCATCGTTGTCCAGGTCTGCAGCGTACACAGCCGATGCACCGACCGCAGGAGAGGAAATTGGAATAGGACTGGAGGAGAATGAGCCGTTGCCAATATTTGCATACCACGCAATGGTCGCATCGCCAGGGCCAGCCGTGATGACGTCGATGTCAGCATCGCCATCAAGGTCCACAGTAAAGATGGCTTGGGTGTTGGTCAAGTCGACGGCCACGATGACTGGGTCGGGATTGAAATTGCCCTGGCCCAGATTGCGGTACCAAACAACTTGACCATGACCCGCATTGGCACTCACGAGGTCGGGGTGCCCATCGTTATCAATATCCGCGGCGGCCAGGGCGGTGGGCTGAGCCGCATAGGCCGTCACGACGTGCTGGGCTCCCGTAAAGTTGCCAGCACCCGGATTGCGATACCAAGTCAGCGAATCGCCATGATAATTGGCACTAGCTACGTCAAGGTGACCATCGCCATCCAGATCAACGGCTACCAGGGCCTTGGTGCCCTGGGCGGTGGTGGAAAGCACCGTCCGTGTCCCGGTAAAATTCCCTTGGTCAATATTGCGATACGTAATGACATTTGAATCCAGAAAGCAGGCCGCAGCCACGTCAGTACGTCCGTCACCATCAAAGTCGGCCGTCGCGATCCAATGCGCGCCACGTGCGTTCATATCAATCAACTGCGTCGTGTCATCAAAGGAGTCATTGCCGAGGTTACGAACCCATGCAGTGACATTGTTGTCGTAGCCAGCGATGATGACGTCTAGCCATCCGTCATTATCCAGATCTGCGGCTGTGGCATAGCGACTCGAAGACAAGTCTGTCGTCACAACCGCAGCGGGGGCAAAGGTGCCCATACCCGTGTTGCGAAACCATATGACACGGCCCAAAAGAGTGCTACAGAGAATATCGGGGCGGCCATCCTGGTTTAGATCAACGGCGACGACTGAGACCGGCCTGTGGGCTCCATTGAGAGTCAGGTACAAGCGGGAGGAAAAGCTGCCATTTCCAAGATTGCGGTACCACGTAACAGTGTTTGAAGATTCCGAAGCCGCGACGACATCGGTTAGATTGTCGTTATCAAAGTCGGCTGCCGCCACGCCCAGAATGGCGGGCGAATCTTCGTCGAGTACATGACGGGCTCCTGAGAAGGAGCCTTGTTGGTTGCGGTACCAGAAGATGGCGGCATTTTGGTCATTACTGCCACTGATGATGTCGACATAGCCATCGTTGTCCAGGTCGGCAGTGACCACATCGCGTATTGACCGGGTTTCGGTGGTGATGACACGAGGGACAGCATCGTACTGGCTGCCATTACTGGCATACCAAGAGATGCGAAAGTCGACGGAGCTTCCCACGACGAGGTCCAAATCACCATCGTTGTCGAGGTCAGCCACAGCCAGCGTGCGTGAGCCTTTGTTGGAATCGGATATGATGCGAAGAGAGCCCTCAAAGCGGCCTTGGCCCTGATTTCGAAACCAGGCCACCTGATCATTGTAGTAGCTGGCCGTGACCAGGTCTGTATGACCGTCAGAGTCCACATCAACGGCCAATACCGTCTGTGGGCCAAAAGTTCGGCGAAGCAAACTCGAGCTGGCCCATGGGTCGGTGCTGCAGGTGTTCTCGCCACGGGCCGGGCTTGACTTCGAGATGAGGACCAGCAGAAGGAAAGAGAGACGCCAGCGCATGCTAGGCGCGGGGTGCCACCACCTGATGGATTGGCCAGGCTTGCGCTCGATCAGGAGGTACACCATGGTCACTCACTACCCCACGAATCCCCAGCGAGGCTGAACACCTCAGGAAGGGTGAAACGTCAAATTGGAAGGCACATGCGCAGCCGATCGCACGTGACTGAAATGCTTGGCCGGCAAGCAGGCGGCAGGCCTGCCGTGCCAAGACGTCCAATGCTCTCTTCACCAGAGCAAGGCCTGAAGCGGGGCCAAAGCAATGAACAAGAACAAGACGTCACCTCAGGCACAGGGCACAAAATACCACCCCAGCACACATCCCGCCATTCCCCTAGCCTCGTGTGTGTGTGTGCGTGTGTGTAAGTTCGTGTTCGTGTGTGTGCGTTGTGTGTGTGCGTTCGTGTGTATACACTCAACTGTCACAGTTTTTTCAAGTTGATGACAAACTTTCTTTTGATGTGTGTGTGTGTGTGTGTGTGAATGTGGAGTTGAGGTTTGCGTGAGACTTTACCTCATGTAGTAATTTTTGTGCCCTTTTCTTGTGCATGATCGCAGGGGGCTGGGGTTGAGAATGGTGGCGTGCTATCGGCGGCGGGTGGGCTGGGTCTGCTTGGTCTTTGGGCTGTGTTTGGCCTTTGGATTGTGGTTGCACAGACCAGCTTCCGTTGCCTTTGGGTCCAGTGGAGCTGTTTTGCTGGTCAGTCTTTGGGCCGATCGTCCCCATCGCCGTCAGAGCCAGCTTTCACTGTTTCGTTCCTATGCCCAGCATCAGCAGATGCCAACGGTCAACCGTGAGGCAGGCGCCACCTTGCCGAGCGTCAAAGCTTTGCATGTGGTCACTGCGTCAAGCGAAGAAAACTTTGCAGGTCTTTTGGCCCTCCTCAATTCGGTAAACGCTTTGCCAAGCTCTTCGCCGCCATGCAGAAAAGGCCGCGTGCTCTTCCTCACCTCATCGGTCAATGGCAATTGAAAAAAAAAAAAAAAAAAAAAAAAAAAAAAAAAAAAAAAAACCCATGCACAATAACCCCAACCCCTCACGGCACAGGTCTATCGGAACGTGGGCCCTGGGCACGCAATTCGTTGGCACGTCATTACCCTTCAAGCAGCACAGTTGCAGCTCGAGGCCATTTTGGCTATCCACTTTCCTGATCGTGACATTGAGGTCCGTCGGTGCCCTGGCCTCAGGTTGAGTCAAATCTGACCCTAAACCCGCCTCCCTTCCCCGCTGAGTAATCATGATCGCCCTCTGTGTCTGTGGTCGTCTGCCTGCAGGTCATCGGTTTTAGTCAACACATGCTTGCTGGCAAGATTCGCGTGCGCAGCTCCCGTGCCTCCCTCGGCCACCCCGTACGCCAACGCCCGCTTTGATGTCCCCCCATGACACGTGAAAGCGCACATGTCCATGCCTCATTCTCCATTGCAAACCTGCTTGGGGTCACCCTTCTTTCCCGCTTCATAAACTCAGCTCAATTACGCGCGATACTATCTCCCGGGCTTACTGCCAGATTTGAGCCGAGTTATTTATCTTGATGACGATGTGATCGTGCAGGGTGAGCGCTCAAACTTTCTGCAGCCAGCTTGCCCAGTTCATTTCTGATCAAAAAGGCATGTTGTCTGTAGGTGACATCACAGAGCTGTGGGAGCTCAACCTGCAAGGTCAACCTGCAGCCTTTTCCAGCGATTGCAATGAAGCTAGCCGTCAATACGGCTTGCTACAGGTGTGGTCGCTCACCTCGGCCTGATCCAAAGATACATGGGCGAATGCACTCTCTGCATCGTCATGAACTTATGATATGGGATGGGTGGCATAGAACCGATATGGCGGCTTTCTCAACTACGAAAACTCCCAGATTAAGGCTCTGAATTTGCCATCAGAGTAAGCAGTGTAGTGCTACGCTACAACTCGTGTCATCTCATTGAAGCTGTTCACACGACCGCGTGATCTCACGATTGTCCGTGGGTGTGGTGGGTGTTCCACATCTTGGCAGCACCTGCTCCTTCAACGCCGGTGTGTTTGTGGCCGACCTTTCACTGTGGCGCCACATGCGCGCGACACAGCAGTTGGAAAGCTGGCTGCAACTCAACACTCGGTATCGTCAATGATGATGCTCCCCCCCATCTTTCCCCCCCACCTTCCTTTTGCTGTGCTGTGCGATAGTTGGAAGTTGGTGATTGTGCTACGTGGGGCTCCGTTTGCAGGGAGAATGTGTACGGCTCTGGTGTCGCGGGCGGTGGGTCACAGCCTCCCATGCTAATTGTTTTTCACAAGGTTTGTGGCTTGCCGTGCTTTGGCCTTGTGCTTTGGTGCAATGTTGGATGGTCATCGTCTGCCATCTTATTGCTCTTCGTGTCGGAACAATAGTATCGCGAGCTCCCGTGGGTCTGGCACATCCGATCGCTTGGCAGTGAGCTGACATCGCAAGCGCTTCCCTTGTCAGTTCAAGCTGCGGTCGCTCCAAGTGCCCTCGCGCTCGTTCCGCCGCTGCTCATGCACGGATGTGTTTGCAGGGAAATTGTTCGCTCAGCCAAGCTGTTACACTGGACAGGCCGACACAAACCATGGCGCCTTGGCACACCCCCGGCGCTGCAGCGGTTCCTTCCGTTTTTTGAAAAATATCAACTTCCACTACCCGCTGTTTAAATGCTGTACAACCACTGCTAGCAAGTGTGCCAGCAGCATTCGCAGAAGAAAACTGTTCGCTGAGCGAGTCTTGAAATGGGTGTTGGTATTGAAAGGCCAGGCATGCTGTCTTGGAGCGGTGCAGCTGGATTATTTATGATGCGAGTGACAAACAATCCAGAATAAATTGAGATTGATCGCCGTCACAAGCCAGCTGGCGCTAAAAGTCATGCAGCAGCAGATACTGAGCAACAAATGCTGTTGTAATTTTGTGCAGATTGGCAATACTGGGCCAGTCTAGACTCTCGAGATTATCTTCGATGGTATGCCAAGTCCTGGGAAAGGGCGTCGGTATTAAATGCAGCACAGGGACATGCCGCTTGACAAAGGGGATGTGATCATCTTCAATCAGAGGACGGCGGCTGGAACGAAGAAAAAGAAGCAAGGGTGAGCATCAGATTCAGGGTGCATCCAAGCCAGCGTTGAGTGCAACGAATGATATCCAAGCGCACCCGCGATAGCCATCGTTGAGATACATTGCCGAGTGCTGCTCCAACAAACCAAGGCGGTCGAGGCGACGCTCGAGGTCAGCCATGCGCCCAAAGTGTTTGTCCGTGGGTTTTTGGAGGCTGATAAAGTTGGGCTGAGGCCCACCAATCAAATCCAGCAGGATAAACAGTTCGATTGTCTTGAGCATGTTGTTATCGGCATGCGCCTTGGCGTGGCCTGCAGAAATTCGGCCAACACTGTTTAATCAGGGCAGGGTGGACAAGGCTTGCCAAGAAGAAATGCAATATTCCACATGGCAGCCAGGGGCAGCAGGCTCGGGACGTACGCTTCGCTGGTTGCTTGGACCATTTGGTGGCCAGATGTCGGGCTCCGTAAATGGAGTCTTTGCTATTCCTAGAAACGCGCATGGTATTTGCTTAGCTTCTCACAGAGTTGGTAATTGGTTGGTACAATGTTCGGTCATAACGACGCACACGTGTCCAAGCGCATTCTTACCACTGAGCAAATGCTTCTTCGCCATCCAGGAAGATGATTTGCAGCGTGGTCCCCAGCGCCTAAGGAGGCACACATGCGAGAGACACGTGATTGATGGACATGCCAAGGAAAAAAGAGATCCGGGGAAGTCAGGCGGGCCGAAGGCGTTCAAGTGAAGCACACCTTGGCGCGTCGAGTCAAGGCTGGTTGAAGAGCATGGACCATGTCAAGCAGCATGGCGCAGGGCACGGCCGAGTCGGTGGCGGCTGTAAAGCCAAACTGCAAATTTTCTCCCATTGTTCCGCTGCGTGAGCAGAGTGCAGGGTCTCTCCACCTGTTGTGATGCGGAAAGGGAGAGCTCAACTCACATGGGGGCTATCCTCGGGAAAGTATTTGCTGTCATAGTGAGCGCCAACCACCAGGCGTCGTGGCTGCGTAGGATCTAGGGTAGCAACTGATGACCACCAACCCGCAATTGGTGAGGAGACGTTAGCGCCTGTCCAGTGGGCTCACCATACAGACGGGGCGGCGGCATGCACAGACTTATGTTGTGAAACTCCTTGCGGCCGAGTGGGGTGTTGGCCCAAAACGTATCGAGCTCCACAGTAAAGCCAGCAATTTCCATCTGTTGGATCAAATACTGCACAAGCGGCATGCAGAGTTGAGGTGAGTAAATCGCCATCGCGAGTTCGATGATGCTAGAGTCGAGGGGTCAAAGCAGTTTATGGGCCGGCGGACATGGCGCCAGGAAATACCTCGCGGACTGTCCGGTGATTGGCAGATCCCACGACGCGCGGCACGAGGATGCGTGGCAAGAGTTCGTGCTGAACACGATCTGCTGACACACGGTCCACCACGCTGGCGAGCTCTGCATCGCTCAGTTCGTGATCGCGGCCCTACATCGCGGCGGGAGAAAAAAAGGCAAACATCGTCGGCACAAGATGAACTCATCTGTGCAGCCATGAACCAGAGGTACGTGAAAGCGCCGGATCGAGAAGGGGGCATCATGTGTGCTGAGGACAAACCAGGGCGGGCGCGGTGTCATGCCAAGAGTGGATCAACAGCGTGCTGCCAAGGTAGAGCACCACGAGAACGATAAGGCCGAGAGCCAGATACCCACGGCTTGAATACCGAGACCAGCCGCCATATTCTGTTGCTTCCCGTGGTTGACCCCCGCTTCCCATGGGGCCCACCCGTCCTCGTCGTGCCCGCGGCACCCCAGGCGCCATCACGAACGAAGAACGAGACAGAGAGAGAGAGAGACAGAGAAGGAATACTCGCAAGAGAAATTGTAATATTATTCACACTTTAAACTTTTTCGCTTGTTGTCATCGTTTCCTTCATCACACCCTGCATGCACACACACACACACACACACACACACATATACACATATACAATACACACGCTGCACAGTTGAAGCATTTTATTTGTTTTTGTTGTAGTGGTGAGTGCGTTGGCTTGGTCTTGTTCAGTGGCACAGAGATTGAATCGTCAGTGAGCGGTGGTCACTGAGGGCTCCGTTCCGGGTTTCATCTCGGAAATCTCGGCAAAAGGGCGGGCGGGGTCAGGAATGGGGGATGGGATTGGGGCCAGGGACTCGGGTTGAGAAGGGGGTGTAGTGAGCTGCCTCTGTGTTTTGGGTTGAGAAAGCTTCTCAGGTTCTTCGGAGCCGGAGCAAGAAGAGGGACGACCTGGCTTCTTCAAGATCATCATCTCACATCTTCTTCGCTTGCCTTTGGTAGGCACAATTGCAAACAACAGCAGCGACCAAATCCCCGCCATCATGACGGTGAGGCATGCTAGGATCTTACAACCTGGCAAGGGTTAGGGGGCAGCCAAATTATTTTTCCTCACCACTCACTGGGATGCTATTCTTGTGGGTTTGATCTTCTGTTAGACGATTGAAGGAAACAATGCCGTGCTTCACACGGGAGCCAAGATGCCTTTGGTAGGCCTGGGTACCTGGAAGTCCAAGCCTGGACAGGTATGTGATTGCATTTGAGCCACCTTGCTTCGGCTTTCCAATTTTCAAGACAGAAAAAAAAAAAACATACTGGTTTATTTTAGTGGGAGACAGGATGCGAGGGCCGCCAGGCATCAAATTCACCAAGACAAACAAACAAACAAAGGCAGAGACAAAGCTCGACATTCTACTTTCTTTGCTTCCAATTCTTCAATCATCTCTTGAGATCCTTCCCACGGCGCCGTGCTGCTTGGCTTTGTGGCCGTCGATCGATGGGCTTGTTAGTGGTTGGCAACTCTGGCCATTGTGGCCAGCGCGAGCTTGCTTCATCAGTCCACGCGCGCTTCCATTCAGCAACGGCGCCACAGTGTCACGTTGCACACGGGACAGCGTATGCCTCTCGTTGGGCTGGGCACATGGAAGTCCAAGCCCCACGCGGTCTGTGCTTGTCTACCGTCAGGACGACGCCTTTGAGTCGTTGACTTGCTGGTTTATCACACACATCCTTCAATTGTCAAACCTTTGCATCACGCACACTCCACACCGCAGCGGTATGGCCAGGCGAATGCTTGCTGCCTCGCTCATGCCCATGCATGGCTCCGTTCCTCTGCATTTTCTCTAGGTGGAAACGGCTGTCAAGGTGGCCCTTGAAGCTGGATACCGTCACGTTGGTCAGTCCAGTCCAGAAACACGGGCCAATTGTTGCGCTGCCAACCTCTTCCACTCTTCCTCTTGCTTCCGCCTCTTTGCACGTGCCCAACCACCCGCTTTCAACTCATGGACTGGCGTTTTACACAGACTGCGCTGCCGTGTATGGCAACGAGGCTGAGGTTGGCCAAGGTCTCAAGGCCGCTTTTGACAGCGGCATTGCGCGAGAGGACGTCTTCATCACCAGCAAGGTACGCCGATTGTGTCGCTAGCCAGGCCGGCCAGCTAAGCGACTCTTGTGTCTCATGGTCCATGTTGCCCCACAGCTTTGGAACAGCGTGCACAAGCCCGAGCTCGTGCGGTACGTCTGCCAGTTGACCTGCGCTTGCCCCTCTGGTTCGATGGGCGCTTGCCCCTCTGGTCCTTTTTTTTCATTCTTATTTTATTAAAAATCTTCCATCTTGTTTCTATTTCCAGTGGTGCCTGCGAGCAGACTCTCAAGGATCTTGGTCTGTCGTACCTGGACCTGTATCTGATTCACTGGCCCACGGGCTTCAAGGTGAGACCAACTTCCTCCTCGAGTAGCACGGTTGGCCCGCTATGCTTGAGCTTGCTCACAAGGATTTCCTTTGGCTAGGCGGGCGATGACAAGTTCCCTCGTGATGCCGACGGCAACCTCATTTGTGAGTCCCTGGTTTGGCTTTGCATGGCAGCTTGATCACCGATGTTATGCGTCTGTCTTCTTCGTACACGCCATCCAATCTGCCATGCGACCTCTTCACAACTTGACTTGCGCGTGCGTAGATGATGAGACGCCCCCCGTGGACACATGGAAGGCCATGGAGGAGCTCGTTGATGCCGGTCTTGTCAAGGCCATTGGCTTGTCCAACTTCAACTCGCTCCAGGTTTGTCGAAGATTGGGCGCGCACCCGCACCCGCACAGAGCTGATTGATATATGAATCCCTCCGGATATCTCACACATTCGGCATCTGGCGGTACTTGAACTACGATGCAGATCAAGGAGGTGGTGGAAAACGCGCGCATCAAGCCAGCCGTCTTGCAGATTGAGAGCCACCCGTACTTTCAGAACACCAAGCTGATTGACTTTTGCAAGGCACACAACATTGTATCTACCGCCTACAGCCCCTTGGGCTCACCTGACCGACCTTGGGCCAAGGAAGACGAGCCCAAGCCCTTGGATGATGCCAAGCTGAAGGAGATTGCCGAAAAGTACAAAAAGTCGCCTGCTCAGATTTGCATCAAGTTCCAGGCGCAGCGCGGTGTGGTTGTCATCCCCAAGTCGGTGACGCCGGCGCGCATCAAGGCCAACTTTGAAGTCTTTGACTTCACCTTGACTGACGATGAGATGAAGGCCATTGCTGCCTTGGATCGTGGCTTCCGTGCCTGCATGCCCACCAAGGAGGTTGATGGCAAGGTTGTGCCTCGTGATCGCGAGCACAAGTACTATCCTTTTGATGCTGAGTTTTAAAGTGATTCCGGTCGTATGACGCCGTGTTGTCGTCACATCCACACCACCCATGGTCTCCTTTCTTGTTTTGCTCGTTTTCAAGGCAACTGAATTGATCCACCCAAAGGACAACGACCAACTTCACGACAAGTGTCACAAACGCAAAATGAATCCCTGTGTCCCGTCTGTCCGTCATCAGCGCACACTACAAACCGCGACGACCGACAACAAGACAACCATCCACCCTGTCAAAGCGTGTACTGGTTGTCGCGTCTTCCGAAGAGACAGAGAAGAAGAAGAAGAAAAAGAAGAAGAAGAAGAAGAAAAGAAATGAATTGGTTTGGTCAGTTTGAGAAAGAGAGAAGTAAAGAGCAAAGACACAAAGGAAAAGCACAACTACCACATGTAGCAACAACAGGGAACAAAAGGAACAAACACCACTGAAAAACAACAACCAACGACAACACTGAACACAAACAAGAAGAAGAAGAAGAAGAAGAAGAATGTCTGACATGTGAATTCAGCAAAAAAAATCATTCGAGGTCCTGCTGAGACCGGAAACGGGACGCTTGCACTGGGGTCGACTCCTCATTCCGTGGAGGGTGGCACGGCAAGGCGGGCCGAGGTGGGGTTGAACAGCCTACAGACATTATCGCATTTGATGCGAAGCGCGGCCCTTTCAGCCCCATTGGCCTTTTTCACCTTTCTCAGCCCAACAAAGGACATTCAAGGAAAACAAGATTGGCGGCTCCATCCAAGCTGGCACCGACATGGCGCCCAAGTGGCTCATGTTCGTCCTGGTGTTGTGGGCCCAACCCGCTTCTCTTGGGGCACAAGGCCATGTGTGGCTCGAGGTGACTGCTGATAACACGCTGGCCATTCGCAATGCCACCGATCTGCTCATCAACGGTGAGCCTTATCAACGGGGCTCCAAGGCTCTGCGCGCATCGCGCTCGATTTATCAACCTCACACCGTTTCTGTGGTCTGAACACATGGTTTTAGAAGTGCGTGTCACTGAGAAGTTGACCGATTTGCAGCAGCGGTTGCCCGCTACAGCTCTCTTGTCCGTGGATGCGGACGGTCGCCTTCACGTGAACAATACGGCAGGAAATGGCACCGTCTTAGTGGGCGGTGTGGATGTGGCGAGGCTCGCGGCGAGTCATGCCGCTCTGGAGCAAGCCTATGCGAGTCTTCAAGCGGAAGTCAAGACTCTCCGCACCGTCGTCCAAAACATTTATCCCTGGGCGCTCGGACCAAAGATGTGCGTCCTGGGCGGAGGCGCCGGCTCGACCACACTGCCCAACATGCAGATCTACTCGCAGGGCCGTTGGCACCAAGGGCCAGCCTTGCCGACGCCACGCTACGGCTTGTCGGCAACTCAATTCCGCGGGCAACTCTTTGCTCTCGGCGGCTTCAATGCCTCCTTTCTCAGCACAGTGGAAGCGTTTGACGGTGCAATGTGGAAAACGCAACCCAGCCTACGAGAGCCGCGCTACTCTCCGGGCGTCGCGGTCTTTCAAGACAAACTTTGGGTCATGGGTGGGGAAACGGACTTTTCGGTGGTGACCAACACGACCGAGTTCTTTGATGGTGACTCGTGGCAACCTGGCCCATCCCTGCAGGCGCCTCGTTTTGCCTGTCAGGCTGCCGTCTACCTGGGCGTGTTGTACGTGGTGGGAGGCTGGCACAAGGAGAGCATCGACTCGGTAGAGGCTCTGAATGGCACCTCCTGGATTTGGAAGCCTCGTCTCGAGAGGGGCCGTGCTTTTGCAGGTCTTGGCATTTGGCAAGGCTTGATGTATCTTGTTGGAGGTCAAGTCGATGAGATCTCGCAAACCAATGCCGTCGAAGTATTCAACGGCACGGCATGGTCACGCGGCGTGCATATGCACGTGCCCCGACTGGGCTTGGGTGTGGTTGTGGTGAATGACCTGCTCTTCGCAGCTGGTGGACATGCAGCCGACAACATGTTGAACGTGGTTGAGGCATTCAACGGATCGCATTGGGTCACAGTGGAAGCTCTCAACGTGGCCAGTGGCCATTTGGCTGCAGGTCTCATCGGGGTGTGACAAGCTTAGTGTATGCACATGTCAAGTGGCCTCCGATGCCCAACTCTCAGATGCTCTCATCCAAGTCTCTGCTATTGTGTTCCGGCTGACTATGGCTGTTCCGGCTGACTATGTCTGTCTCAACACCTTTTGATAATGATACCAATAACGAGAATGATACTAATAGCGATGTGTGTGTGTGTGTGTGTGTGTGTGTGTGTGTGTGTGTGTGTGTGTGTGTGTGTGTGTGTGTGTGTGTGTGTGTGTGTGTGTGCGCCCCGAATATCATCCGAAATTTGACTACATTCTTGGCACTGCCTTCAAGCACACTGCCTGATCACCATCACGCCGCCTCACCCACAGAGAGAGAGCGAGAGAGCGAGAGAGAGAGAGAGAGAGAGAGAGAGAGAGAGAGAGACGAAGCGTTGCGTTTGCGTTGCGTTGTCATCATTTTTCACTCCATCCGACAACATGGCCATGAGCACAACCACGATGATGATGCGAACCGGGTGGCGCCCGTCGATGGCTACCGGTCTGGCTCGGTGTGGCCTGGTAAACATGGGAGCCCGTATGGGTCGACGACACGAGTCGTCACAACCCTCGGGCAAGGCCACCTCTCAAGAGAAGATTCGTCGCTTTTGGAATAAGGTGTGACTGTGATGACGTGTGAATTGGCCATGTGACACACACGATGAACGCAGCCAGGAGCCAGGAGCCAGGAGCCAGGCGGCGGAAGCCATGATTCAACCTTTGGCGTTTTGGGCCATTCTTGTTGTAGGTGCGCGTGGAAAAGGATGGTGACAAGTATGGCGTCTTTCTGGATCAGCGCCATCTCAAGACGCCCATGGGCAAGAAGTTCTCGGTGCGTATACGACCTTGACGCTGAGGGGGGTAAAAGAGTGGCGCAGCTCATGTTGTGCTTGTGCCTCCACGGGTGTGCCATTCGACTTGTGGCAGGTACACAGCGATGAATTGGCACACATCGTTGCCATGGAGTGGGCCACTCAGGGTGAACATCTCACGCCGGTACGTCTCAAGTCATTCCTTCCCCGCACGTCAATGCCCAGAATCTTCGGCCGATGAGCGACAGCGAGCGGCGCACAGATCTGGCTCATCGATGTTGCGTGGTCCCCAGGCCACCATGTATGTGAGTGCGCTCAGCAACACGGCCCTAGACCACCCTTCCAAGCAAATGCGCGGTATGAGTCCCAGATTCCATCATCTGCTCCCTGCCCGGGCTTTTGAGTGGCCAACGGGTGCCTGACCGACAGACGACCAATTATACCTTGCAGACGAGCGCGTGTCAGGCTTGATGCCATTTTTGGAGACAGATACGGTTGTTTTTCGTGATGCTGATCCAGAGAGCGCACTCAGTACTTTTGAAGCCCGCAGCTGGGATCCCCTTGTGAGCAAGTTCCAAGAGGTGAGCACCCAACCTGAAGACTCCAAGCCGCACTCTCTGGAAGGTTGCTGCTGCCCTGACTCGAATTCGCGCATGTCTCATTCGAGGGTGGTGGTACCTTTTGTTTTGCTTTCATGGCCTTGTCTCCGAGCAGCGTTATGGCCCTCTGCATACCACTCGCCTGCTGGAGATTGAACAGCCCGAGACGACGCTGGCCGCCGTCGTGGATCGCCTGTATCACCTGCCACATTGGCAGTTGAGTGGTCAGTCCCAGCGCACACAACTATCCTTGATAAAAATCTGGAACCATGTTTTGCACGCTTCTTTCCCAATGACAACCTGACATTTCGCTTATGGTAATGCATAGCGATGGAGTTGGCCACAGATACAACACGCTCCTTGGTCATCGCTTTGGCCATGCTCGAACAGGACTTGACGGCTCAGGAGGCAGCCGATGCAGCGCGTGCCGAGGTTGAGTTTCAGATCCAGCGCTTTGGCCGCGTATCCTGGAGCCATGGCATGGAACAAGCAGACACAGAAGGTCGCCTTTCTGCTGCAGCACTCGTCATGCAGCTAGCTCAAGCCGAAGAGGCTCCTGCACAAGGAGTTTAATGCTAGTGTGGTTCAGGCTTTCCCATGACCGGCGCTGCTTTCCAATGCAAGACGAGCAAATTGCAAATTGAACTTTAATTTTGAACTTTTCACAAGTCTCGCCCCGCCATGCATCATCAGAGCCTTGTAAAACCCTAGAGGGCTGAGAGGCCAAGAAAGTCATCACAGCAGAGATGGTCAATAAATTGAGGGTGTCAGTCATTCCATCCTGCTTTGTGGATGGTCGTCAATCATAACTTATTCCTTTTAATATCAATGTTATTCAGATCGGTAGCGGTGTCGTATCCTTTCCACAGAACCACACGCTCTTCTTACTGTTCCAGCCAAGCCACGTCCTCGCAACTTTGCACATGCAAAGGCAGCTGCGCAGCCAGCACGCTTTGCGTGCACAGGGGACACACCGCCTGTATCTGGAACTCAGACGCCTCGACAGCCGCTGGGGGACTTGATTGAGTCAGCTTCCTGGCGGGATTGGGTAGGCCCACTCGTTGCTCAACCGCCTCAGCCACGGCCACCGCGTCCGTCCAATCATCAAAATCCTCGAAGCTCCTTGGGGCCTCCTGAGCCTCAGTCACGGGCTCTTGACGGTGTCGTGGTGGACTCGCCTCGTTCTCCTTGTCACCGCTGTCCTCATCCACCACGAGCACATCAGGCTGCTCGGCCAGGTCCAAGTGATCGTGCTGTTCATTGCACCGGTCGTCATCGGGTTGGGACCGTGGCTTGTTGCCGTGAGCTTGGTTTGTGTGTGCTCGCTTGTTTGAAGGTTCTTCAGGTTTGGGCTGTGTGGTGGAGGCACCGGCCATGGCACGTTGGACAATTTTTGCCTTGCGTTGGAGCTGCGACCACATCACGTCGTCTAACGTGCCCGGGCAGAGAAGGTAGCGCACGTTCACATTGTGGCGCTGACCAACTCGGTGAGCACGATCTTCGGCCTGGTAGAGGTGACCGGGGTTCCAATAGAGCTCGGCAAAGACAACCGTGTTGGCAGCATGAAGCGTGAGTCCTGTGCCCGCCGTCGTGATGCTGAGCACTGCCACGCGGCATAGGACATCGTCCTGAAACGAATTGCACAGCTGCTGACGCAAGTGGGTGGGCGTCGACCCATCAATGCGGATGTGGCGCAGCTGGCGCTGGCATAAAAACGTAGCCAGCTCGTCCAGCAAGGTTTTGTGATGGGCAAAGATGAGCAACTTGCCGTCATGGTTCATGAGATCTTCGAGGTACCGAAGACAGCCTTTTATCTTGGCCTCACCGGTAAGGCCGTAGGCCTCGGTGGTGAGGGCTTGCAGGGCCCGTTCACCTTGAGCGCGCTGGGACCCGTGCAAACTCGCAAGCTGGCGCTCTAGGGCTTTTCGCTTCTGCATGATGGCTTTAAGCGCCCGTAGTGGTGCCGGGTCTGCCTGCACATACACCTCCTGTCTGGTCTTTGGTGGGAGGTCAGTGAGGACAGCTGCCTTAACGCGACGGATCATCACCAAGCGCTCTAGAACGCAATGTAGTTCATCCTGGTTGCAGCTGCCGTCATGACGCCAACCAAAGGCGGTGAGCTGTGAGTTGCAGTAGCGGATGCCAAAAGCCACTTCGCTGCGAAAGAGTCGCGGTGCTAGCGCATGCAACTGTTGGTATAGTTCTATGGGGCGTGACAGCGCCGGCGTTCCGGATAGAAGCAACACTCGCTTGGCCTTGTGCAGTAAAGGCATCAGGGCTTTGGTGCGCGCAGCTTTGCCGTTTTTCAAATAATGAGATTCGTCGGCAATGATTACCTGGTGCACCAAAGCCGATAGACGGGAGTGAGGGCCGGAAATAAACTCATGGGACGCCACAAAATCCAGCACCCAAGGCATGCCAGCAAGCGTGTGACATCTACACACCGAGACACAGGCACAGAGACAGAGACAGAGACACATGGACCCACACATACCTGAAAGTCGGCACTGGTCAAGTGCTCATGAAGGTTGCGAGCAAGGTCATAGGAAAGAATTGTGACCAGCTTGTTCATGGGGCTCTTCTTACTCGACACCACCCCGATGGCACTCTCGTCGATTTGCAACCACTTGCAAATTTCGTGGTGCCAGGTTAGCTTGAGACTGGAAGGGCAGACCACCAACAGGGGCCACTCTGCTTGATAATAGGCTGCCGTTGCGAGGCTGCTGACGGTCTTTCCCAGGCCCATTTCATCACTCCACAGGACACGGCCACCCCGTTCGATGGCGCAGGCCACGCCCGCACGCTGATACGGCATCATCTTGTGAACGAGGCGACGGGGAAGCCGTGTTCCCGTGATGGCCAGGAGCTCGGTGGCTGAAAAGCTTTGGTGCTGAGTGGCTTGCCTCTGCCAATCAGGATGCTCCGTCAGGCGAAGAACCACGTCAGGAATGGCCTTGATCATCAGGCGTTCTGGTCCCAAGTCGAGGCGCTCAAATTGTATCAGCAGCGCACGATATTGAGCCAATGGCACGACCCATGCACGGCACGTTCGATCAAAATAGCCTCGGTGCGCGCGTAAAGCCTGGATAATCGGTCGGCGAAAGGAGCAACTGATGCTTGCCGAACAACCATCCGCGCGTAGCGCGGCGTGCACATGCAAGCCCTCCCCAGTGCGCGCCATCAGGCTGGGTGTGACCCCCCGACAAGGGGCAATGTGAGCTGGTCAATGGAAGCGACCTACACTTTAAGTGTTCATCCTCCCATCATGAAGACCATGCCGCACAGCATCTTGACCATCAGCCAAACCTTTTCTTTGCCTTCTCCTTTCGCCCTCCCTCCCTCCCTCCCTCCTCTCCTCTCCCCCACCAGCACGGAACGGATGGCCCTCTTTCCACCTGCAGATCGCTGCGGCCCTCCCCCCCCAAATCAGAGTCAGTCATTCACAGTCGCCATCGCCCCAAAGAATTTAATAATGAATGTAAAATCTGACAATCTGACAAGCTGACATTCACCCCAAAGGAACGTTGGAACCGTTCATATCCGTTTCAGGATGGCGGGGCGGTTGTCGGCGGCTTTGGCAGCGTCGACCGAGGTGGTCATTGGTGGTGGTAGTGGTGGTGCTTTGCTAGAGATGTTGCCGATTGAATTGTGGACTCTGATTCTGGATCGCTTGCCGTTTGATGCCGTTGCACGGCTGAGCTGCGTGAGTCGTGCTCTGAGGGTTCGGGTGATAGCAGCGAGCCAACAATGCCATCGCATCAATCTGGTGGGGCGCCTGATTCACCGCTTTCCAACAACTCGGCTCCAGTTCTTGCTGCGCTTTTCTCTTGTCCGCCTTGAGGTTGCTGAAAGCATATTGCCCGACGTCTTGCAGTTCATCGCCGCTCATCCCGATCACTTTCACACGGTGCAATGGCTGCGCATCGTGGCTCAAGATATGGATAACCTCATGCCATGGCCAACGCGCTCGCGACCACTCGAGGCGTTGGCTCCAGCTCTTGCCGCCTTGCCAGCTCTGGAGGTATTGCAGGCGTGGACGCGCTCCACAAGAATCCCCTTGAGTCTCGTGCCGGCGAGCGTGCACCACCTGCATGCCCTCGCTGTGAGTGCCGAGTCGAAGGAGCTTATCGGCAAACATCTCCAGCACGTCATCACCTGGCTCGTTCCCAACTGTGCGACGGATGATCATTTGCAAAAACAACAGGATGGGCCCTTGGAGCTATTTCGTTGTCTCGACAAGGCCAGCCTTCCTGCCACCAGGCCAGACGCGCCGTTGATCATCGTAGCCCAGCGATATGCCCAGTGGCAGGCTACGCTGCAAAAGTCGATGCACCCACAGGCTCTACGCGCCCTAACGTTGACGCAAACCTTTGTTCGCGAGGCCAATGAACAGTATAAACGCGTGTTACGGCAACGTGATCTCGAACTGAGCCATCTGTGCGGTGTGCGCTACCTGCAGCTGGATCAAGTTCACGCACGCACGCTCTATCTGCCCCTGGGCATTGAGTGGCTCGATGTTCGTGGGGGTGATTTGAGTGCCATTGAGGGAGAGCCAAAGCTTCCTCGTATTTCACGCTTGGCCATCCAAGCGGACCGTCTCAGCCTCGTTCTCCTCTTTTTGCGCAAGCTCGGGGGACACGTGATGCATCTGCATGTCAATTTGACGGGCCGTTCGGGCGAGCCAAGCATATTTGATCAACTCTTGGATGCTATCCATCAGCACTGCCCGCGGGCGGAGACTCTTTTGCTCCGCCAACGGGGCCAGCATCTTTCAGGGGCTCAAATTGAGCGTCTCTGCCGCTTTCGACCCTGGGCCAGCCTCTGCTTGCCTCTGGCACCAAAGTCAAGCGTGGCGGAGCGTCGACAGTGCATGCAGGCCTTTCAAAGACTCAGTAGTTCTCTTGTACACTTGACACTGGTGCACCTGGCCGGCAATTCCATTGATCTTTTGAGCGATTTAGCGCGCGCTCGGCATCGTATGCCTGGCCTCCACCGTGTCATGGCCCTGCGCGATTCCAACGAGGTGCCGACCAACCTGCGCTGGCAGTTTTACTTTCAACGCTGGCCAAGCCTGGTGCGGCTCTTGCGTACTCATCCTGGGCAGGCCATTGAAGCATACGTCACGCTCGATGTGACGCATGGCGGCGTTTGATTTAGATGTGCAAGGGGTGTCTCCGCCATGGTAGCTGTGTTTCTGACGCAGCGGGCATTTGCTGGCCCGTCTTGTGTACTTATCTTTTGGGCCAAGTTTGGCAGCCGAGCTGCCCTGGACTTTTGTGAGTTGAAGCCTCAAATGAATTAGGCCCAATAGCAAATGAAAGACAACATGTCCAAGGTTCCATCAACGACGGTTGGCCAAAATGGTAAGGCGCGCAGCACCAATTTCACACTCAAAACAAAAGAAAGGAAGGAAAAGAGAGAAGAAGAAGCGTGTGACCGTGGCAAGTTAAGGTTGGGCAACATCTTCGTTGTGAGGACCGGTGGCGTGCAACCAACGTAGCACGAGTCGAGTGGGATTGGGCAGATAAACCGTGGCAAGGATCGAGATGGCCACAGAAACCAGCACTTGCAGCCAAAAGGTCCGGTCCATTTGGCTCCACAAGCGGCCCAGGGCTGAGAGCGGGCTCGAGACACGAAGCTGGCCATCCGCTCGAAGTGCGGCTGCGGCTGAATCTGTTCCTTGCCCCCCCAGCCGGGCAGCTGGCGGTCGATCTGAGCTTGGTCTGTAGTAACCGAGACGTGGGCGTCTGCATGGTTAGGGTGAAGCAGCGAAAGCGTCAGCTCAAAACCCACCAAAAAGGCCATACCATTTGGAGAGCCACTTATCAAACCTGAGTCGGGATGCCTGGCCCTCGGTCGGGGTGCTGCAAGACGGTGAGTGATAACTCGGCGGGAGCCAAAGCAGCTCTGCTAATTGCCGTGCACGATGGCTCGGTAGGCTGCAGTAGGGAATTCGGGTGCGCGTGCGTGCGTATAAGTGTACATTAGAATGAAAACACTCAAATAGCATGTGGGAGCGAGCTTGGTCAATGGGCAGGGCATCGGAAAACCCAAACATGTACGTACATGCGATCGACAAGTGCAGGGGATGCGGCCGCCATAACTAAGCGTCATGCACGAATCAAGGGCATTCTGTGAGGCCAAATTGCGAGGTTGGCAGATGACACCCCTCCTGCCGCCAAAATAGCAGCGCGTGACACGATACGAACCATCCACAAAACCAAGATGCGACGCGTCAAAGAGAATGGCATCGATCGGCCGCTGAGTTTGCACTTGTCTACAGCAAGCATGGATGCGAGCGGTCCAGGATCAGTCTTGTAGCGCCAAATAAAAAAAAAAAAAAAAAAAAAAGCTGAAGCGTCGAGCAGCCGGCAGAGGTCAATGGTCACACCGTAGCTGAAGGATGCCGGCATCTGAAGAGATCAAGGCCACGCAAAGCCCACACGTCGAGGGCGTTGAGGCCATTGCATCATTGAGGGTCTGTTCCTGCAAGGCTAAGCCATCTACCTGCGTCGGCGCAAAGCAGTCAAATGATCAAAGGCACATAGCTGGCACACGCGCCCGGGAATGTTGAAGCTGGGATTCATAGCAACTCGCCACCACAACTAACAGTGAGGCTGTGGCGCAGGAGGCCAATATCTTCCTCAAGTCCTGGCGAAGCGTCTGATGGCAGCGCAGCAAGAGCCGTTTCCAAAGCAGCCGAAAAGGAAAAGAAGGAGCAAATAGGAAGCGACATCAGCAATCACGGTCATCTGTAAAGGCTTGATTTGGCGCCTTGAGCCCTGGTCGGGGGGGGGGGGCAGTCGGGTGGGTAAGACGAACCGGCCAAGAGAAGAACCACTGGCGCTTGAGGGTTGATACGGCTGCCAAGGTACCAAGCAAAGTCTTCAACAGTCTGGGCCCGCTGTATCAAAGATGGGCTCCAACCAGCGCGACGGGCAGCGCGGCATAGAATCTTTTGCAACGACCAGCGTGAGGGCAGGACGGACGCGAGGAAGAATTATGGCCAAGTTTGAAGCCCCGAGGCGTCGGGCTGAGAGATTGGTTCAAACGTACCTGAGTGCGGCCCTGCAGATAAAGCCGGACAGGCTCCAAAGCTTGGGCCAGCACCAGTAGATCTTCAATGTCAAGATAGCGTGCCAGCAAGTCTCGGCGTCCGTCTTGGCTGGCCAAGCACTGCACCAAGTCTTCCACGCGAGCTGGGGGTCCACGAATTCGCGGTGCGGCTTGCTCTGGTTGCTGATCAGCTGGATCCATCGTATCCGCCCGATTCACAGCTACCCCTGCTTCCAACAGGTCACCTACGCCATGCCGGCCATCACTGTTCCCATCAACACCGTCAAGATCAGCACCATCACTGCCCTCAGCCGTCATCATGGCCTCGGCATCGCCAGCGTCGACCGCCGCCTCGTCGTCCGTCTCACGGGTGCTCATGTCGATCGACTCGGTTGGATGTCAGAATAAATTATCAGATCAGCATCAAAATGTCAGATTAACACGAATTGTCAGATTAGCAACGGATTGTTAGGTATTGGTGAAATCGAGGAGCTGGCCTGAAGATGTTGAAGGAAATATGATGGATACTGCACTCGGCAAGGCCAACTAGGAGGAAGAAGATGTAGTAGAGGGACAAGATGATGCAGATATGGACCGAGCCGGCGAGGGCAGCGCCATGGTCCCGCTCGTCGCGAGGGCCTCCATCCCCTCCTGAGCCGGTCGTCGGCCAGCCCCTTCTCCACGATAAGCACCCCTGCCCAGCCCTCTCCACCCATCCACTCGACCACACCACATGCGATGCAGGCTTGACAACCGGCTTCACCTCGTTGATGCCCGGTTGATGCAACCACATTTCGATACCGCCCATCACCACAAGCATTTGTTGGCCCCTCGCATTTCCTCCTGCTTCGTCATCTTCTCTTTCCATCGTGTGCCAACAACCGAGGTGGGGAGTGAATGTTGGGTCTTTCAACGGGAGCGACAACGGGAAAGAGCAGCAGCAGTCACAGCGACTTTATTTTCCCCCCGCACGTTGGTCAAGCAAGCTGCCGCCGCAGCGCTCCTTTGGCGGTGTATCGCTAGCTCTTCTGCTTGGCATTGCCATCTTCTTCTTATACTGCGCAACGCTCATTGGCGGCCCCCTTTGGAAGCCCTCAAACTCGAGCAAGATGTCTCAGCTCGCGGACAGTGCCGATGCTCCAGCCACAGACGGCACCCTTGTGTTTGATGCCGTGAGCCTTGAGCCCGGCTATCAGTTCACCGTCCAACAGAATGGCGAGAACCTCACCATGCGAGCCTTGGCCGAAGCGCTTCGCAACCAACCGGCCGCGGCCCGCAGCTTCCATGCACAGCTGGCTCACTACGCTCAGGCTGTGGGCGGGCCCATTTTTTGGGAGAGCCGGCCTTGCACGGATCCCGAAAGCATCTATGAGGCCGTCCTGTTGCCAGCCCCTGGCCTGACGGGCTGGGACCACCCGGATCTACATAGCTTTGACGCCCACTTTCGTGCAGCCATCGCTCAACGCGAATCAAAGCTCGCCACGAGATTTCCCAATCTCGATGGGGCATCCACCTTGGTCACCCCCATTATCCCCGACAATTTTGTTGGATCCCTCACTGACTATTGCCATTTGTCCAACTTCCTGCTCAGCCCAGCCATCACTCCTGAACAATACGAAGCCCTCTGGCACGAAGTCGGTACGGCCATTCTTCAGTGGCCCATGGACGATAATCAACCCCTCTACCTCTCCACCTCGGGTCTCGGCATTGCCTACCTGCACGTGCGCTTGGACCCCGTGCCCAAGTATTACACCTTTGAGCCCTACACTCGTCGGCCCAGCCGCATCTATTGAACGGATTCGACAAAGAGTCGCATTGCCATATCAAGTGTGGAGGAGGAGTAAATGTTTTCCAACAAGGGTTCGCCACACAGCTCAAGCCCCGCCACAACTCTTGAGGCGATTTGGTCCAGGAGTGGTTGGCGCGCAAGATGACTGATCATTTGATGGAGACGAGTAGGCCATTCGAAAACAAAGAAGAAAAAGAAAGGGCCATATACATGTAATTGATTCTGAAATCCAATTTATGGCTTCATTTTCATTTCAGTCTGCTGAAGTTGGAACACGTGTCAAGTGGTACGCGTATCTAGATCAAAAGCCAGCGCGCGTCCGATCAGTTTGCTATGCCGATACATGGGATTGTGTTCCAACACCTCCAACACATCTTGCAGCTTGATGCTAGATGTCTGCGCCTTGGCCTGCGGTCCCACCACCAATAGCCATATGAGTTTGAGATCCTTGATCATGGCAGCAAGCGGGGGAAGCGGGGGAAGCGGGGGAAGCGGGGGTGGAAGCCGTACACCGCGCATACCTTGGGAACAGCCGCACTTGTGGCGCTGGTCTTCTTTTTGTTTCGGTCCTACCAACAAGCAAACGATGATGAGCAGACGAGGCCCACAATAGCAGATAGTTAGTCGGTTAGAGACGCGCCGCCACGCAAAGCCTGAAAGATCAAACGTGAGGTACTACGCCAGAACGACGATTAAAACGACGACATACCCGACGCTTGTTGGCTTGATTCAAGTTGGCAAACACGTTGTTGAGCTTGCTGGGCGCCGACGTTGGCTGTGCCTGTGGGACACGCAGCAAGGCACGTTTGTGAGAAGGCGAACAAACTCTTGGCCCGGGCAAGACGTAGGTGTGTCACGAAACTCAACACACCGTGGCCGTGCTCGCAGTTTTGCCCTGCTTTTGCTTGACTTGAACTTCACGCAAAATCTTCCACTGCTCATCATGGTTGCTGACGATCTCCCTGCGCATTTCACACCCCCAAAGGTCCATGCTCGGGTGAGTTTGAAAAAGAGCATGTTAGGGAATGCAAAAGGGCAGGATTGGCGGGGTGGACATACGTGTCGCCGAGTTGCCGATCGTGTTCTCGGTGCTGGCAGCTCAGTCGACATTGCTCGATCAAATGGCGAACCATGCTCTGCAGCGGGGCACGGCGCAGTGTGTGAGCGTTTAGCTCTTCGCTCACACCTCACACCTCACTGTCATTCCTGACATTCCTGATTGTCCCGATTACAGCGATCGCTTCGAATAGCCAACATCGCCGATGTTCATACCTCGGTAGCGGCACTGATCATGATGTACACTTCATCTGCAATCACCGCCGAGGCTGATGCGGCCGACGTTTTCATCTCACAAAGTCGGGCCAATGCTGCGGCAGCACAAGAGCAGACCAGCAAACACGATGGATCAAAAACACTCTAATTTGCTTGGTTCGCTCAAATCGGCATGCAGGTTATCATACCAATGGGCTCCAATAGCGAGTGCAAGAAATGCGGATTGACAAAAAGCTCGTGCTGGAGGCGAGCAATGGCTGGTGGCAAGTTCACTTCTGTAATTGCCCATTGTTGTGTCGTCAGCAACCAAGATAAGGTCGAGAATTTAGAGGAAGCACGTGGGTTGGACACGCAAGGGCGGAGGGACTTTGGCTGCCATGGACAAAGAGGACCGGCACATTTGTAACGTTTGACACCAACACGTACCGTGGGTGCTCGCAGCAGCGGGGCTTTGTTGGCCGGTGGTATTCAGCTGTTTGGCTCCCGTGTATGCGTCTGCCTGTGACTTCCTGGACAGTGCCTCGGCCTTGTTGGGGGCGTACGTTCGGGTCGGTTCAGGGATGGGCGCCTTCTTAGTCTCTGCCTTGTGTACTGGAGGCGTGGCAACAGGAGCGTTGGTCAAAGCCGAAGCAGCTGGGGTGGTAGCACCATCACTGGCAGCAGATTTGGCCTTTTTCGCGGGTGGCCTTTGATCTTTAGATGGGCGCTTGGCACCCGATCCGGTAGCCGGGGCAGGTCGTTGGGGACTCGTGCGCGCCGCCGAGGAGTCAGCGGCCTTGGGCTTGCTGGTTGCCTTGGGCTTGGCAGACAGGTTGGAAGGAGCTGCATCATAGTTGGCCAACAAGCGAGCGGGGCACGTGAGAATGAGTGACTGGCAAGGCCTCATGCATTGAGCATGAATGACTGACCATTTTTCTTCAGCATCTGCCAAGAGGAGCACGGGTGGTAACGAGTAAGCATGATAAGGGTGGGGAAGGGTGCGTGTGAGGCAGCTGTCAATCAGCAGGCAAATTTGGCCATGGAGGCCGCAAATGTGTGGCGGGCGTGACGAACCGAGAGCTGAGGAATAAAGTTGGTCAGGGTATGGGTAAACTCCTCTCGCTTCTCGTGTGGGGCGTAACCCATTGCAACGGCATAGTCGATCAGCTGTTTTGGACTAACAGAGTGAAAAATAAAAGTATCAAAGAGGCGCAAGCGCATATCATTGCTAGCCTCACTGCCCGCGGAGGCTGCCCGGCGTTCCAAAGCACTGAGGAAACGGAATAGTTTATCAAGTCTGGGCTTGATCGCAGCTGAGATGTTGGCTTCGGGTGGGCAATAGTACTTCTGAATCATCAAGGCAGCCGTTTTGTTGGACAGTTTGGCGGTCTCAGATGTCCGCTGGGGCAGCGGCAGCGGCCTGTCTTGAATGGGACCACGATAGCTAACGCCAACAATGAGTTCGATGTCGCTGGTCTCTGGTGGTCCCTCTGACTTGGATGTGGCTGTGGCAGCGGGCCTTGCGGCTGTTTGAGCCGCTGCGGCGGTTGGAGGAGTCGTTGATGTAGTCGCTGCCGCCGTCGATGCTACTGGCTCGGGCGCGGTCGGTGGCGGCACATAGGTGGCATGTTGACGTTCCACGGGATGGCGAGCATAGGCGTCCGCTGCTGTGGATGAGGGAGCTGGCGCTGCACCTAGGCTGCCGGACGAGGAGCTCGGTTGATTCAGCTTGGGGCGTTTGTAAGCATGCACGGAGAGATCGCGTTTGAGAGCACCGGCGTCAACGGAATCATCCTCATCCTCATCATTGTTCACAGAGGCTTGCACGCGCGGCTGAGGGGGCGGGTTTGCAAAGGGCATGCGTTTGCCCGGACCGACGTGCGGGGTGGCAGCAGGGCCAGGCTTTCCAGAGCGGGCGGCTGGTGGCACACCGGCCTGCATCCGAGCATACTGGGGCTTCCCTGTGCGTACCGCCGAGGGGATGGTGCTGCCTCCAACGGGCTTGCCACCCCCAGCCATGCCCACGCCCGGTTTGCCACGCCCGGCCGTAGGCTTACCCCCACCCGTTGGTCGAGCAGGACCGCCATTGCTGGGCACACCGCTCATGGGCTTGCCACGGGACATAGGCTTCCCGCCTGGCATGGGCTTTCCTGCCGGTGCGGGTTTCCCACCACCGACAGGGCGCGCAGATGGTGTGGGCTTACCTCCACCATAACCGGGTTTGCCCCCACTGCTGGGGTATGCGGGCTTGCCGCCGGAGGTAGCGCGCAGAGGTGGGGCCGGTTTGCCTCCACCGTACGAGGGCTTTCCACCACCGACTGCGCTGCCACTGTTAGGGGCTGGGGCGAAGGAAGGCTTGCCGCCGGGCATGGGCTTGCCGCCGGGCCGGCTCGGTTTACCTCCGCCCATGCCTGGTTTGCCTCCACCCATGCCTGGTTTGCCACCACGACCCAAGGCCGCACGGGGGGGCGCGCCGCGCCCATAGGCACCAGGCTTGCCACGGCCTGCGGCAGGAATATTGTCCCAGTCTGCCATTATGCCTACTATTGTCCCGTGTTCACAGCGAAACAGGCCCGGAACGCGTGCGTAGCGAAGTGCCAGTAGTTCTCAAGGGGCAAAAGGCCACGCGGTCCCAGGCCCACAACAGGCGCCGCGACGCTGCAGGCAGTTGGACAAATCTCCTCTGACGTTCACCGCCCCTCCATCCTGTCTGGACACCCTGGCATCGGCGGGTGCACACGAACAAGTAGTCTGCTCTGCTCCTGCACCAAATTTGTTGGAATGCCACTAGAATGACCACTCGGTGTTCACCTGGTCCAGCCGCGTGCCAAGAGGATGGCAGGGCTTATGATCGCTTGAATCGAGACAGAAAGATGGCCGCCGCCTATCCCACATGCCAGCACAAAGTCGCGTGTGAGTGTAGTGGGACCGACCCCGCTGACCTTGACCCTGGCCTCGTCCCCCAACCAGCGCAACACATTTCAAATCTGCTCAATTTCTCGCCCTCCCCCCGGTCCCCCATTCCCCCCTCCACCTTCTGCACGCGCTTTGCCCACGCTGCCATATTCATTCTCACCTGCAACCGCCACCACCACCTCGAGAGAAAAAAAAAAAAAAAAAAAAGAGAGAGAGGGACAGAGAGAGAGAGAGATAAGAAGAAGGCATCGTTTACAATTGGTAACCCCCTTGTCAGATAAATCGGATGATCTGACATTTACGCTTCTGCTCTTCTGCTTCTTCTTGTTCTCGTCTTTTTGGCGGTGGAGGCCTCTCTCTCCTTCCTCAGCTTGTTGATCGCCCTGATCGCCCCCGCGGTCACCGCTTGCCCCTCTGTGTGTGTGTGTGTGTGTGTGTGTGTGTGTGTGAGTGGTGGTGGTGGTGGTGGTGTCTCATGGCAGGGCCCTCGGTCAAGACTTTCACTTCAAGTGCGGGGGTGGATTGCACTGAGAAAAGTCATTTGCCAGCTGCCTCAAAGCAGGACGTGTCGACATGAAGAGTGCCTCCGAGGTCATTGACCTCTTGCTGCTGCGCCTGGTGCAGCTCGGCACGGACCTTTGGTATCATCCTGCCATCCAGGTCCGATGAAATACCCTGCTGGGTGGACCTGCCTGGCATTGATCCGTCAAGCGAATGTTGACCGGGATCTCACCCATCGGTCTGCTGCAGATTCTGCGCAAGTTTTGCCTTCTAACAGCCTTTCTCCTTGCCGTCTTTCACGTGATGCTGGGCGCGGGAGTGGTCATTTATGGGTGGGTGGGGCGCACCTTCGCCAAGTTGATGGATACTGCCAGTATCGTGCCATGTTTTAACGCAACCCGTGCCATGTTTCAACGCAACCCGTGCCATGTTTTAACGCAACCCTGCATCTTTCTCCTCTCAGGCTGTTTTACTACGCCTACGTCCCAAAGGCTGCGTACGAGTGGCCCGTGCACTTGACACAGACAGGGGCTGAGCCCCTCGCTTCTATCGTGAGTCGATCAATCAAAACAAATGACCCAGCTGCTTTATCATTTTTCTCCCCAGCCTCTTCCCTTCACCTCGATTGCTCCTATACCCACGCTATCGACTGGCCTGCCCTCTAGGTGCCGTTGAGCCCTTACACCGGCGGACCGACGCACACGCCCACCAGCGTCCTCAGTGCACGCACAGGTAATGATCAGCGCTGAAGGCCAAGCCCCGGGTGATCAATGCTTTTCATTTGTTGCACAGCCTACACGTTGGCTGGCTTGCTCTCGCACTTGTCTGACCCGCCTCGGTCCCATGATCTAGAGTATCATTTTTATCTTGAGCTTGTATTACCGCGCTCGCCCGTCAATGTGGCTGTTGGTACGCTGAGCCCCGCATTCCGGGCCTACAAAGAAAAGAAGAAGAAGAAGAAGAAGAAGAGGAAATTAGGGGTCTCAGTGGCAACATGCGGCAGCCATTTCTCAGACCCGTTAGCCCTCTACCTCACTCGCGTTGTGTTTGGTCGATGCAGGCAGCTTCACAGCAACTTGCCATTTGCTCTACTCGCTGGAGCAAGCCTTTGAGCTGCCCACAGAAGCCACACCATTGGGCACGCCTTTTCCGGCCTTGTCAGGCAAATCGAGCGAGACGCAACAGAGTGCACCGCCCACCGCGCAGCCGGGTCCGCTTGCTCCGTCCACTGCGATCGTCACCTCTCAGGTATGTGCCGTACACATCCTCCTTTGGTGGCCGGCTGCGCAGGCGCTTCTCACTCGATTTTCTCGATGTTTGCATTTGGTCACGCAAAAAAACAAAAAAAACAACAACAACAACAAAAAACACCATATCGACAGGCTTGGCATTTGGCTGCAACGGCGCCGCACATACACAGCATCCGGCGCTCTGCTATGATACCCTACCGTTCCACCATGGTGGACACGCTGCGGAAGGCGCTTTTGATTGTGCCGCTTACACTGGGGCTGTTGACAGAGAGTGACACCGTCTTCATTCCGCTCTTTGAACACTTTGTGGATGATCTCGAAGCACCAGTCCAGTATGCGCGCATTGAAGTGTCGGCCCCGCGCCTGCAGGTTCAATCAGCCCGCCTTATTGCCAAAGCCAACATGAAGGGCATGGCCTATTGGATGTACCATTGGTACATTAGCAGCTTCTTCGTGGGTGTCAACGCCATTGCCGGTACGAACCATGGCGCAATTTGGCAAGAAACATTGTCCTTCGACTTTTCACACACCACTCACTCCTTTGCAACCGACTGTCCACACTTAGGCACACTGACGGTCCTGGCATTTGTCGTGTTGATTGCCGTCTTTCAACGCGAGGCCACCGCCTTTTTTTCCCTGGAAGCAACGCCTGAAGCGTGGCAAGCCGAGCAACCCGAGGCACTCGCCAGTAAACCTAGGACAGTACCCGAGGGCCTGGTGCTCGATCCGATCACTAATCTCTTCGTACTGCCAGCAGAGGAGAGCGAAGCAGCAGCTGTTGGCAACGAATCAGACACACTCCTAGAGTTGACTGAGCCGGACGAACGCCACGAGCTCGATCTAGATGGTGCAGCAGCCGCAGGGGTGGAAAGTCATCCGACTGAAGCCTCGCTGCGGCATCGCCATCCGCATGTCCTCCAGACACCGTGACGCACCGACCATCTGGTTCACATCCAATCTCTTTCCTGAACGCCCTCCCTTCTCCAGCTTCCAGGCCGCGCCCAAAGTCACAAGATGGCAACTCGTCACAATCAAAGCAAACCGTGAACGGTGGCTTTTTGTCATCCAAGATCGCATCAGAATCTCAATGACGGCGAATTGGTGGGCTTGACGACAAAGCTTGACAGATGGTGTCTTTCTGGAATGTTGCGTGAGTGGCGGACGCGCATGACGTCGCCGTCACGATGAAGCTCTTGCGACGCTCCTTGCTAGACTCTGTCGATCGATTCTCTGGTCAGACTAACTTCTGGTCCTTTTAGGAAAGCAAAAAATCAAAAATATACATGAAGCTCATTCTTGCCAACTTTTATGTCACGGCCTCTGCACGTCCAGGCGCTCGCATGGTAGAGAGCTATGCACAGCCACCTTCACGCTCCCGTGCTAGCCGCAATAAATCATTAAGGTCTTCTGAGAAACACGCGCACCATGTAAGCCCGGCGCACAAGCCCATGAAGCTACAGCGCTTTGCCAAAGCGAAAGATATTGCGCCTGCATGTGCTAACCTGAGGATGGGGTCGAATGCTCTGGCCACATTTCCAAGAGCCACCCGCAAATTGCCTTTGCCAAAGTCATGCCATACAGCGTTGAACATGGCAAAGTGAGCCAGGTTTGCTTGTACGTGTGTGTGTGTGTGTGCGTATGCACACATGGTGGCATCGGTTCTTCAACGGATGCAAGTATGCAGAGCAGATGTGATATACCTCTTGTCGCTGTGGGGTAAGACGCGGTTTGATTTCGTGTATCAACGTGCCGAGCAAAGCCAGGCCACCACGTCTGTTGTCAAGATGAAACAAGTGTGGATGATAGGGGTCAGAGATGACGGCAAGCAGGGCTGAGAAGCGGCCATCCGTCTGCATACCGAGTGTCAGCATCGCTGCTTCGAATGTACTGTCGACATAGCTGTAGGAGGGGCTGAGCAAAAGGTACGCAGGCTAGGCGGGCAGCCTATGGGTGTAGCAAACCTGGTGAGGTGCTTGACTGGTTGTGCGCGACGAGAAGGCGTCTTGTGCGGCTGATGCGGGGTGGGCACATGCACAGCGCAACAATGTGGCCGGCCCGACGTACCGCAACGACAGGTTGCAGCGCCCGGGCATACAGTCGAGTGCGCGCGGTCCGATCTTCATGCTGGATCAGCACCAGAATCTAAGAGGGCGCAAAATAGGGTGTGGGAACGGCATGTGGGCTGGGCAGAGATTACAGATGACGCGGGGGAGACAAACCTGGGAGAAAAAATCAAAGTATACATCATCATTGTCGCGCAAGGGTTTATAGCAGAGCATCGGAAGAAGCTGTGCTAGGCAAGGCCAGCTGGCGACGACGTTCTCAGCTTCGCTGGTGTAGACAAATGGCTTGATGGCTGCGTGAAGGACCTGGGATTCGATCAATGCAGGTGAGGGTGATGGGGAGGATCAGATGCGTCTCGTGGCCTCAAAAGGGAAATAGCCTCGCAGGGCAAGCTGGCCCGTTTGGAGGTTGGTGAGCAGTTGAGAGCACACCTCGGCCTGACCACGGGCAATCACATGGGCATCGGGCGTTTCGTTGAGGAGATGTGCCAGCGCTTCCAGGCAGGGGATGTGATACTCGGGCTATGGAACCACAGTGCCGCAGGCATGAGAAAAGGCAGTCATGGCGGATCAAGCAGAGGGTGGGTGGCAATTGAGCCGTACCTCATGGGTATCCAAGACCTGCAAGAATAGAGGCAAGAGTTGATCAAAGACTCGGCTAAGGGCACCCGCAGGCCCAAGAGAAGACCGGATGAAGGCGAAGGTTGCGGCGCGTCTTGCTGAGTGGTGACTGGGTCGAGGGGCAGAGCAATGCGGTTTTGACAGGGGGAAAAGGCATAACAATATGCCAACCAACCTGGCGTGGGGGCTCTTGGTTTGGAGAGCGAGGTGAAAGATGGCTGGAAGGAGCCATGTGCGAGAGGCCCAGTCACGGACATGCCAAAGCTTGACAATCTGCACCCATCGGCATTCAAAAAAAAAAAAAAAAAAGTGATCATGAGAGGGGAGCAGAGGGGTGGCATCGGATGATCCAGGTTGGGTCAGGTAGAGCAGGGGCACGACAGCCAGCAGAACAGACGTCAGGGATGATGAGCGCAAGCACTGGGGGCACCGTAGGATTTGACTCCCCGAGGACGACGACCAGGGCCTGCCAAGACTCTTGAGCTGGGATGATGCCGAGGGCTGTCGTGTACGCAACAAGGCATCGGGTGAAGAGCAGCGGGCTGAGACCACCATGGCCGGCGGGAATGATCGCGCTTACCGGCAGGGATGGCCGCGTAGGCAGCAGCGGCTGTTGCGAGGGATGTGTCAAGTTGCTGGTGAGGCAAGAGTAGGCGAAGAAGGAGGGCGAGATTGGCCACGGCCGGGGACGAGGGTTGGACCAGGGGTGGCTGCCAGGTATTGAATGCCGCTTGAAGGGCAGCGCTGAGCTCGCGAGTGTTCAAACCCTTGGCCACATAAACCTCGAGTTCAGAAGCCGTCACGGGGGTTGTTGCACCCAGCGCCAGCGTGTGGCCCTGCTCGTCAACCAGATCCAGTCGACCGGACGCTGCACTCGCACTGTCCGGCGGCAGCCAGCGCACGTGGACGCTCATGATTCTGATTTTGGAAAAGGCGGTCTTCTCGAAGAACCATTCAAAGAACAAATCAGGTCTTTTCTTGTTTTCGCTGCTCGGCGCTTCAACGCAAGCCCGCCCCGCCTCAGCCCATCAATCGCTGCTCAGCTCAGCCCCCGCCCCTCCCCAGCGAAGTCAGGGAACAACAACTGCTCGAGAGAGAGAGAGAGAGAGAGAGAGAGAGAGAGAGAGAGAGAGAGAGAGAGAGAGAGAGAGAGAGAGAGAGAGAGATGAATTGGTTTGAGAAAGAGAGAAAATCAAAGACACAAAGGAAAAGCGCAACTACCACAGAGAGAGAGAGTGTGTGTAACGGTAGAAATTAATTTTAAAGGGGCTTGTTTTAGAATGTATCTTGTACGGAGCATGGGCAATGGCTGACACTCTCTTGCAAATTAAGTCATCCAGTTGGCCGGACTTTTGTTTCTTCATCCGATACCAGCTCCGAGACATGTGTACCACCATCGAGCAACCGCCGTCTTGAGAACGACAGCGATCCGAGTTCAAGAGCAGAGGGAAGAGCGAGAGAAACAGAGATGAACTTGAGCAAAAGCAAGGGATACGCAGCAAAGACACGACGGAGTAGCAAAACTAGAGAAGACATCAAAGAGACAAGGTTGGGTTTCTTACCATCATCATGTGATTCCGATTCATCTGACGTTTAAGGCTCGTTTCGGCTCGAATACACACACTGGGCACACGCTCAAGTTGTGAATTGCATTTTGCACGCACGCGCGCACTCACTCACTCACACACACACACACACGCAGTATCAGAGACACGGACGGACCAGTGGATCGGATCAGAACGCGTCGCTCTTGCAGGGGGAAAAGGGGGGCATTTTGGAACGACGGTGCGCCCGATCGGAGAAGCTTGGCCATGTTTCACGTGTCACCCACCGGCCCAGCGTAAGTTGCATTTGGTATGGAGGCTTGTGCGACGTGGACAAGTGCCGTTGATCGATCGTGCCCGGCCAATCATCCGGCTCGGCGTGGGGTTCGCCCAGCGTAGAGCTGTCGTGCGACCACTCATTCTGAATCCGAATATCTCTGGTCTTGCTCTTCCCAACTCCATTTCATCTCTCGCTTCGCAGCGTTACCGCGACCGCAACGGAAGCCAACTCAGCACCCCACAGCCCAACCCCGCAGACGCCGGAGCAGCAACAGGAGGGCTCCACCACGCAAATGTCCAAGAGCATGGTGAATATCCCACTCGGGGCCAATGCCGATGCTAATGACCATGCATCCGAGGCCGACGGCAGCCAGGACGTATCCGAGGTGGCTCATGATCGACCCGCCTCGGAGCAGCCTTCCTTGGGCTCCAAGACTGGCTCAGCTTTAAATCTACGCAACGGCGGCGATGAGCCACGTTCGCCCTCGCCTGCAGCGCACTCAATGGGCACCACAGCCTCGTCGGCCTCAGAGCAAAACGCTCAGAGCGATCAAGGCCTAGCGGATGGCATTGGGGGTAAGTCAGATTGCGAACAAGGCTCGCAAAGTCAAGTCATGCCTCTCACTCACAACCTCTTCGCTGCTCTGCTCTGCACGTCATGTTGCAGATGACTTTGTGACCATTGAAGACACATCACGCCCACGTTCGCAGACGGCTCCATCCTCCCGGTTAGTCACGGGCATTTCAGCGCTGCATCGATTGATGGGCACCATCGCCTCATGTCCGTCTGTGTCGTTGAACCAACGCACGGCTCGCAGGCACCGTGCACGGTCTCAAACAATGGACAGCACTCAAAGCAATGAAACCAGTAGCAGTAGCAGCCAATCCCGTCGAGTGCGTCTCAGCACTACCCTGTGCCCTCTTTGTCATGTCGCTCATGAACCAGCTTTTGCCAAAGTGAGCTAATACATTAGCTTTGACCCCGGCTCGTACCATAGGTGCGCAAAAAGAGCATGTCTGGGGTTAGCAAAGCCTTCAAATCTCTAATGGGCTCGCGCGACGACAGCTTCCTGCATGTCCTCTTCAAGTCCCTCCCCCCGGAAGAGCATCTCTTGGAAGGTAACACCATGTCGCACCAGAGCCCCGAGCTGCGGCCGACCGCTGTCGCTTCGAACCTCACACGTGCAACATGTCCCTCAGACTTTTCGTGTGCGCTACAACGCGACATTCTGGTGCATGGACGACTTTACGTCTCGCAAAACTACCTGAGCTTTTATGCTAATATTTTTGGCTGGGAAACCACTCTCAGCGTGGAACTTTCGGAGGTGGCGAACCTACGCAAAGAGCGAACCGCTTTGGTCATCCCTAATGCCATTCAGGTGCGTGCCCTTTTCTGTTTTGTTTCTCAACTCACTCTCGCGTGTGACACAAGAGCCGATGCAAAGGGAGGGAATGGCCATGTGCTCATTTTTGCTGTACCCTTCAATGCAACTTCCCCCCCTCCCCATGTTGTTTTTCAAGGTGGTGCTCAAGGATGGAACAAAGTACACATTTAGTTCTTTTATCGGTCGTGACACGGCATATCGGTGAGTCCAGAAGCACAACACGTGTGCACGGACAGAAGTGGGCAGAGCTAGCCACCCATCTGTCAAGCCTTGGAATACCTCTCGCCCATATCATTGACCACCAGGCTTTCCTCTGTTCATCCTTGTCGTTGGGTGTTCTTGTAGGTGCCTTTTTTGTGTCTGGCAGAATTCATTGATGCCAGAGCCACGCTCAGCAGCCGAGCTGCTCCGGGCCACGAGTAGCAACTGGACAGGCGGCCTCGAGGCGCTGGCGCCACCCGTGTCCGTGCAATCGACCGATCCTCCTGCAGCTCCTAGCACTGATCGCGAGGAGAGCCCCCAGCCAGTATCTGATGTCGTGCCTGGTAGTCGGGCCTGGCGTAAAAAGCACCGCGCCTCACCAGCCAAACTGCGCCAAATGCGTCGCTCCATTGGCAGTTCGCGTGCCAGTGATTTGGACAACCTGGACGGCGATGTCACCGAGTCAGACGGCTTGTCAGTCAACATGGACACAGCTCTTGAATACGAACGACGTCAGATTGCTCGTGCCGCTGAGGATTTGCTGGACGATATCCGTCGCTCCCAACATGCTTCTCTCGGTGATCAAGACGAAGCGGATGACGATGGTGACGAGGAAGGCAATGAAAAGGACAAGGACGAGGACGAAGACGAAGACGAGGACGAGGACGAGGACGGAGCTGGAGTCGACGAGGCCAATGATACCTTCCAGGATGAGCTCAGTGAGCCTCATCGCTCTAAAGTATCAGACAAGCATCGCGAACGTGCCAGTGAGGATGGCAGTCAGAACTCAATATCGCTGCTACCTATTCGGTACCCTGAGGAAACCTGTGACTTTGGCCGCTTCGTCGTGGATGAGGTTTGTCCCGCCGCCGAAACGCAGCCGAGACGCGCACACATCTTTTGCAGTATGCTACCAAGTTGAGCCCCTGCCATGTCTGTTCTGACGCTACGTGGCTGCCATCCGTGGTAGGAATTCGATTGCAGTGTGGAGGCCTTGTATAAGCTCTTGTGCAAGCCATCACCTGTCTACGACCGCGTCTATGAAGCAGAAAAAACGACCAATGTTGAGGTCAGTCCCTTGCTCGTCGGCACATTGGCACATTGTTGCAGCTGCCGGCCAGCTTTTCGCTACTTGCGGGCACTAAACTTTCGTCCGGACACGTTGTGGTCTCATGCTTCTCTTCCTCATGGGTGCGGGCAGGCTACGGAATGGGCGCCAAACAGCGACAATCAGCTGGAACGCAAGCTATCATACACTCTATCCCTCAACTACAGCTTTGGGCCCAAGTCAACGCGAGGCGAGGAGCGTCAAGTTGAGCGCGAGCTTTTACACAATCACTACTTTGTTGTTGATTGTGAGGTCTTCACACCCAAGGTCCGTCTGAACATGTCATGCTCATTTGGGCCAGGCATGTCTGGTCACTGCAACGGTGTCACGTTGATCAGGGTGCTACCCCAAGCAAGTCAACCGAAAGCTCGCGCCTCGACCTCACACGCGTGGCTCGGATGGTCATCACTTGTCGGACCCCTAGGTACCGTACGGGGATAATTTTTACAACCAACTGCGGTATCATGCCCAGCGGGTAGAATCCGGCAAGACCCGCCTACAAGTCTGTGTCAGCATCAAGTAAGGACCTCTGAACCTGGCGGATGTGCAAGCGTCAGGGTCAATGCTGCGGTGTCACTCATGTTCATGCCACAATCGCATTTGTGTTGTGTGCAGCTATCGCAAAGGGGCGCCTTGGAAAATGGTGCGCAACCTGATCGAAAGCAATGCCTGGAAAGGCATCAACAATTTTTGGAATCTGATGTTGGACAACCTTCGTGGTGCGTATATCAGGCTTTCGTTGCGCTATGGCCCAATTTGGCCAGGGTTCGTTCGAGCTGGCTGCGCTGATTGGCTGTTTTGATGACACACAGATGAAGTGCAGAATCTTCCAGCAGAGGAGCGATACAGCGAGAAGGAGCTGGCTCAGGCCAATTCTGCAGGCTCACTTGAGCAGCTGCAGAATGGCGGGATTGAGACGCTGCAAAGTACGGAAACCACTCATTCGAGGGGCCGGGTGGTCTCGCATACGCGTACTGCCTCCATCAACAGCATTCTGACGGAAAAGGCCAAGGTATGGTTCTTACACAATGGTGCGATTTTGTTTGCACCTGCCTTCAATTACCTCGAAAGCTCACGATCCATGGTCTGGGACCCAACTGAATTTATTCCGTGCAGCTGGAGCGTGCTTTGGAAGAGTCACGAGAACAGAGTCGAAGCCACGCTACCAGTCGAACCGCGTCGGCATCAATGCCACCACTCGAGGCGGACGCCGTCTTTACTTCCACTCCATCCCACTTTTCCAAAAGCGCAACATCCAGCGATCACGTGCCGGCCGATTCAAGCAATGCGCAAATTCTGTTCTGGCTGCAGGTGGTGGCTGGCTTCATGTTCTTGCTGGTCCTGCTGAATCTGATGCTCATCTACCAGATGACCTGGGCCCATGGTTCACACAACGCCGAGTCAGATGATCGCCTGGCCACGGCGCTCAATACGATCGCGACAATCTTGCAGCAGCAACAGCAGTCGAATGCTTGAAGATCTTTGACGTGTTTCCATGTCCAGCTGCGCAATTGATACTGGCTGATGTTCAAAGATTGGCACGCTATATTTCGTCAGGAGGGAAGATTTCAAGTCAACCCGGCTAGCCACGTCCTGATTTTCACTTGGAAGAAGACCACAGCGCGATGGACAATCAGGCAGAGAGAACAGCCACAGACCACAGACCGAGGCGCATACGCACAGACACCATGACACACTGCCAAATCAGTTTCACAAAAAAACACAAAAACGTCAGCAAAAATGACATCTGAATGTGTGTGTGTGTGTGTGTGTGTGTGTGTGTGTGTGTTGCTTGCTCAACAAGGCATCACGTGCTGGACCAGTGTTTGTGTGTGTGTGTGTATGTGGTGACTTGCTGGATGCCACTAATTTTTTTTTTTATTGCCTGTGCTGGCGAGCGACGGACGGGTGCAGCAAAACGGCAGCGCACACGCTTTCTTCGTGGATTTGGTGTATGTACTGGCCTTGGCTTTGACGGACTTGACGGATCAGGTCGTTCTTTGGTGGGTCAAGGCATCATGTCTGCTGCACCGCAAATGACCGAGGCCCATGAGGCGCTTGTGTTGGAGCTGTTCAAGGTCGGCGCTATCAAGTTTGGCGAGTAAGTACCGATGTGGCATGTCTTGCGAACCTCGCAGCCGACCAACACCAGCTCTTTTTTTTTTTTTTTCCACATACGTTCCATCGCTGGACACAGATTCACGCTGAAGAGCGGCATTGTCTCCCCCGTCTACGTGGATCTGCGCGTGCTCGTGTCCTATCCCTCGCTTTTGAACCAGGTGCGGTCGACCATATCTTGTGCAGGACGACGGCCCTGTTGGTGTTCGAGTTGCAAGGGTGGTGACAGCTTGTGGCTGCAGGTCACTCGCCTTTTGTATCTTGGCTAGGTTGCTGACCTGCTGGTCGAAGCCACGAAGAGCTGCCAGTACGATGTCTTGTGCGGCGTCCCCTACACAGGTGAGATTTGATGGATGTGAGCGCCGGGAAAATTTCCACCCGACTGCACCCGTCAAGCAATGTTGGCTGGCCTTGGTTTTGATGCTTTCACAGTTGCGGCGTACCCTGGGCCCTATTGCCCACTGGTTCTCATCTTGATGGTGCTCTAGCATTGCCTTTCGCAACCATCATGTCCGCCAAGGTCAACAAGCCCATGCTCATGCGCCGCAAGGAAGCCAAGGCTTACGGTACCAAAAAAATCATCGAGGGCGTGTTCCAAGCTGGTGAGTGCCACATCTCGTACTTTGAGTTCTTTGCTTTGTGGCTAGCCTGCGCGCGCCCTGCACCAGCTACACTGATCCCACGCTGCGCGAACGCAGGCCAAACCTGCCTGATTGTGGAAGACCTGGTGACTTCTGGCCTCTCCGTATTTGAAACGGTCAAGCCACTTGAAGATGAAGGGTACGCGCTGCTGTCTCGCGCTGCTTTCTTTGGGTGCTTCCGCGCTTGCTTGTCGTGCGTCACCTGACTGCGGCGTTGCTCTGGTTACTCTCACATGGGCCGGGCTGTTGTGTGCGTGTTATCTCTTGGATGGTTCATCACAGCCTAACTGTCCGCGACGTGGTAGTGCTGCTGGACCGCCAACAGGGCGGCGAGCAGAACATTGTGACTCGGGGCAAGCATCTGCACAGCATCTTGAAGTTGTCCTTTGTATGTTCAGCTGGATCATGGTGCTGGACATCATGAACAGATGAATCGCTTATGAGGCGGCGGTGCTTGCTTAGGTTTTGGACGTGCTGCAGAAGAAGGAGCTGATTGAGCCAAGCATGGCTGAGCGCGTCAAGGCGTTCATTGCCGAGAACCAAGTGACCGTAACTGCTGATAACAAGGCACAGACTGCTGATGCACCTTCTGCCAAGAAGGCCAAGGTCACAGGTCAGGGCGATTGTGAAGCGTTCCTGAGCATGTATATGAAAATCCCGTCCATGACTTGAGTTGGCATGTGCTCAGGGCCAAGTTATGAGGATAAGCTTTCGGCAACCAGCAATGCCGTGGCCAAGCGATTTATTGAAACCATGGTGAGAATGACCCCACGTCTCAGGTTGCGCATCAACCATCGTTGCTCATTTTGTCGGGTACAACGGGTTTTGACAGCTGCGCAAGAAGAGCAACCTTTGTGTCGCTGTCGATGTGACGAGCGCCGCCGACCTACTTGAAATTGCCGCCGGTCAGTTGACCCTGGGGTTGACTTTGATACCGCGTGCGATCGTGATGACTTTGGACCATCGGACTTGCCAAACACACAGAGGTGGGTCGCTACACCTGCTGCATCAAGACACACTGCGACATTGTAAGCGATTGGACCGAAGCGACTGCCACGGCCCTGCGCAAACTGGCTGAGGAGGTACGGCATGCAAGCATGTGTGAGAATGCGTGCGTGAGCGTGAGCGTGCGCGTGTGTGCGTGTGCGCTGGACTTGTTTTAACTCTTCTACTTCTTTGGCTCTGTCTTTCCGCATGCAGCTGGACTTTATGATCTTTGAAGACCGCAAGTTTGCTGACATTGGCAACACAGTCAAGCTGCAATGCTCTGCCGGCCGGTACAAGATCGCTCAGGTCTGTCAATCCACAAATCAAGTCGCTGCTCCGAAGGCCATTTGTCAGAGTGCTTCCTCAAGCACATATGCCCCCCTCATTATTTGCATGGGCGCCACTGTTACAATCTTGTCGTGCATAGTGGGCTGACTTTGTCAACTGCCATGCCCTGCCGGGCCCGGGTGAGTTACCATGAGCGGTCGTTGCACCACTTTATTCTTTCGCTTCGCATCCTTGGCCAGCCGATGCATGCTAACGATTCAGGGCCTGTTTTATGATCTTGCAGGCGTCGTCGATGGTCTCAAGGCTGCGGCGGAGGAGGTCAAGCGTGACGTTGGTATTGTGGTTCTGGCACAGATGAGCAGGTGCGATGGCAAACTAGCAATTCTTGATTACCCACACATGTTAATGGCACAGGCAGTGCTGCTCCCTCACGCCAACTCGTGCTGGGGTTCACAGTGCGGGCAGCCTGGCCACGGGCGAGTACACTACCAAGTCGGTGGAACTCGCGCGCCAGTATCCCCAGGAAGTGTTTGGTATGTGCAACGCCATGCTTGTCGATGTTCTTTGTTGCAGCAATGGGGTGCTTTCGCTCACTTGCAATTGTGCTCGTCTGGCCAGGATTCATTGGCCAAGAGCGATTGGGCGACGAGGCCCACTTGGTCATGACGCCAGGTCTGTTCTGTGGGCTGTTGCAAAGCTTTGAATCAACGCGTTCCTGCACGTGAGGCATCTGCGGTTTCTCATCGCACTCTTCGTGCGATGCAGGCGTCAAGCTGGCGGCAGGTGGCGATGCGCTGGGTCAACAGTACAACACACCCCAGAGGTTTGTTCTCACCCTCTGACTTGGCAAACAGAATGCACAACCTGCTCATATCACTGTTGACGCATGGCACGGGCTTTGGTGATAGTGTATTGGTGGAGAAGAACTGTGATGTCATTATTGTGGGTCGGGGTATTACGAGGTATGCTGCCGGTCGAGCCTGTTCACGATCACTGAGCGTCTCTTTCACTTATAGTGTGGCTGTGATAATCCCCTGGATGTACCATAGTGCCACGTCCCGGGCCGAAGCTGCTGCGGAGTATCAAAAGGCAGGCTGGGCAGCTTATGAAGCACGTCAGGCTTAAACCATCAGCCAGCAAGTTGGATCGTGGCGCCTTCTGAGGCCAAGGAATCAGCGAGCCAGCGAGCCTTTCTTTTGTATGGATGCAAGCCCGCAGGCCTGCGATAAATTGAAATCGAAAAGACATCTTCCGACTTGACATGGACTATCAAATGCATGTGTGCACAGCGTTGGCCGCGCAGCGGCTTATGTGCACGGGACGAGAATATTAGACCAGAGAGACTATGCAAAAAGCCTCATCCATGCGGTCAGTGGCGTCAGAGGCCCGTAGGCGAGCGCGAAAGCGCACTTCGTTTGCGTGCATGCGAGCGTTGACGCGCGCCAGCTGAGAGTTGGAAAGAGACGGGCGAGGGCGGGCTTCGGGGAGATGCTTCAGATCCTCAAGGACGCTGGTCACGAGCTCTTCCTGTTCGAGCAAGCCTTTGTCGCGAGCCGTCAACACAGGCTGCACGATGGCAAGGGAAGGGCCGTCGGGAGGATCGAGGCCACTAAGAACCCGGTGAATAAGAACGCGTTGCAACTCCACTTGCAGCAGCAAATCCTTGCACGTGGCAATGGCGAGCGGCCTGAGCCGTTGCGCGGCAGCCGAGTTATTTTCTTCATCCACCAAGCGATTAATCTCTTTGATGTCTGCTCATACACAAAGCGCGCCCTCAGTGAACTTTCGAAAGGCGGGGGACACGGGGCAGGGAGCAGGGCTCGTGGAGGCATGTAATGCAAGGCAACAAATGGGGACGGATGGGTGGGGACGAACAATGCTGGAAATCGTTCCAAAGGCGGCGATACAGGCGACTGGAGATGCGCTTCATTTCCTCGAGGCGGCGCTGGCGGAGCGCATGTTGAACTTCATCGGTGATGGGGCTCTTTTCCAATTCGACCTTGAGCAGGCTCTCGTCCAGATCGGTCGCGCGGCGGCCGCGGGCCCGCAAAAGCCTGTTACAGCAACAACGACAACAACGAAAACAACAACAGGACCATGCTAAGTTGTGAAGGTGCTACAATGAAGGGGGTGTTGATCGTTAGACATGCAGGGTTCAGTTGAAATGGACGTACCGGCGCATGAGAGCCACAGTCTCAGGCAGGCGAAGCAGCCCGCGAGCACGACTTGCGGGTGCATTTGTTGCAACGCCATCTTCATCACTGAGGGTGGCTCGCAGAAGACCGTTCGAGCGAAACAAGGCCATGTCCAGCATGTGCTGCAAGTGCAAATCGCGCTTCAGTTGCAGCTCTGATCGCTCCTCTATCAAGCCGAAGAGTGAAACATGATTGAGAAGCAATGAAGAAAAGAGCCATGAAGCTCCGTTAGCTCGAGCAAGGCCGCGTACCAGCAATGCGAATGTCCAATTCCGAGTGCACCGTGGCGGTGCGCGCAGGGCGACTTTTGTCAAAAAGAACCATGAAGATGGTTTCGAGCATGGGTAGTCCTCCGTAATCGCGTTTGTCAATCTGGATGACGAGCGGCAGGCATGGGCATCGGCGCATAGGACCAAGTGTAACTTGTGAGGAGCCTTTGAGAGGGAAAAACCACAACCACGAGACCTTGGGCTTCTAGTGGAGGAGTGACGAGCTGGGTGGTTGCGAGCTCAGTGGCACATACGTTGCGACAGCGCCGTCGAATCCACTCGGGCTTGTCGGCAAACCTTTGCCAAAGCCAAAAAGCTATGACCATGAACCGTTGTGGGAGAGAAAGGGCCGACAAGAGAGCAATAATCCTAAGGGAACGAGAATACACAGGGCGTCATTCAACATCGCCAAGAGAGCAAAAGACAGGGTGTATGTGTGAACGAGGTGCCTGACTGTGTGTTGGTGTCTGACGCAAGCCAACGGATCAAGTCTCAACGGTATCAGACCAGAGAGCTAAAAAGGCGGTGCGGTTGTCGCAATTAGCCGACTCGAGAAGAAGAGAGAGTCCAATCAAGTCATAGAGAACGCTGAGGGGGACGATAATCTGAGAGGCCATGAAAGCAGAGCAAGTAAGACAAAGCTGTGGAAAGAAAGAGAGTGACCGGGCTCAAATACATGCTCGGGGCGCTTTGGCCGCAATAGGCATTGCGGGTTTGCACGCACGCGGAGGAATTTGATGGCGCAGGAGACGTGAATGCGATCAAAGTAGGTGAGAGCAGTGACGGCAGAAAAGGAGGAGGCATTGAGCTTGGTGCGGCGTTGCATCCACTCTTGAAGCCAGTAACCATCTTGATCACTATGCTCTTTTGGAGGCACGTATTGTTCTTGATCGGGCAAGGGATTGAGCCAGCTTTCCTCGGTTACGTGGCAGTGCATGGCTTCGGGTAGCAGCGCCTTGGCACGAAGAAAATCGGCCTTTTCTGTGTTGTTTGAAAGGACCAGCATGTGAGCGATGCAAAGCGTGAGGCGACAAGTGGGGCTTATGTGCGTTCGATCATGCGTCGTGGAACGGGGGACGAACGCTGTGCGAGCTCCTGAATGAGCATGTGCTTTTCTCCCTTGGCCTCGAGGCGAAGGGCGCGTGCCATGCGATAGATTCGCAGGCGGGCCCAAAAACTTGCAAAATAGAGAAAAATCTAAGGCAGGCAGGCAGGCAGGCAGGCCGAGTGTGCGTGAGCACAGGGCTGTCTGGTCGGGGGACAGCTGGGGGGCAAGGCAATGACATGCACCTTGGCACTGAAGTAGCCACTCAAATTGAGGGCTCCGCAGTGGGAAATGTCTTCCTTACTGCTCATGAGGAGCACCAGGATGCTGACGCCCAAGGGCAGAAGGGGCAGCAACTGCACAAGATTTGCAATGAGAAGGAGCTGAAGCAGAATGGGACCCATGAGGCCCTCAAGGACGTCTTCGCGCAGTTGGAGGCCGGCGACGTCGGCAGCTTGGCCACCCGTGACGGGCTGGCACTTTTCACCGGAACATTCCGGGCGCAGGATAAAGGGAAGAAGCCTGCTCAGGCCTTCGGGAGAAAGGCGCGTGTCTTCATTCTCTGCATCCTGGGCCAGGTGTTCAAGGCGAGGGATGCAAGCTTGGTGACGTGCAGAAAAGGCGCCCCCGAGAATCAGGCGGGAGATGAGATGCCAGACGTTGTCGCTGGTGTTGAGAAGCTCCAGGTGACCAATCACGTCCGACCAAAGGGACTTGAAGAGACGGGAGTGTGCCTGGTTGGGGTGTTCGGTGGGGATACTCTCGGTATGACTGCGATCGTTGGTGTTGCCAGACTCTGTCCCGTTAACGACGGCACTGGCGCTACGGTAATGTCGGGGCGGATAGGTGCTCGCCGCACTGGGCCTGGGGGTTGCCGGGCTAACCGACGCGGAGGCTTGTGAAGTGGAGAGATTGAGATGAATCGGGGAAGGTGGGGGCCGAGGCTTGGGCAAATCTGCCATGGCTGGTGGCTCGTGTGGGTGCGAAGCACCCAAGTCTGACAACGAGATGCGGGCGCGGGATCTTCTAGGTCATCTACCGCGCTAAGCGTCCATGTTGATCTCGAGCCAGGTCGATGGGGTATCTCTGTACCAAAACAATAACGATGTATGTGCCCGATGGCCTGGTCGTGGTGCCGCCTCGCCGGAACCAGCAGGGCTCCACACCGAGCGCCTTGAGCTAAGATTCCAAAACAACGAATGATGTTAGGAAAAGAAGGCGCACAATCAGGCAAAGGCAATCGCAGCCACCTGCCCCACAAGTCTAAAAAGTCTGCGAACACCCCCCTCAGACCACCACCATCCAAGCCGTGCACGCCACGCTCGACGCAGGCAGCCCGGCCCCTTCCCCCCCGCCTCGCACTGCCATCTCACCAGCGCCTCCCCCCTCTCAAAGCAGAGATGCTCGATCTGTGCTCTTGTTGCTTACAGGGGTAATTGTCAGATCGTTTTAAGGCTGCGTGGACGACTTTGGGCGGGTTTGAATCGATACATTTGTTACACATGTATGGCAGCTCAAAAATTCAAAAGTCTGACAATCGTGATCTCTAAAATTAATTCATCTGTTGGAAAATTTGGTTTTTCTTGGTGTCTGTCTCTGTCTCTCTGTCTCTCTGTCTCTGTCTCTGTCTCTCTCTGTCTCTCTCTGTCTCTCTGTCTCTGTCTCTGTCTCTCTCTGTCTCTCTCTGTCTCTCTGTCTCTCTGTCTCTCTGTCTCTCTGTCTCTGTCTCTCTGTCTCTGTTTCTCTATTTCTCAAACCGACCAAACCAATTCATCTGTCTCTGTCTCTCTGTCTCTCTCTGTCTCTCTGTCTCTCTCTGTCTCTGTCTCTGTCTCTGTCTCTGTCTCTGTCTCTGTCTCTGTCTCTGTCTCTGTCTCTGTCTCTGTCTCTCATCAATTTTCTCATCATCAAGGACCCAATTTGAAGAGGCGGGTGGCAGGATGAGCGGGTCGAGCGATGATGGCGCGGCGCAGGCCGTGCTGGCCTACCTGCGTGGCTTGGATATATCCGGCACAGACTTTTCGGTGGGTGTTTGTCAAAGGCGAGCCAGTGTGGTCTGTATTCGTTTGGTTTTCCCCCGGCTGGTTCATTGTTCATTCCGCGACACTGTCCATTCGGCAGGAGCAAACACTGTCCAATACGGATATTCGCCGGTTGCAAGAGCTCCGCTGGCTGAAAGTGGACAAGAGCGGTATCGGCATGGTGCCCTCGGCCATCAATCGGTATGAACCAGTGGGCGCCTCTTCAATTTGCTGCTTTGTCTGCGGCCATCGCCGCCTGTCCTCATCGTGTGTGCTTGGTGGTTCCAGCCTTCCCAAGCTCGAGCACTTGACTGTCACACGCAACGAGATCATGTCCATCGGCCCCAGCATTGCCGAGCTTACCAATCTGGTTCGTATCTCCACGCCTCGCCCATCGACCCACCCCTTCAGTTGCGGCGACTCACCCCACCACTTTGTGTGTTTTTTTTTGGGCTTGGTGTTCGAAAAACATGTGGCTTGTGGGTGTTTGCTCGTGGTGGCGAACAGCGCATCTTTCGAGCCAGCCACAACCAGCTCGAGTCGGAGGACATTTCCTCTGACTTGTACAAGCTGCCCGACTTGACGCTTTTTTTTTTTTTTTTTTTTTTTTTTTTTTTTTTTTTTTTTTGCCCTGTTGCATCCCCACTCATCCTCGTCACCCCGTTGGCAGTTCTGGATCTCAGCCACAACAGCCTCTCCGACTTGCCCTTGTCACTTTTGGCACGCCTGACAGACCTGCGCACGCTCAACTTGAGCAACAATCGCTTCAAGGCCCTGCCCCAAGCCTTTCGACGCCTCGCTGCGTTGCGCACCCTGGACCTAAGCTACAACCCCCTCGAGTTTGATCGCCTTCGCGTACGTCAAGCTCCGATAGGGTTTGCCAGCATGAAGCGCACCTTGTTCCAAAAGCCCAGCGCTGCCTCAACCTTGGTACAGCGCTCACCCGCGCCATTCGCCATTTTAATACTTTTACTGGCCTGCGTGCGCCTTGGCCTGCTCGCAGCGCTTGGGCAGCCTGGAGCACCTGGTCCGTTTGGATCTGCGAGGCACCCATCGTGGCCTGGCTCGTCTGGTGCGTATGCCTCAACATCAACTCTGGCCTAACCCTCGAATTCATGGCATCATTCCGCCACTCGTTTCTCATCTCTCTGGCACGCTTTGATCCAGCCGGTCGAGCTCTTGGACCTGCTCCACCTGACCCACCTCGACATTAGCGACAATGGATTCCAAACTTTTCCAGAGGTTGTTTTACACATGGTTCAGCTCGAACGCCTCTACCTGGCCGATAACGAAATCCAGAGTCTTCCACAGTCAGTCATGACCTCGGCTTTAGTTTTCTCGGCTCGATCTTTCAAAGCCAGCCGTGTGAATGAAAATGCGCGTTGGTACTCACATTTCATCTTCCCATTGTACGGCGCGGCTCAGTGATCTTGGAAATTTGACCAAGCTTCGTGTTTTAAATCTGGCGCGCAACCAGCTTCGCGGCCTCCCTGTACGCCTCTGACGCCTCCGTCGTTTTGGGAGTGCGGGCTTTTCAATCCTCAAGTTTTTGTTGACACGACTGCAGCAGACAGAACACAAGAAAGGCTTTCCAACAGAACGGAAAGTCAAGCTGACCACACTCACAGCTGCTATGCTTCCATTTTTTGTCCCAATTAGGGCTCCATCGCCCGGCTCAAATCGCTCAAGCGCCTCATGGTTGGCGGCAACGAAATTGCTGCCCTCCCAGAGGACTGGCTGCCTTTGGAAGGCTTGGTGCGCCTTGCATGTGTCCTGGACACTGTTTCTCGTCGTTAACATCAATGCGCTCCACGCGCTCGCTTCTCTTCTAGATGCTGACTGGTTCTTCCTGTGTATTTCCCTGTTTCGCTTGTTCCTTTTCGCTCGTTTTTTGTGGCCAGGAATATGTGGATCTTGCCCACAATGAGCTTGAGAGCATGCCAGCGTCCGTATTTTTGCTGCCCAAGCTGCGAGTGATGCGTTTGGATCACAACAAGCTCCGCACACTACCGGGCGCCGTTTACAAGGCCACCAAGTGCCTTGCGGGCTTGGGCCTCACCACCACAGGCAACCCTGGCTTTCGCATGCCACGACGTGACGTCATTCGTCTGAAAGAACAGGTTTGTTTCACTGTCTTTGCCCAAATCGGCTCTTAGAGCGGGGCGACCGGCCTTTTAGCACTCACCCTGACAACTGCTTGCAATAGCATCAATGCTACGGCGTGGACTTGCAACAGGCCGCTGACGTGGCCTTGCCTAGCCTTCGCTCGCGTTCGCGCATTGGTGAGCTGTGCATTGACGGATGGGAACTGCTTGAACAGCACCAGCCAACAAGGGTTTCTCACTTTGCTTTCATATTTGTTAGAGCTCAGCATTGCAGCAGCCACCGCGACTGACCAGCCTCCTTCCCCCACCAAGAACATCAATCCAATCAAACATCGCGTTGGTGTCTGTCTCGCCATTGCTAGGCTTTCTTTGTGACCTCACAGTTCCTCATGTGAACCAATGCTGGCCGTGTCGTGCCGGCAGTCACATGACGACGAAGACGAGTCTCGCTCGCAAGCGATTTTGGAGGCCATGCGCGGCCAGTCGGGCGTGACAGAGATGCGCTCCACAGCCCCAGGTCAGGACACAGCACATCTCCTCCATCATCATCCGTCTCCTACGGGTCAGAAGCCAGTCTCATAAGGCCACGTCACGTGCATACACATGCAGAGGTCATGTCCGTGGAAGAAGAAGTGGTCTCTGCTCAAGCTGCAGAGGCTGGAGACGATGTCTCGACGCATGCCCACCGCAAGGCTCGCAAACGCTGGGAGCAACGGCTCGGCGCGTACGTTTGGCGCTCGCCTTCATCACGCTATGGGTTGTGTCTCCTGATCGTTTTCAAATGACGGTGTGTAATAGGCCCCGCGTCGACTGTCGCGAGCTGTTTGGCGAGGAGATTGAAGACCACGAGGGCATCACTGTGTGGCGCATCGAGGACTTTGTCCCTGTCCACATCCCCAAACACGAATATGGCTATTTCTACGATGGGGATTGTTACATCGTCTTGAGCTCGCAACTTGACGAAAGTAAGTTTTTCCTTCCTTTTGCGCCCGAGGCTTGCCCCTTTTGGCATTCTCATGTTTTGCTGGGCGTGGTGGGTCTCTAGACAAGGACATTGTGCACCACATTTTTTACTGGATTGGCGAAGATTCAACCCTGGACAAACAGGTGCGCTTTCAGCTTACTGCAATTCGGTCCTTCACCGCGCACTTGAGACTTGCAGCCATCTCCGACTCATTTGGGGCCGTGGCTATTGTGGGGTTGTTAGGCCAGCGCGGCCATCAATTCGGTGCACCTCCGAAACTTTGTTCAGGCCCTCAACGCTTCTCAAGTGAGCCACCAAGCGTGGGTCGTTCTTTGCTGGTCCAAAAAGCCTTTGGGCTGGAAATTCGCGTTTTCAGCCCATGTGGTTTCGGGGCAAAAGAACTCATCATCGTGTTTGTCCGGCCTGGCCTGGCCTAGCGCGAGGAACAAAACGAAGAATCTGCCGAGTTTGCCGCAGTGTTTGGTGGCACGCTTGAATATGTTGCGGTTCGTCGTACCAATTCTCTTTTTTCCTTGCTCATGCACGTAGACTGCCCGACTTATTCGGTGTGCTTTGGGAGTAGGGCGGCACTGGAACTGGTTTTTTTGCCACGGAAGCTCCCGTGCGCCGTACTCGCTTGTATGCACTGTTGGTCGAAGGAGCAGGCATTGCCGCTCGGCCCGTGCCCTGTACAAGCAGTGAGCTACGGGCTGAACACGTCTTTGTGCTGGATCACGATGAGAGCAAAACCATGTATCTCTACTTTGGTGCGCGCGTTACGAGCGTGCAGCGTGCCAAGGGCCGCCTGTTTTGCCAGCGTGCCGTCACCGCTGAACAGGTGGGGGCTTGTGGGATGCACACTTAACCTTGGCTCAGATTTGGTTTCATTGGTTATCCCGTTCTTCTGAAATCCTGTGTGTTGAAGCGATAGAGCCGTGTGGGCGTCGTCAAACTTGTGGTCGTTGTCCTTGGTGTGTCTTCACAAACCCGCCTTGCTGCATGGGCTAGACGGGTACCTTTGTCACGGTGGAGGGCGAGGACGTACCGGCAGCTTTTGCCGAGGCTATGGGGGAGAGTGTGAGCCAAGTGCAGGCAAACATCACCCGCCACACAAGCCCAGCTCCATTGCACGCCAGTTGCAAGCAGTTGTGTAAACTGCACGTTTTGCGCATGGTCCATCAAGCCCTTGAACTGCCTCAAGTGGTGGCCGCCGGGCAGAACCTGCGTCGCGAAATGCTTTCCACCGACGCGGTCCACATCTTGGACAGCTACTCGGACCTTTACATCTGGATTGGCCGCAAATCGGCCCGTCTACTGCGAGCAGCCGGCGTGCGCGTTGCAGAGGCCCTGGCCAAAGTCTTGCCTCGCCCAGAGCATTTTGTGCTGCATCGCGTGCTGGAAGGCAACGAGACCATTTTCTTCAAGAGTTTGTTCCAGGGCTGGGATGACGTCATTCGTCAAGACTACCGGGCACGCGATATCCAGGACATTGAGAGCAAGGCTCTGAGCCGTATGCTGCTGAGCAAGGCCGGCCACGCACCAAGCGGGCGTCAGTTGGGAACAGAGTTCGGCGAACTAGCAACGGCCGCTCGGCAGCTGGGACACAGCCAGGTGATGGACACGTTCCAGCCGGCCCACGTTCAGGTGGATGATCTTTTCACACCGCGTGCGGAGACGGTGAGCGAGACCCGAGCGCAAGACTTGGAGGACAAATTTCTGGACGCGCTGGAAACCTGTGACGTCTTTCGCTTCACCAACGATAACTTTGTGAAGATGCCCAAGGAGGAGAGCTACCACTTTTTCAGTGGCGAGTGCTACTTGTACATTGTCGTGTACTGGCGGCCTGTACCCCAGGCGGCGGCCGAGGCGGCAACCAAGGGCGAGGACGAGGAGGAGGATGAGTTTGAAGAAGAGGAGGAGGAGGAATTGCACAGCCTCGCCTTTTTCTGGCAGGGACGCGATGCCTCAAAGCGGGCATGGATGAACTTCAACTTTAGCGAGCTGCGCAACAAGGTGGTGCAGCGCGTCCGGCAAACCAAGGGATGCAATGTGGAAATTCGTTTCGAGCGACAATACCAGGAATCGTTTCAGTTTCTTTCGCTCTTGGGACGCAAGGGCGTTTATCACCGTGGCACCTGCAAGCAATTCCGAGAGGATTTTTCGCCACGCCTCTACCGCTACCACGCCTGGCAGCCGCGCGTGTATTCGCGCTGTGTGGAGGAGGATGTAGACGCACGACTAATGAGCTTGGAAGATTGCTATGTGCTCCGAGTGCCCTTTGACCCCAAGCCGGATGGCAGTCCGAACGGCGGTATCATCTACGTCTGGCTGGGCTCGCAATCGGCTGAGGACGTTCAGCGGGAAGCCATGGACATTGGGGCCCTGGATTTGTGGGGCGAGAACTACGCCGTAAACCGGGTAGTGCCTGGGCAGGAGCCAGAGCGCTTCTTCTGGACCACGCTCAAAATGACCAAGCCCAATGGGGTTGCACCATGCTTTCTTGCGTGCCCACAGCTGTCTCAAGCTCGTGTTTTCTCCTGCGGCGCTGCCGATGGCTATTTTTCCGTGCAAGAAATATCGCAGGCTTACTGCCAGGATGACTTGGAGGAAGAGAAAGGTCAGTGTGTTCAGTGCGTTGTCACATCTGGCGTGCCAGCCTCGAGATTGAAGGCCGGGCCGGTGTCTCACACAAGCCATCGTTTGCCTTGCTCTCGACGCATGGTGATGTCAATTTGACTGAACCGTGTGTAGTGGTGGTCATCGACGGCGGGGCGGAAACCGTGTACCTGTGGGTTGGCCCTTATGCCAGTGAGGTTGTGATCAAGCTGGCCTATTTCTCTGCACGGGTACGACGGGATGGCCGTGTTGCGCCATCGTTTGTTTGTTTGTTTGTTTGTTTTTTTGTCTTTTCCAAGGTGGAGACGGTCTGACTGAGAGGGCGCTGGCGGGGACAATGTAGGAATACATTCGGCGACAGCCGCCTCAGCGAAACTTGGACGCGGAAAAGTCACTGGTGCGCGTGCAAACGGGTCAGGAGCCGTTTGCCTTGCGACAGCTGTTCCAGGGGTGGGCTCAGCACCTTCATCGCGGTCGAGATCTGGCACGTCCGCTTGAGTTTTTGGGCCGCGTCCTTGATGCCGACTATCAGCGCCAATGCTATGAGCAGATGACCCCCGGTATGCCCAGCGGCCTGTACAGTGCACTGCAATGGCGTGGTGTGAGCGGTGTGGGGCAATGGCACGCGTGCAACTCATATGTGCGTTTGCCTCTTTTCTAGGTGCAGGCCCCGTTGTGGCTGTGCACGACGAGGACGAGACCAGCGCGACCAGCGCGAGAAAGAATAAAGTCGGCTCTACCAGTTCGGACAACTCGGAGGGCTCGCGATCTCGTTCACGTGCTTCCATCGTCGAGATTGAGGTGTAAAGCAAATTTTTCTGGGGTCTCGTGTTTTTATTTTTTTTTATTTTTTTTTTTCCCCTTTTCTTGGTGCTTTCTGGTCGTTCATGGACATCGGACGCATTCGTTCTGGTTTGATTCTGTTTGGACTCCAGCAGTCATCTTGTTCTCAAAAGGAGGGAAACGACACTCTCCATCGTGCCACACATGCCGCACCACTGTTGATAATCCATGGTTAAGCCGACACCCCTTGTCAACATTGGGAAAACCTGATATTGAGACATCCCCTCTGACACTCACCCGCCAAGAAACGTTTGGCGGTGAGAGCATATCAGGTACGAAACAATCACATTCGCTCCCAATGCAAGCACGCAAGCAAGTCAGGACCTTTGAACACTGCCTACCACAGAAATCAAGGCTAACTAACGGCTTGGCGGCAAGCGAAGAAGAAGCAAGAGAAAAAATTTGGAGGTAGTCGTTCTGCTGGTTACACTATTTTACACTTTATGCCACGCAAGCAAGTTGCGATGGTGATCAAGTGTGACATGTTACACTTTTGAGGTTGATGGAGGACAAGCGCCACACACAGAGGGCAGTGGGCCGTTGAATTTGCGTTGCAGGCACCACACTCGACGACAAATCACACGAGGCGCGCTTTCCTCCAGATGCAGACACGTGCATCCGCCCGATTACCCAATCACACCCAGACACCACTTTTCAATGGCATCCCCAGCTTGATCATCACACCCGCATCACACCCACCCCATGTGCGGAGTTGGCTCCTCCAGTTCCTGGAGACATAAAAGAATGCAAACAAACACAAACATATACACACAAGCAAAAGATAGTTCAAAGGGTTTTCGCTTGCGATGAATAAAAAGTAACGGAACGACCGCGTGCTCACTCGTTCTGCGGACGCAAAAGGTTGGTAGGCGACACATATGGCAGCGCCGTCCAACGGGGGGAGGCATGCTCGGTTTGGGCGTGATAGCGGCAGGGTGTACTGGCAAGTTTGGAGGTAACCCGATCTCGAACCGGTGTTGATGCAAGCCAACTGGTAAGATGCTGGAAGCAGACATTGTGTTATTGGAAGCAACTCGAGCCATCGAGCCCCTTCTATAGTGTGGTCTACCATTTCTCCGTCAAGGAGCTGCGTGTTTGCTTTTCCTCCAAACCTCTCCGCACCTATCTTAGCCACGATCAATCTCTGACATCTGGTCATCTTGTTCCCCAACTCTCTACTTTTACCTTAATATGCCCATTACCTAATTCATGATCATCCGCCCTCTCTCTACATCTACGTTTCATACCTGACCCCCTCTCTGCTCCAGCGTCGAGCATCCCCTTCCCCCTCTTTCTCCCTACTCATACATGATCCCTCTGGCGATTTGGCAGAGGCGGCGCGGATGTGATTGCACCCTTGGCACAGTTCCTCCCCCCCAGCGACGACCGAAATCACACCCCTCCTGGATCTCTGATCCCATCACCGTCCCGTGTCCTCTGATCGTCCTCAAAATCCCCCACCCTCATCTCCAACTCCAATCTCCACGGCAGCTGGCGCCTCTCCCTCCAGAACTCTCTCTCTCTCTCTCTCTCTCTCTCTCTCTCATATTTCTCTCTCTGTGTGTCCCGCTTGTGCGCTTCGCGGGTCGCGTGTGGCTGTCAAACGTATTTTCCCAATTCCCTCTTCCCCGCTCCCTCCCCCTTGAGGATCGAACCATTCCCTTGCTTACCTTGCTGCTTGGACCCATTTTCGGAGCGAGCTCGCGCGCGCGCTGCCCTCTTCTTGGTCTTGTTGCCTGATATCCGGTCGGTCGTGGTTGTGATCGGTTCAGCCCATCGTCCGGTCAGGGTCTGGATCTGCCCATTTTTTTTTGCCCCATCCCTTGACCCACCATCCATTCAGCCGCCTTTGCGTGTCTGAGATACATAACATCCTCCGTCTCCTCGACGCCGTCAGATTCCCTCCCTTTTTTTTTTTGCCTCTCTCCAAAGAAGTTCTCTTGTTCTTGACGCATCGTATTTGCAGCCTCGTCCCCACCGCCATCATGCATCGCCGCCCGGTGCTGGCGGTCGTTCTCTGCTGCTTTATCACTCAGATCCCAGCCGGCTGGTCCGTTCAAACCCAGCCCTGGGACGTCGTTTACACGCCCGACGGTACGTCCCTCGACGCCAGACTGCGATCAGCCCGCCTTTTTCAACTCTCCAGACTGGATGCTTCCGGCCCCGTGCTCTCAAGTCCCACCTCACACCCATTGCTCGCTTTTCATAGGCCCTATCCAAGGCTCCCTAGACCTGCAAACGGGCGTGGTGGGCTACCGCAGCATTCCCTATGCTGAAGCACCCGTCGGTCGCCTTCGCTACGCCCCTCCCGTTCAACGCCAGCCCTGGTCCAAGGTCCACGACGGCACCCAACATGGCCCCTCGTGCATCACCAGTGGTGATCTGACTTTTGCCCGTGATCGTGAGGAGGCAGCAGCTGACTGCTTGACCGTCTCCGTCTACACCCCTCCCGGCTTGAACATGTCGGCCCAGCCCTCCAAGCCCGTCATCATCTACCTCCACGGCGGTGGCTTTATCATGGGCAGCTCCACGTATGACATTATCAGCCCCTATCCCGCTGCCTTTGTGCGCGACACGGATACCATCTTGGTGCACGTGCAGTATCGCCTTGGTCCCGCCGGCTTTGTGGCGCTGCCCGAAATGACCGAAGAGCACGGTTACGCGGGTACCCTCGGTCTCCTTGACCAGCGCCTTGCCATGCAATGGGTCCAGCGCAACATTGGCGCCTTTGGCGGTGATCCCTCGCGCGTGACCCTCATGGGTGAAAGCGCCGGTGCCTTCTCCATTTGCTTCCACATGGTGGCGCCCCAAAATGCCGGTCTCTTTCAGCGTGTCATTCTGCAAAGCGCCATGTGCGACTTTCATTTCCCCACCCTCGAGGAGGGCTACGAGCAAGGTTACCAACTTGCTGAGGCCTCGGGTTGTGCCACCCCCAAAGACGATGCCGAACAAGGTCAAGCGGCCAACGACACCTCCTCAGTGCTCGACTGCCTTCGTTCCGTCGACGAGCCTTTTGTGCAGGAAGTGCTTCCTCACCGTCGCGGCCTCCTCATGCACACGGGCGTGCGTTGGTTCCCCGTCATGGATGGCGCCTACATCAGCCAGCAACCCATCGACCTGATTCGCCAAGGTCAAATGCTGGACGTTGACGTCATCATTGGCAGCAATGCCGACGAGGGCACGCTCTTTGCTCTCATCGCTTACAAGCTTGTCATCTTCCCCTCGGCCTGGCCCGATCTGCTCCGTGCTACCTTTGAGCCCGACATGGCTGATTTCTTCCTCAATGCGCTTCCGGATGAGTGGAGTGCCCACCACAAGCTGACCACCATGTTTGACAATCTGTTTGCTTGCTCCGTCCGCCGCATGGCTGGTCTGATTGAGGAGAACAGTGGTCCTGATACCCAGGTCTACCTGTACAACTATGCCATGGTTCCTACCTCTCAGTGGTGGCCCTTCTCCGGCATTGGTGCTTTCCACAGCTCGGAACTTCTCTACCTCTTCAACGGCGACGATACGATGCACGCTGGTGAACGCCGCGTTGCCAAGAAGCTTCGTCATTTCTGGGGCGCCTTTGCGCACGATGCCCACCTGAATCAGTCTCACTTGTCCGCCGGTGCTGGCGCCCCCGCCTGGCCCGCGTACACAAAGTCGAGCCCCAACTTTTTCCGATTCGACTTTGACGGTCGCGATCCCCACCCCGTGCTTCGCGAGTCCCTGCAACCCCTTGAGCAGCTCCTGGCTCGCCGCAAGGTCTTTGCTGATGGCCAGCACAGCGAGGAGCATCCTCATGAGCTCTGCGAACTTTTTGACGCGCTCGTGGATGAGAACGGCTACGTTCATCCTCCTCGTCCTTATGACGAGGCCTGGTATTCGTGGTTTCTCAACATTCCCGTGATCATTGCCATCGAGTTTTTGGTGATGAACCGCCTGAAGCTCGCCGCCATCGTCTTGGCAGCCATGGCTTTTTACGCTTACCGTCGCCGGAGTCAGGCGCTCGATGACCCTAAGAAGGTCCAATAGCTACAGCATTACAAAGCTGTGACTGCCTTAGGATTGCCATTTTCTTTCTTTCTTTTTTCTCTTTCGTTCTTTCAGTTTCTCTTGCGTTATGTCAGATTTATTCCTTATTTTTGTTTTCTTGGCGTCGTGAGGCCTGTTCGAGCCACAGCTCCTCACTTGATGCCGCGACGTTCCTTACTTATGTCTGTTCAGTTACTTTCTTCTTCTTCTTTTTTTTTCTCTCTCTTCGATTCGTCGCGTTCTTTTCGTTCTTCTTTTTCGGCTGTCTTTGATGCTGCGCGTGCAAAGGTGTGTCGCCCATGAGTACGTGATTTGGATTCAAAAAAATCGACTTTTGACTTCCAAACTACCCCCGCCGTCTAGACATCATGGCGTTGCTTTCCACGTGGATAAGCTCTCTCACGCATTCACTGGCGTGTTCATCAATTACTTTTTTGCATCGATTGCTTTTTTGTTTTCCTTCGCACCGATGACCGATGGACTCGAGTGACTTGGTGCATAATGCAAGCCATCTGAGGTCTACTTTCACTACATTGTCAACATTGTTATGCTCAGCATCAATTGGTAGGGTATTCCAAGGCAGTTACAAAAAATAGAATAATCATGGTAAAGGTAAACGCAGGTCAACAGAAATTCGTATAGAAGAAGAGTATGTATCGCCTCACTCAAGGCGCATCAATGCCTCCAGCGAGGCGCGGTCAACCGATGGGGCACGAAGTGGGCATCACCAGGTGGCACGCTGATTTCAGGCACATGAAGCAACATTGCCAAGCCATGGAGGGATCAATGAGTCGCCCCCTTTCTGTGGCTGGGCCTGAGCCAGGCCCAGCAACTGCTCAGTTTGAGACAGATGGCCGGCTCGTGAATGTCGCGAAAGGGGGCATGTAGGCGCGGCACACGAGCCTCGGTGCCGTCCTGGCCCGTGTCTGCTGTCGCCGCCACTTGAACCTTTTTCATCTTAAAGTTGGAGGGCTGGCGCAGATCTTCGGGGACATAGGCCGCCATGAATGCCGAGCTACCGGGTTCCAGCATGGCATGAAAATCAAGGTCTTGGCTGAGGCGGGTGCTTCGATAGTTTTTGGCGTCAATCTGCACCTCCACCTCAAAGTTGGTTCGCCGATCCAGATTCATGGCAACCAGTAGATTCTCATACTGTGAAGCAAAAAAGAAGGGCACAAGGCAAAAATAGTCAAAGCTACGGTGACTTCACCAAGGCGGCACGCAAGCGCTGCCAAAGCTCAAGGAGTGACAACGGTTTCAAAGGTAGCGAAGGTACAGACAATCTGACCTGAAAAATTTTGATGCTGCCAGCGGATTTCACCAGAGGCACCTCCTTGCCTTTCTCCACACACATGAGACAGATGATCCGAGCCACGTCCGAGTGGGACAAAGATACTCTTTGCAAGGCAACCGTACGAGGCTCTGCGTACACGGCGAGCACAAATTTTTCCGACTGGCGACGCGCCCATGAACCCTCCTGAAGGTAGGCATGATAGCTCATGGGCATGGCAAGGTATCGGTGACCGGCCCGCAGTTTCATTGGGCAATAAGCCAAGTGCATAAAAATGGGTTGCGGCGTTGTGGTCACCATGAAATGAAGCGGCACCAGCTGGGCGTCCACCTCCACAATGACCAAGTGCATAAACTGTCGGATGTGGTGTTGAAAGCAACGCGGAGCCAACGATACACAGCAAAGATAAGCATGAGAAAACCTCAGATTGGTCCAGAGTGGCTTGGCGCGCAACAAAAAACAGACCGATGATGGCTCGTCTCTGCCAAGCAGATGGTTTTCGTGAAGCATGAGGCTGATGTCAATGTGAGTCATGTCGACTTTGGGCACGATGAGAAATCCAAAATGGGGATGCTCAATGCTGCGCGGCACATTGCAAGTGGCGACGGAGCGGTCTTGGGGCTTGAGGGGGATTTTGCAGACATCAATGATGGTAAAATATCGTAGAAAATCTGAAAAGGTCATCCAAAAGTACCCATGTGCCTGTCGGCCGTCAACCTGCTGGCGAAGAGATGTTGCACCCGCCAGGTCGCGCCACTGCGGATCCTGATCGGACCATGCCCCACACCACTTGCTGGCGCCCAGTGGATTATGCAAACAGACGAGGCGTATTGAATGCAAGTCTCTGAGCGCCACGATCGAGTAGGCATGTCTAAGGTCGAGTGTGAAGCCAAAGGCAAGACGTGAATATTGTTGAGTCAGGTGGCCTGACAGATAGATCAGCACGCGCGAAAGGAGAGAGAGAGCGAGGAGAGAAAGAGAAAAAGAGAGCGCGAGATGCGGAGAGAACATGACGGCGCACCCTTCTTCAAGACCCCGGACATTGGCGGCCTGCCCGTCCTTTGATGAACCGACGCCGGCGCCGGCGCGATGAAGCCAGATTCGCTGGGCTGAAGACTGCGAGCTCTGACGGATACTGGCGCCCATGATACATCGATCCTGCTCACAGCGCTGTAAATAGCGCCAAAGCGGATCGGGCTACATGGCGCCAAATACGTGAAGTGAGCATGCCCAAAAAAGTGACAACAAAAGAAAAGTTGCACATGGCTTCGGCTTTCCATGAGCATGGGCTGACCAGCTTGAAGGCTTCACGAAGTACGGTGGGCGGCAAAGATCGACAAGCAAAGCCGGTGAGATGGAAAAAGCCCTGCGCGACGGTTCCTCCTACGAGTGCGGCGTAGCTGCCCGCAAGCATAGCCTGCATCGAGAGCGATCAAGGTTGGCATAAGACGCGCGTTGGTGCCCTTGAACAAAGTGGACCCGGCGCGAAACCGCATGCCTGACCATGGCTTTTTCAATCACAGCCACCCAAAGATTGGCTGTGCCGCGATGTCGATCATGACCCGCTTGTGCAAAGATCAGTTTCCTACACGCACATGGTATTGGACGGGCAAGACAAATGAGGAGAGACCCATGATTTGCCTTTTGGATTGCGCGATTGTCACGATTGTCAATGTGCCATTTGCTTTTCTTCTTCTTCTTTTTTTTCCCCAGCTCACAGGACGGCCAAAGACAAGACCGTGCGGGGGTAGCTTACCCGGTGCGGGAATCCACAGGAAAAGTCATGGACACGCGAAGCGGATTTATGCAGCGGTGGGACATGATCTTGACCTCGAAGGAGTTTGAGTGAGCATCAAAGGAGTACGTATCGACAATGTCACGCACCAAGCCATCGTGTTTTGAGGCCAGCACACCGAGCGTGCTGCAAGGAGAACAAGAAAGCGAGCCAGAGTCCAAGGAAAGACCCCAATCGCAGGGCAGGTCAAGCCAGGCCACGCGTGGAAGCGCACATTGGAGACAAGGAGATCCGAGTGTAGACGACAAGGAGATATGAGAGACCGATACGAAACTCGTCAAAGACGCAAACAGGGAAGGTGTAGGTAAGAAGCTGAGCGGGAGCAAGGGCATGAACCTGAGAAGCCAGCAATCGCCCAGCTCGCCCTGGCGGACATCGGAAAGTCGGGGTCCCTCGGAAGAAAAAAGCTGCCACTACAACAAGGCAGCAAAGAGCGCGAGGGGAGAAGAGCAAATTAAGAATGGTCATCACGCCATTCAGGAAAAGTACATAGGTGGTGTGCGTGCGTGCGTGCGTGCGTGCGTGCGTGCGTGCGTGCGTGTGACCCAGTTCTGGCAGCGGCTGGACTGACCCCGGGGAAGAGTTCGCTGGCGTTCTTCCAGACGTGTCGAGGCGCAAGTTGGCGTTGAAGGGCTAGCTCCTGCTCTGAGTTGCCTCTGAAATTTTGACTGTCGAGAAGGAACGCGTGATCATCGACATGCTCTTGGTCAAGATCCTCATCACCGCTGCCAGCCAGCCCATACTGGGACATGAGCGGGACCAGATCCTCCGCATCCGCAGCCATGTCGCCGGCGCCCACTTTTTCACGACAAAGGCCGAGTCGGGACACGCCCTGCTCTCCCTTCACCAAGCGCCAGTTCCAGCATACACAGTTCCGCCATACACAAGCACCCTCTTTTTTATTCCCCGCCCCCCACACACACCGCCTCCCGCAAGCGAATGCGCGACCGAGCGCGACCCCGTCAACCAGACAGCAGCACAACCCCTCAGCGTCTCGAGTTTGACAGAGAGCGAGAGCGAGAGAGAGAGAGAGCGAGAGAGAGAAAAAACGAGAGAGTGTGAGTCACACTGAGAGAAAATAAACAAAGAAAGAAACAAAGCGAGAGAGACAAAGTGACTGCAATGAGAGGGTGACGCAAGTGGCGTCATGTAGAAAATGGGTCACGAAGACAAGCCAGTGGAAGTTGACGTTTCGTTCACAATCCCTAATGTATCTTATGTTAGAAGATGTAGAAGAAACTTGAGAAGATGTAGACCAGAGACGTTACCGTGTGCTACATGTTCACACCCACCACACATTTTGCAATGCTGAAAACATGCTGCTTGACTTGATGGTTGATGTAGTTTTCAACGAGACCATAACGTTATTTTATGCAGTTATACATTAGGTATTTGTAGCTGGGTGAGCAGTCTTACCAGCGTGCAACTGTGCCTTACCAAAAGCGCACAGAGGTGGCGACGTCATGGGCAGGTTCACGTCATCACCGCGACCCGCTGTTATCTATCGGGGGAGGAGCGTGCGTCCGGAGTTTCCTACCCAACAACACACTGACTGGGTTGGCTCGCAGCACACAGCACGCGGCGGCACACGGCACACGCGTCTGGCAGGCGGCCGAGGATGGGTGTGGTGTAACTCCATACGTCTTTGAATGGGATTGACCGCTCGTCAACCCAGAGGTGGGTCTCGCGCATCCCATGACCCGTCGCGATTCAAGAAGAGGACATGAAAGTCAGCTTCTGTTCGTGTGCCAAACGCGATGGATGGCTCAGATCAATTATGAGACAACCCTGAACAGCGCTTCTCGCCCCCCAATGCACAAACGCGCCCGCATGCGTGGACGGCGTTCTGTAATCTATCTACCTACCACTCTGGCAAGAAAGGAGAGAGAGAGAGAAAAAAAAAAGAAAAAAAAGACAAAAGACAAAAAGCGCATGCCAAAATTGCTAACATGTAAAGTAAAAATACAAATCAACGCACAAACTCACAAGGCTGACGAGCCCAAACTTGCCTCTCAACACCGCCCCTGCCCCTGTCCTTGGCATACAAGCACACTCGCGTGCCCATCTGGCAGTAGGCGATTCACAACAACACACAACAACCGGCATGGGCCAGGCGCTTGGCCTCCTCAAGCGCACCTGGGATACGAAGCGGATGGTGGATGCTCGACTGTCGCGGATGTGCAAACGCCGGCAAACTTAACCCCATGCTGTTCACCACTCCAAAGGTAAAGCGGAAATCAATCCGTGCTGCCTGCTCGGCCACCATGTTCGAGTATGCCACCAAGAATTGCATGGTAATGGGCGGCAGCGTCGCCTCCACCATCAAAATCTCTGCATGCCGGCTGGACACATAATTGCTCGACTCTTCCACCTCTATCCGAACCCGAAAAAAGTCTTCCAGTGCTCGGTTTTCAGCCGCGAACCACGTGCCATACTGCGCCAACCCCAGCAATCCCGTAGTACGTGAGCACGGTCATTTTGGGTTTGAAGGCCATATGATCATCAAAGGGCAATGCCTCACGATCGCCCGCGCCATTCCAAGCTCGCCGTACCTTGTATACGGCCATGCCGTTCCGGAAGGACTCGGTGTTGCGATTGCTGCATTCGCCCCGCTGTCGGCAGGTTGTGGCCAACGCCCACCCAACATCGCGGGGAGCAAGCTCGTGCATTCGCACAGTCATGTCGCCATTGGCAAAAAATGCCGCTGTAAGTGGCCGCGGGGATGATCGTGCGTAGCCGTTGAAAGAGATGGGCAAGACCACATAGCGACAAGTCGGCTTGAGCATGCGCACTTGACTGGACGTGGGCGAATGCACTACCGCCACCTTGGGCCGAGACGCGATGAACAAGGATCCGTTTACAAAATCCTTTAGCTCATGCTCCCGGTCCAGCTCAACAATAATCACGCACATGTCCTGGATACCACCACCGTGCACAGTCACCCCACCATCCAACGTCAATCACGTCAAAGATATCACCGTGCGCATGCATTCGACAAGGGGCAGCGCTGGAAGATGACATACCTGAGGAATGTCGTTGTTCTGTCGGCCACGCAAGCTGCTTTGCACCAATCCGATTTCGAATCGAGTAATCTCTTGCGCAGGCTCCACCACATACGCACAGTGGTAGCTGCAGGGGTTGTGCGTGAACAAACCCTCGCGGCGGATTTCGTACAAGTCCAGCAGAACCTTGCATACATCCACGTTGTGGAAATAGCGCAAAAAGTCTTGATACGACATCCAGAAAAACCCCTGTCCTTGTCGGTTGGGCTGGCATTGCTCGCGCACTTTTGCCAAACCCGGCCGGCGCCACATGGGGTCGGCGTCCCGATAAAGACCGTTCCATTGGCTCGCACCCAGAGGGTTGTGAATGCACAGGAGTTGCAGCTGTGCCGGTCCTGCCTGCGTGGCCACTAGAAATGTTTCCACCGCCACAATCGAATAGGCATGCCTGTGCAAGAAAAGACAGACCGTGCCAACGGATGCATGAGTGAATGTAAGGCGCAGAGTCGGGCCTTGACGAAGCGCCGCACGTACGCCACTTCTAAACCTCGTGCCACGGCGGGGTCGGCCACTTCCTCGTTGCCTCGATCAGCGATGCTCGCCCCCATGACGTATCCCGCATCGTGATATGAGGAAAGCCGGAGCCAGAGCATATCCTGCCGGTTGTCGTCACCAGATCCCGCACCAGCCGGTGCTGAGGCCCCAGGCCCACCCGGGTTGGGGCTTGGTGTGGCTCGATTAGATGACGCGGCCTGCTCCTCCATGACGTTTTGCCCTTCCTCCTCCTGAGCACCGGGCACCAACAGCTTGTGAGCACCGAGGGGAAAATAAATAGGCACGGTTACTACTCGGGAGAAATCATGTATCGTCTGAATGCGTTGATGGTGTTTATGGCCCGTTCAAGAGCGACTGCCGCTTCGTCTCGATCGATAACCGACATGGGTCCCTACCGATGATACGGAATGTTCCGATGGTTGCGCCGCGTACATGCGAAGCCGGTAGGATTCGCAGGGGAAGCCAGTCAGACAAGAGAACCCTTCTGCAATGACACCCGAATCCAAGTCCCTGTAGCTCCCAAACATTGTGGCCTGCCAACGAGCAGTGAGGCGAGTCTACAGGATCACGGACACCCAAGTGGTCATTTGCACAACAAACCATAGCCTTTTCGATGAGAGGTGCCCATGCATAACCAGTTTGCGTGGCTCCGGTCGCGACGCTGCGCGCATAGCAAAGCGAGCTACAACATCCAAGATTAGCTGTGGTCAGGAGCCTGTTGCACCAGGAGGAACCGTGCAATTCTTATATTTGAGAAGGGCCTCCTCCTTTGATCCCCGCGGCAATGCTGTCCCTATGCATTGGAACGTACCCGCCGGCAACCGGAAATGTGGGAGTGATGGGCACACGGTCGCTGTTGCCGTTGTACCACAGGCGCACTGAATATGTATCCGTGGCAGCATCATAGTCACTCTCGTCCACGATACGTTTGATCAAAGCCGGCTTGGAGGCAATCACAGCCAAGGCGCTGTTGGCAAGACACATCGTACCACAATGTTACCCCGCGAAGAGACACACGCAAAGGAACCCCCGAAGAGCAAGTGAGGAGGAAGAACAGTTGCGCTCAGTCAAACTCCAGCGTTGCAGGACGACCAATCAAGTGAGAACACAAGACTGACCTGACAAACCAGCAGTTCCCAAGGGCGCCCTGTTTGACTTGACTGGTGTGCGGACCCTCGGGGCCAAAGAGTGCAGTCTGGCAAGTTGTAAAATCAGAGTACAGGCGTAGGGCGCGTGAGATTTGAGATGAAAAAGCGGAGATGTAGACAGGCACCTGATGGTGAGGCATGCTGGCTTGGCGGCGTCACAAGCGTGCTTGGACAGACCTGAGGAAAGACGTCTTTGATGTGGCGCCAAGCTCGCTTGTCATCCAATGCCCTAAAAGACAAGGCACAATCATTATGAGCCAGCGCTGGGCCACTCGGTATGGCTCCGCTTACGCAACGGACTTCACGGCTCAACTAACGGATCACAGACGCAAGCCTGTGGTGCCATCACACCAGACACGCGCATCGAGGTGAGAACCATGCTATCGTTGGCGCCAGCAGGTTGAGCGAGTGCCTGCGACTCATGAGCGAAAGGATGCAAGACCATGCAGGGCACGCACCGCTCCGTCGCCGTGTAAGTTGCATTTGCTTCTGGGTCGTTGACGCGGCGGCAAAGGTAATATGGCCGGCACAGGGTTGGTCCCGTGCAGCGGAGCATGATCTTCATCCTCAGTTTCACTGCCCGCATCAGCGCGTGGAGCCAGCAAGGGCTGGTCCTCGTTCGAGGCCATGGTAACGCTTGGCACAGCTGCTAAAACGTCCAACACCTGCCCTGCCGCTGTGAAAAACGTGAATCAGCAGCCCTGCTAGCCCGGCCAAACGTCTAAGCAGCAAACGCCGGCATTGACCCACCACCCGCCCGCCTGCCCTGTCTCTGACCCCAACGCCCCTGCCCTCGAGTTTGAGTTGTCTTGCGTCCCCTTTTCGATCCAAAGAAATAAAAAAAAATCAAAAAAATGAAGGTTATTGAATCTTTTTGAACAACAAAGCAAATTTTATCTGCAATAAGTAACACTAGAGAATCATTGAACTCTTCATTAATCTTCATTTTAAGACCAACATCTCTACTTCGTCAGTCGATTTTGTTGTTGTTTGAGACAGAGAGAGGACACACACACACACACACACACACACACACACAACTTCAGTGTGTGAGAGAGAGAGCGGCGGTCATGTCGGGACTGCTGGCACACCCACCTCGTGCAGAGGAGGTCGTGCCTTCATGCTGAAGAAGGAATATAAGTGGCAGAGGATACTCGGGCCACACGGTATGGTTGTTCGTTGGGGCTGGCGCCATGGCCTGGCCTGGCTGTGCGTGGCAGCCGTGGTCACCTTTGTGCAACAACACGCCCCGATGCAGCCAGAGCCAGGCCTTCTTGGCTCACGACCTGGCAACATCACAGTCAGTCTCGATTGTGGAAACTTGTCGGCCCCAGCACGATTGCCCTGTGTAGCGTTGGTGCCCGGCTTGGACGTGCATGCAACCTGGAACCACCTGCGCGCTTGGCCTTTGGATTTTCGCGGCGTGACGGCCTCAAGCCACTCGGAGCTCCTATATCGCCGCAGCCCTGACGCAGCTCCCTGCAATTTGCCTGGTCAAGATCTGGTGCGTTGCACGCAAGCCCCAGCATCCCCAGAGTGCCAGCACAGCTTGAAGCAACACTGTCCTCAACAACCCCACAAGGATACAGCCTACCTCTACTTCTCCACTCCGCTTTCAGATGCTGCTCTGCGCGATGAGCATCAGCTCGGCCTGCCACCAAGATGGCACCACCTCTTGCAGCACCTACCCCCTGTGCTCAATCAAACTGTTCCCGATTTGCGAGCTCAAGACAAAAGTGATTTGCGCCGGCGCATCCCTCGGGCCCAGCCCCTAGAAGCTCGCAACCTCTGGATTGGTTCGGCTCAGGTCGCAGCCAAGCTGCATTATGACACCTCACACAACTTGTACCTTCAGTTGGCAGGCTGTAAGAGCTTTTGGCTCTGGCCTCCGACCACCATTGGCACGGTCTGGCCCGTCTATCCGGCCCTACACGAGCACAACCGCCAGGTTGCTGTTCCCTGGACACCGCCATCAGGCGCGGAGACTTTGCATGCCGACTCAGCCGCCACAGCCTCGACACCCTTGCATGTGACACTCGAACCAGGACAAGCGTTGCTCCTGCCTGCCTACTGGTTGCATTACGTGCGTGCGGAGACGGCATCTGTGAGCGTCAATAGCTGGGTCGAAGCGCCCAGTGTGGTCCTCCTCAACGAGCTCTTGGCCAACCTGCTCCCCTTTGCCAGTCGCCATTGGCCTCGAGACCAGATGGCCATCGCCATTCAGCGCTACGTCCCAGCAGTCGTGTCAGCCCTCCTGCCAACAGTCGAAGCACAGCGTGCTTGGAGCCAGGCCCACCTTGTCCAAGCGCCGAGTTTGGATGCTGGACAATCAGCCACTTGTTCCAGCTCTCGGGCCCGTGGATTGGACACTTTGATCGAGCCGTACGTTCGCGACGTCGTTGCTACCTTTCAAGCCATGCCTGCCGAGGAGCAACCCATCCTGCTCAGCGTGTGGACCCAGGCCCTGGCCAGTCTGGTTGCCCCAATGAACGAGCAGGTCTCGTTCTTGACCCAATGCTGTGGCCTAGCAGCTGAAGAATTCGCGCCAGCCCCATGATTCACGTCGCCTCTTGATCTACATTTCGCTGCCGGGCTGTGATGGCAATGCTTTGCACACCTATTCTGCATGTGTTGCGTTTCTCATTGTCGATTGAAAGGCTGCGCCGTTTCCATGTGGCTGGCTTCACGACCAGGCAACTCAAAAGGGTCAAAAGGCCACCAAAGTCACCCAGCAACTCGAAGGAGCAGACCAAACTCCGCCAAAGCTTTCGTAATTCGGACAGCGCTCACTAACATGTGGTCGATGTAGAGTCGCAAAATGGGGCTCTGGAGGCCTTGGTCCGAAGGGGAAAAAAAAAACGATCAAGCGAAATAAAATCAAGACACATAAAGTATCAGGAAAAGAGAGCAGACCAGGCATGGGGTCATGAGACCGGTGCATCATGCAGACAATTCACAAACTGCTCAAAGACACTGCGCACTCTGCTCTGTTCAAGCGTCAATCTGCACAGGGAACGACGTAAACAGAGATTGGGCCTAAACAGATTTCATACGACGCAGTGTGAGATTTCATCCCATGGCAAGCGGCAGAAAAGGAAGATGGCGGCCGTGACCATGGTTGTGGCCCTAACCTGAACCACAGCCTCCAAGCCTTCGCCCATGTAGGATACAAGGGGCGAGATTTCCACGGCTTCGGCCTGCCCAAGCTTTTCAAGAGGCATCTGCGGCGACAAGCTTTTAGTGAAGGTAACCCGCCATTCACCGCAATCACCGCTAGCACATGTCAAAGGAAGCCAACCGTCATCAATCACTACATACCTCTTGACCACCGACCACAAACTTGGCCCCTGCTGCCGCCAGATAGCGGCGATGCAAGTTGAAAAGATCGCTGCAAGCAAAATCACAGAGGAGAGGTTGGTAAAAATAATACGAAGGTTGCTGAGTGAGTGGCGACTTCCATGGGTAGCACAAGAGCATGGATGGCGGGCAAGCCCACGGAAGATTCGGAGCGAGGCGCTGTAACTCACCGACAGCATGTCTCGGCAGTGCCACTTTCTGCTCCACTGGCGTTCTTGAGGGGCGAGAAGGCGGCTTCGCGCGTCACTTCCAAGATGGCCAGCTTGTCCGCAAAGCGGAAAACGTCAAACACAAACTTTTCCAGCTTGATGCCTATCAAGCGACACCAGCGGCAGGCAAGGGTTCGTCACCCAGAGCACAACCCAAGCAAGGGAACGCATAACACGGTGGCAGACTTCAGTCCCGCTCCCATCACAAACCGTTGTTGCTGGTAGGCGTCTCGGGCACGCCCTCCTCGTTGGCCACTGGAATTTTCTTGTGTGCAACATGGTAGGGCAGTTCGTCGTACCGCTTGCTGCAGATTTCAAGAAAGTCACGGGTAAAGTAGTGATTGCAAATGTTTCCGGCAGCATAGGTGAGTGCGCCATCCGCGTTGCGGAGGTGGGCCGTCTTCTCGGAAATCTCAGAGTACTCGACCACTTGGTGCTTGCCGTTGACTTGGCACACAACGCCAACCTTCTCCTCGGGCGAGGCCTTGGGCACGACGAGTGCACCTGCTGGCGCGTTGATGGACATACAAAAGCCAATGAAGACTGGGTTGGCCACCTGTTGCGGTGAAATTGCGATTGCAAAACGGAGGGCTGGTGAGAGGAGTCACGGGCATTGACGTGGCCAAAATGGCAACACCCGTCAGACTGCTGGGTCGGTGCGTCTACGGACAGAAACCTACCTTGACCAAGACGTTGTCCACGCAGTAGACGTGAACGTGTTCAATTTTGCGGGCCGCCATGTCGGCAAGGGCGCCAAAGTCCTTCAGCGCACGGTAGAGGCCGCCATTACCATCCGGGTTACGGGCCAGCGAGTTCTTGGTACCCAACATCAGCTTGCCCTCGGGTGTCAAGGAGGGGATGACGTTTTGCTTGAAAAAGAAGATGTTGGCCTTGTCCAATCCAAAATAGTGATGGGACTCAAAGTAGCTGCGTGTCTTTTCCAGCGTGGCGTCGCTCGTCATAATGTACCTGTTATCCATGGCATAGGCATCGGCAAAGGTTGTGATCAGAACACAACCACGGTACGAAGCATGCGGTTGCGACCCCAATCAACAACAAGACACCGGGCAAGGGAGACGAGGGAAAGAGGGAAAGAAGCAGGGGAGGGGCCGCACCATGGAATGACGGGCTGGCCTCCAAATTGAGCGGCAGCCAGGGCTTGCAGGCGGACCAGGCGCTCGGCCTGCAGCTGATACAAGGTCTTGCCCGAAGGCAGACCGAGGGGAAACATGCCCTTGGGGTCTTTGCTACCGAGTCGGGTGCCCTGGTGGGGCGGGGAAGAGGAATGAGGGGCCTCGCGAGTCAAGCTTGCGTCAAACACGCTGGGAAAGCACGACGGGGGATGGGTCGAGACTGGTTGTGGGCGCTCTCACCTGACCACCAGCAAGCAGGAGGGCAGCGACAGTGCCCTTGGCAATGGCAGCAAGACCGGCTTGGAACCATTCACGCATCTGATCTGAGGGAGGAAAAGAGTCGGCGTGGCCAATGGATTCGGCCGGGGGCGGCTGCATGAAGTCGTCCAATTTGCCCATGGAGGCGGCTGCGGGTGGGCCGGGTGTGCCAGAGCCAGTGGACACGCTCGAATCAGCTCGCATGGATCGCCAGGGGACAAAGGGACCATGTGTCAAATGGGCTATGGGCGCGGCTGGGAGGCTACGTACCGCTCATGGCAGTGTCAAACTCTGATTTGACCTGATCAAAGTTGACCGAGGCCAGGTCATTGGCCAGTTCGGCGCGCTCTTGATCATTCAGACGATCCCAGAACTGCAGAACGTGATCTTGACCATGTGTCTGCAAAGAAGTAATCAGTTCATCGTAGTTTGCCATGTTGCTGGACGACAGGCAAGTCAAGCCAAAGCGATGGGACTTGCACGCTACACCAAGCAGGTTATCCAGTCCGTCAGTGAGCAAGGCCGAAGAAGACAAGCACAACCAAACCCACACAGGCAGCCGCGAACACCCAAAATACTGTGCAGCCCCTGTCCCATGTGCTGGTCCCTTCCCTCTCTGCAAACCTCGACCGCCACACGGGCAACCAGATCAACCCCCGTCCTCCGCCCCCCGCCCCCCGAATCCGTGCTCACGCAAACGCGTCATGCCGCTGCCAATACCAATACCGACCTCGATCACACAGAAAAGCGAAAGTGAGCGAAACAGAGAGAGAGATGAGAGAGAAGTGAGAGAGAGAAGCACAGAGAGACAGAGAGAGAAAGACAAAGGCAAGAGAGGGAGAGAGAGAGAGAGAGAGAGAGAGAGAGAGAGAGAGAGAGAGAGAGAGAGAGAGAGAGAGAGAGAGAGAGAGAGATTGCAAAACAGTTTGATTGTTGCCAGTCAACGTGTAACCCAAAAAACCCAACAACCCAAAGGCAATTGATGTTTATTTTGAAGATGGTATGTTAAGATTGTTGTTTCTCACGATCCTGAGAAACGGTCTCAAACGGTTCATTTGTCAGATAAAATTGGGCTGCGAGGGGGGGTCACCGGGGAAAAGCGAGAGACGGGCCGGGATGTGCTGCTGTCCCTGCTGCCGCAACCAGTGACCACCGCCACCACCGTCACTACGATTTGGGCAGACGCATGTACGTGTCCCTGTGGTTTGCTGTCGTGCACATGTCTCTGTGGTGGGCTATAGGTCATAGGCCGTCTTGAACAGGGAATAGAATTTTAGGCTGCACGCCGTCACATCGTGTGAGCTTGGTCTGGTCCGGGCGGCTTGTCAGACACCATGAGTGCGCCTGACACGCCGGTTGCCGCCTCGGCCGTTGGCGCGACTGCCAAGAGCTCAACCGGTTCAAAGATGGTCTTTCATCGCTCAACTCTATACCTCATTGCCAACTCGGCCGACGATGCCTGGGTCCAAGACTGCCGTGAGGTTTGTTTTGACCCTGCCATCACCTCGAGCCTTGCGTTTGACCCCAGCCTTTTCTTCGGCTCATGAGCACACTTCTTGCGCCAATAGAATACGCTTCATCCGAGTCACAAGGTGGTCGTTGTGTTGGCCCACACTGTGACGCCAGCTTGGTTGCAAACGCTCGAGTGCAGCAAGCCTGTGTTTGTGGTTGAGAACGATCGCGTCACCAACTTTGAGATCCTCGAAGCCGCCCTGCTTGCCAACTCGGCCAAACACGTGCAACGGTTCGGATGCCTTGACCCTGGTCACGCCTGTAGACGTCCAGTCAAGTTCGGTGTTTGCTAGCCCTTACTGCACGATGCTCACACCCTGATTATGATAGGCTCGTCGTTGGTCACATGGCGCTGCGCCATGCCATCTTGAGTGGCACCAAGGTCGGCTGGCACACCCTCGCCGCCCGCTCGCCCGTAGTTGACTTTCTCGAGCCTTCTTGCCACACGCCTTGTCTTATGGATTCTATTTTGATTTGATCCTTGAATCCACCCACCGATTGGATGATGGCGCAGCAAGTCTTGGCCCCAGCATCTCGCCATCCCCTGCTGAGTCTGTGTTTGCTCAACAGCAGCATTGCAGCCTCTGGCTTGACGCGACAAGAGCAGCAGGATGCTGCCCGTATCGTTCGAATGATGGTGCGTTTTGTACGCACTTGAATCCCCTGCCCTTACTCCCACGTGTCATGATTCTTTGCCTGTTGTGTTCCTGGCACTGGCAGGGCGGCTCCTTTGCCAAATCCCTTCTCAAGACTACCACCCATCTCATTGTGGGACGCAACATCACGCCGATCGAGGGCTGTACCGTGTCTATCAAGCAACAAAAGGCCATTGAGCACGGGATTCGAATGATGAGTCCAGAATGGCTTGATGCCGTGCACCGTCTCGGCCAGCAAAAAGTGCTTGACATTCATGACTCAACCTGGGTGAGCCAACAACCCCTGCAAACTCTTCCCTTAGCGGGTTTCATTCCTCCCCACCCCCCCCCCCTCTCTTTTTTGTCGCCCCCTGATTCATGATGCCTCCCCCGATACTGCTTGTGGTTACATGGACAGGGCAATTATCGACTAAAGCCGTTTCAAGACTGCTTCATCTGCTTCACCTCCGTACCTATTCAGATGCGAGATGAACTGCGGGTAAGACCAGGCGTCCGCTTTTTCTTTTTTTCTTTTTTTCTTGCACAGGTGTAATGACCTCCCCTCCAAATGCTACCACTTTTGCTGTGCGCTAGGAATTGATTGAGCGCGGCGGTGGCGAATGCTCACGAGACCTGAGCCGCAAGTGTACACACCTCGTGGCGCCAAGCCAATCAGGGAACAAATATGCCCACGCCATCAAGTCGGTTTGCCCTCCTTGACTAAACTGCCTGCTCTTGCCATGCGTTGCCGTCCGTAAGGGCCACTTTACGCTGCTTCCTCATCTTGAAGCTGCTCCGAATATGTGGTGGGAACAGGTGGAACATCATCACCGTGCTGCCGGAATGGGTCGAGGCCTGCTTTGAGGCCCATGTTCGCCTGCCTGAAAAGCTTTACCAGGTGGGAGGGAGTGGCCCCACGTGCAAGGAGCACAACAGCTTGTTCTCGCCTTGTCAGAGCCACGGCCAGCTCATCCCCTTTGCATGCTGTGCCTGAGTAGGTTCCTCGCCGAAACGCTCCAACGCCTGCCGACATTGAGCTCCGCGAACGCCTGCAGGCGTCTCCAAATCCCGTCCTCAAAGGCGTCACCATCTACTTTCATGACCTCGCGGGTCCGTTTGTCATGCAGCTTGACACTCGCGACTCGAGACTGATGCCTTGGCCTTGATTCAGGGCCTTGCATGTTAACCCCCATCCACGCTCCTCGTGATCCCATGACGCAGGTGAGCGCAAGGAATTATATCAGCAGCTGACCCTCAAGGCACGAGGGCATCAGCTGGAAGAGCTGAGTCCTAGCGTCACGCACATCATCATTACCAAGGTCAGCTTACCTGTGTAGACTGTGACCGCCCCAACCACTCTGCCTTATCTTTGCTCATTTGTGATCACGGTCTTGCATTTGACACGTCTTGAAGCCTCTTGAGAAGCCCGTATTTGAAAGCTATCAGGCCATTGCGCCGCAAGCCTTTGTCGTCTATCTTGAGTGGCTCTACATTTCTCTGTCCTCGCAACGCCTTGAGAACGTCGAACCGTACGACCTGCCGCTGTCATGATTTTGCTGTGCTTACAATGTCGTCGGCTCTTAAGAGCTCCAGGAAGGGTGCAATCTAACAGCGCGCGTCTCCCCGTTGGCTCAGTCACCGACAAACGTTTGTTGGATCAACGCCCTCCGCAACGCCCACCTCGATTGATACCAGTCAACAAGCCTTTCGGGTTTGTCATTAACCGCCCAACCCGTTTGGTTTAGGCTTGCAACATCTTAATTTTTGATGCATGATCGCTCGCCTTTGATCCATTCAAGGGGAAAAGCACCTTTCTTGACTCATATTTTTTTCTCGCTTGTCTGCTTGTGTTTGGTGATGCTTCTCAGGCATCAAGTTCTCGCGCCTCCAGCTCTGTCTCTGCCCGAGGCCCCACCGGGGCCTCGGCAACTGCGAACATGCTATCAATGTTTGGCCATGGCTCGAATACTACATCGGTGCCCAAGCCCAATCCAGCGCCACACCAAGCGTTATTGCGTGAAGTTTCAGAATCTGATCGCAGAGCTGGCGTGGATGCATCCGAACAACAACGCCGGTACGTCTTTTGAATGCTTCGTGCCCCGTGGTCGAGCCTCAAGCATGTCAATTTCTTCCAACGCGGTCGTTTCTGTCGGCTCTCTTTCTCTCTCTCTCTCTCCCTCTCTTTCTTGTGGCTTGTAGACAGCAAGCCCGTCCCCAGCTGTTTGCTGGATGCTCGTTTGTTTTGGATGCCGACTTGGCTCCGAATTTCAGACACACAGCGAAAACTATGATTCCACTCTGTGGTGGTCGTATCGTGACCGACCCGGCGCACGCCGACTCTGACAGTCAGTCTAGTCGCGACGGGCGCTGCTTTGGTCGTTGTGCTCGAGCGTCTGCCGTGAGCTCAATGCACATATTTCACTCTCACTCCCGTTATTTCTTCCCCTCTCCCTCTCCTCCGCACCCCCCCCCCCCCCTCTCTCTCTCTCTTTCTTTCTGTACATAGCCATCTTAATTGGCCCGGCACTGTCCGCGTCTCGAGGTCTGACTTGGCTTTGGGTGGAGGTGTGCATTCAGGAGGCCCTACTGCTGGACCCCTCGTGCAATCCATGGTTTCGCACCCACCAGCCCTTGCCCATGAACCAGCTTTCTGGCGGCACACTCTTCGTTACCCACGAGGATGACCGTTTTAGTGAGCATGTCGGCCTGGTTTTAGCTGCACAGAGCTGGGCCATTTCCCCAACCGCTAGCAGCGCCGACTTTTTGCTTTGTAGCTCTCAACAGGCACCCCACTACGAGACAAGCGAGCGTGCCATTAGTATGCAGTGGCTGGTGGACTCACTCGAACAACGAACATTGCTTGATCAGTCTGCGTACCACACTATTCCTCTTCGCACCACTCTGCGGCTCGACACTATTACTTCGGCCCAATTGCTCTTGCACCACGGGGTGTCTGTAGCTCACGGTCCGCACTCGGAGGTATCGGAGGCACAACTCTCCACACCCGATCAATTTGCGCGCCGCGTCGCTCGTGCCGTACGTGCTGCCAAAGAGAGGCCTCTCTTACACAACTTGCATCCCTTCTCATGCTGCGTCTCAAGCCTTGGCTGTTCCCTTATTGTTTCCGTTGTGTAATGGGTTTGTTTTGTTTTGGTTTGTCTGTTTTTTTCGAATGGCTGATTCCCTTGTCGTACCACATGCTAGGCCAGTGCGGTGGCTACGCCGCCAATTCCCGCAAAAGACGCCGCTGCTGCTGCCCGTATTTTTCATGGCTGTATCATATCTGCTTCTCGTGAAGCTTTTGCCAGCGGTGATGACCTGCAAGCCCTCGTTGAGAGCGGCGGTATGTGGCACCAAGACCATCGACACAAACTCCCCAAACGCCCTGATAGCCAGACTCACGCCCTGTCGACCTTGTTCTCAACTCATGTGCAGGTGGAACCTATCTGAGGCACTACAGCAGTGGCACTTCAACGCACCTTTTGCATGTTGGCAAGAAGACGAGCGCTGATATGACTGCTCAAATGGACCATGTTCCAATTGTGCACCCCAAATGGCTGGTATGCTGCGCTCGACGCTCGCCACTGGCCACCAACCCTCCCGCGGCATGGTTCTAATCAAAACCGCTCTTGCGACGCCTACCAGCGTGACTCTCTTTCGCAGGCAACTCGTCTGGCAGAGCAGGACTATCCCTCTGTCATCAAGTCCTCGCTCGCCCTGACGACCAAGCGAACCCCCTTGCTGCGCTCTACAAGCTTGCCTACCTCGCCCCCACAGCAGAGAAATCGTGAACCAGCTTCCAGTGGTGCGGATGTTTGCGTCTGCGTGCGCCGTCGTGTTTGTGTTGTTTTGCAATTACTTGTTGCTATATGCGTTCATTCACACATCGGTTGGGTTCAACGCTAGGCCTTGGCACCTCGTCGTCTGCGGCCGCGTCAACCACCCCACTTGCTGCTGTCACAGCACCTACTTCCATGATTGCACCTGCCCACGAGGCGACCAAATCAAGTGTGACGGCCTCCTCTGCAATGGTGGCGCCAACACCCCTGGGACCGCCGCCACCCTCTGGACAAACACTGACGGACACCCAGTTGGATACAACTATAAGCGAAATTGTGGCCATGACCAAGACGGCGGGCCGTTTCTCTCGGTTTGGCTCCAAACGACCCTCGCTGACCCCTCGTAGCGATGACCTGCCGGCCTCCGCCACCGATCCAGCCAATGAACCCGATGATAATGCTGCGCAGTCAACAAGACCGGAACCCGATCATGACTCGGTTGTGGCACCGATGGATGAGCTTCCTGCCAAGCGGGCCAAGCCTGCAAATCTTGCTGAGGCGTTGGCACAGGCTCGCATCACGTATGGCTCGTATGCCTCGCAAGATGAACCTGCTCTGATCGCTAGTCGCACCGCGCCGAATAAGGCGGTGATTTTAAGCACCAGCATCACGGAAGCACAGAAAAAGGCTTTGGTCGGGCTCGCCAAGCGCCTTGGGTTTCGATACGAAACATCGGGAACCTACCACGATGCCTGTACCCACTTACTCGTTGGTACACCATGCCGCAACGAGAAGTACCTGGCAGCCTGTGCCGCCGGCAGATGGGTTTTACATGCAAACGAATACATTGCTGCCTGTGAACAGCTCAATGGACTTGCCTACGAGAAGGACTTTGAGTGGCACTCCCATGAAAGTACATATGCCTTCGAGTCGGCGGTTTGGCGCGAGCGCGTGACCATCCATGGTCGTGAGGGCGGTGCTTTTGGGGGCTGGAAAGTTGTATTAGTGTCGCGCAACCACAGCGCCTTCCGTCGCGTACTGGAGGCGGGCGGTGCGCGTGTTTTGGCCACGAATGAGGACTCGGCGCCCAAATTTCGAGCCGCTCTCCGCATGAATCCTTCCCATGTTTTTGTGGAATTTGACGAACACTTGATGGAATCGTATGCAAGTGATCTTCGACAAGTGTCATGTCTGGTTAACATGGAGTTTGTGGCCGTGCGCTTGGAGAATGCAAATGCAGACCCACGAGATTACCCTGTGCACCTGCCCGCCTGAGGCGCTTGCTGCTGCACTGTGAGAGTACGCAGACTTGAAATTGATCGAACACCCACAAATTGACATCAGATTCATAGATGTGAATTTACATGTTAAAAGAATTTACGGTACGGCTCTATGATATTGCGGCACTCGGCTGTGTGAATGTCGCAAAAATTCAAACCTGAGCCGGCTGCAGTTGACAAACTCCGGCAATATCGCTGAGTAACAAAAAGCGTTATCAAGATAAGATAATCAGTAATCCCGTTTGCATCAGACGAAAGATGCTTGTCGCTGCAGTCTGTGCCCAGAAGTACTGAGACCTTCATCGGTCTCCGTCAAGGGCTGCTCGGACTGCATGAGCTCGGGGCAGCACTCGTGCAGGCACACCAATATGCCATCCATGGTCGCAGTGGAGGCAGTCAACAGCACAGTTGTGGCGTCAGCCAAGACTGCACGCACGGTCTCATCCGTTTGTCTAGCATGGAAGTGTGCAGAATGAACGTTACGTCGTCGACGAGGCAACCCGAGGCAGCCGCTTACACAAGCTGCATAAGCTGACTCGTCTCATCAACAGCATGGTGGCGCAACGAGACTGGGAAGAGCCGAATGATGATACAAAAACACAGAGACCGACGACAACTCACCTGATAAGACGAATGACCCCCAAGGTCTTTTGAGGGCGATGGCACACCAGATGTCGTCGATCAATTAGCATGAGACGAGTGTCCTAAATGTGTGGGCAGCCGAGCAAGATGGGCGTGAACATCAGGCACTTCAAGCACCAATGACAGGCAAAAGCAGGTTTCATGAATTCTTACCTGATTCATCAGCAAGGTCTCCTGCAAATTTGTTGAGCACCAATGCAGTGGACAACGGATAGCCAGTGTGAGTCGAGATCACTCAGAAAACGCCAGCAATCAAAAATAGCCATGTCCACGCTGCCTACCGCGCTGTCAAATACAAGCAGCGAGCTTTGATTCCAGCTCACAGTGGAGCCTGTGCACGAAGCAAAGCGTCCACAACCGGATGTGAGTCCGGGCGACAGCATACTCGAGTACAAGGAGAAGCGAGGATCGGCGCGCCGTACGAACCTGGGCGCACGGCACGGTGATGGGCGCCAAATCCCGGGAGCACGGCCAGAACGCGATACCCTTGCAAGTGTTTTGAAGCAGCTTCCACGCCGGCATCGGTTCCTGCAACTGGGATCGGTAGCAGCGCACGTTAAAACTCAGAGACGAGCCAGCCAGATGCCTTCTGCAGGCTGATGAGGGATCCTCATACCTGGTACACAACGCACGCCCCAAGGCTGGTCCTCACTGCTGAGGATACGGCCCAAGCCCGAATCATGAAGCAGCGGTCGAAGCAGGCTGGGATGTTGGGGATCATCAATGGGCAGCTGTTCAACCAGATTATCAACCGCAGCGTCATAAGAAATTGGCACGCTCATCGGTGGTGATTCGTGCGCCACTGCTTCAGGATCACTGCTGGCGGATTCTTGGTATGCTGGGGCTGAGCCCGCGGCCCTTGATGTACCCCCTCTGGCCAACGCCTGCAGACTGCCCAATTGTTGAGCACGGGATCCTAAAAGAAAGCACAGGTCAATCACAACAGCGGTTGCAGAAGCATAGGTTAACCGAAAAGGCATTTGCAGTCGAGAGGCTCAGGGGAGGGATTCGTTGTCTTTTTATCCTTTCTTTTCTCGCATATCAGGCTACAAGAAGACCAGCAACCAGAGTGCCAACACAACAACTGACTTGCAATGTGGCTCCGCACGGCCTCCGCTTCTGAGCCCCGGGCGTTGTGCAAAGCCTCAAACCACTGTGCATTGGCAGTATATTGGGGTGACGCCGTGGAGAGGCCCTTTGGAAACGGCGGGGGGTGATCCGCGATCAAGTTCACTTTAGATCCTATCACGGTATACGCGGTCACCGGGGTCTCCGTGGCCTCGAAAACCAAAGGACCACTCCAACCAGTCTGTCCGCTCTTCCGCAAAGCTTTGATTTGCACCTGGACGGTGGGATCGCGTTGCCAGCGACGCCGCAGCTTTAGATTGATTTGCGTGCCCACGTCAATGACGACAAGCCCTTGGCAGCCCGCCTCGGCGTTATCGGGGTCATACAGAGCCAAAATAGGCGCTGCTACGCCTTGAAGTTGACCGAGGATGCATAAAAAAGTACGGCGCCGCGTGCGCACCATGCCCGCCAAGGAGAGCGTGAAGTTATCATCGGGCCGTAGAATGGGCGGTACGTGCAAGGCTGATACATCAACAGCTGGACTGGGAGCACGTATTTCCCAGAACGTCCCGGTATGCTTGGTGAGATTCCAGGCGTAGGCCAGAGCCACAACCAGACGCTGTTGTTGCCAGTACTCTTGACAATGGGGTAGATCCCACTCAAACCCCAGCAGGGCCAACTCTGGGCGCTGAGGTAACTGCTGTACAAGGTCTGCAAACTGTTGGGGAGTTTGGGCGTGGTTGACCCGAAACTGCCAACCCCGACGTTTGCTGCCCCACGAGTCTTGTAAGCAATACGGAAATGCAGCCAACTCGAGCTGCAGCAGCTGCGTGCGGAGGGCCGCGCGATCGCGCCGCTGCTCGGCCCCGCCAGCTTTGGAATGCAACAAAACCAGGCCAATAACCAGAAACAGTACGACGATGGACAAACCACCACCAAAGATCAAGCCAACGCCCACTGCACTGCTCGGTGTACTCGTCACGAGTACCAGCGCACAAATGGCCGACCACAGAGCCAACGTGACGATTCCCAGGCGAACCACCAGAAGCAAAGGATGAGTTGCGAGCTGTACGTTTGCACGGCAGCTTTTGGCCGTGCTGCCGACGAGCAGGGCCACGTAAACCACTATCAGTATGGCATACTGGGCTTTGACCTCGTGACGCAAAAACAATACCGCTCCGACAATCACCAGCTTTCCCACATTGAATGCGATCGTGGCCCATGGTGCTGCAATGAAATAAAACGAGAGGGGAGGGGGATGTAAGGAAGAAAATCACGGTCAGGCAAATGACAGGAAAGTGATCAACCGCGGAGCAACCGACATGTCCTTGCAGAAGCTGGCTTGCTACACTCGTTTTGATACTCAAAGCAGGAGGCAAAACATACCAAACGCCAGTTGCTGAGACTCGTTGTAGATACGTGCCTCAACCTCTGGCAGGAAAAAGACCATGGCTGGTACAAAAAAGCTCAGGGCCAGCAGGGCTATCAATACGAGCGCTGCATGCGTAGTGCCATAGCACTGTCATAACCGCCAAAGGATCGAGGGGAAGCATGGAAACAGCGAAAGTCGTGTGAGCAGGCAGAGCAGCATTGATTTGCACTGCAAGCAAGGCCAAAGTGGTCATGCGCGCAAACGAGTTGTTGTGGGGACAGGCACTTCATGCCAGATTGACTCGAGACCGCTTCACATCAGCTCCTTTCCTTACCGGCAAGCTATGATCAAAACTGGAGCGCAACGCGCCACCCAACACCTCGCACGGCAGCACCTAAGCCGACAGACAAGAGGCGTCATTAGGACGGAGATGCACGAAGACTGTCAATGCAGGTGAGCGGCGCGAAGGCCGGGAGCCGACACGTCGGGCCAAGGATCGCAGCGTCCCCCTCTCCCAATACTAGTGGGAGTGAAGAGTCTTGACGCTGCCTCCGTGGATCATACAGACTAAACCTCACCTTGGCAACATTGAAGGTGGCGGTGATGCCCAGGACATTGAGAAAGGCGCTCATGAGCAGCTGCCAACCAAATCCCAAGTTGGAGGGTTGGGAGTGCCCCTCCAACACGGCCCGAATAGCGGGCGAGGCAACGAGGAGGTAGGTGATGAACACGCCAGCAATGGCAATCCAAAACGTCACTTGCGGGTTCAGGTTGGGAAGCGCTTCGGCAAACTGCAAGGTCACGGCTTCATAAGTTTTGACCATGACATCCAAAGTATCCCCGGCCAGACCGCTATCCAACTCGACCAAGGCCGCCCAAGGCACAACAAAGAGCTGTGCCGCTTCCACGAGCAGCCCGAGCACGGTCAGAAGATTCGCCAGATTGTAATTGATGCCTTGCAACCGATCGACCTGCGCAAAGTGGGACAGAGTACTTGAATGACGAGCGCTCGCATTGACTGCAAAAAAGCCGCAAAGAGCCAAAACTCCAAGTGCAAGAAAATAGGCGCCAACTGCCCAACGCGCCGTTCCTTCGCGATTGGGCTGCCAGTAAAGAGGGAGCATAAAGCAGTAGATGACCATTCCGATCGTCACCACGGCAGCCATTGCAGCACGCAGGCTGCTAGGCCACCGCAAAAATATGAGGCACCAAGTGATGGCTTCTCCAACAACGGCAAATCCGACCACAGAGGTAAGGATCAGCGTTTTCCAAAAGTCAAGACTAAAGATGTGCCCCAACAATTCCGAGAAATCCGTCAAAACCTGCTCCGTGTGATTGGCGACGACCTCGTGCCAACCAACCAGACCCTGCACGGGAAGAGCATCGAGGGCAGCCACCAAAAATGGTGTGGTCTGGTACAGCGAGCCTAATACAAAGACACTGCCAATGAGGGCTAGAACGTCCTGGCCAAACTCAACCAGCAGGCGCAGCCCCAGGGCGCGAGTGCCCTCGAAGCGCCCCTGCAGGGCGCAATAGAATGACCAGTGGTGAAAGGCCCAAGCCCAACGCAGGGGCCAAAGCAGAAGCAAGGTGAGCCCCAGAAGGCCAGCGAGGTCTACGGCATATTGGACCAGGTGACTGTGGCAGAGTTTTCTCATGCTTGAAAAATTCCAATTGGCACGTTGTGCTGCCTCCTCCGGTGAATAGGGCACTTCGTGCAAGCACTCGGCAAGGTAGGCAAGGTGGTTTGCCTGGATGGTGCCTTGGGCACTCCATTCACTGGGTGCTGAGGCGGGCATCCAGTCCATCTCCTGCGCGGCTTTGACCAGGGGCTGTGGGAGATAATCAATGTCATACAGGCGCCGCTTGGCGCGCACAAGGGCGCGTGCGGATTTGGGACCCTGGGAGAGATGGTAGAGATACCGCCGGACTGCTCGTCGGCATGTTTGAGCCCGTCGCGCCTGAGCATATACTAGACGGCCTCGGGATATTTGTCGCCAAAAGACAAAGCCACGGCCCAAGGGAATCAAGGTGAGGACCAAGATCAGCAACAGATTCACGAGATGCAATAGCCCGCGACCAAGTTCGAGGCCCTCTTGTAGGACCAGACGGGGAAAGGCTTCGTTTCGGAAGTCACGGCTCTCCACGGGAGGATCAGTAAGACCGTCACAAACCAGCAACGGTTGGGCGGGGCGAACGGTATTGATATCAAGATCGGTCTGCAGCCAGGCGACCACGTGAGCCATATCAAACATGACTTGCACCAGTGGATCTGGACCGCTGCTCGGATCGACGACGGTCAAAACAAGTCGATGGGAGTGTTGCAGGCGAAGTAGAACATCGTGAAGTTGCTTGCGGCTTGGACGAGGCACGTGCAGGGTGAGGACCGCTGTGCCGGCCTCGGTGGTGGTGAGGCTAATGTCCGGTGGGCTGAGCGTGAGCGGGATGAAAAGCTTGACGAGGGCGATGGCTGAACTCCCAGCCACCTTGCTGGCATCACTCCAAAAGGCGGCGTTTCCCGTCATGTGAAGCCGCAAACGCTGTGGCAGCAGCAGATTACGGGAAGCCTCGGCAAGAATAAAGTAGAGAGCAAGCTTTTTATTTTGTACGAGCATGTTGAAGTCTGCGAGTTGGGCTTGGGTGCGCTCGGCGGGCATAAACCCCGAGAGAGCACTGCGCAGGCCCGAGATGAAGGGTATGGTTCGATAAAGAGTGACGAGCTCAAGGAGTGCCGCAATAAACAGCAAGAGGTCCATGACCAGAAACTTCTGCACCAAAACGAAGGCGGCAGGCCAACAAAGTGATACAATTGTGCCCCGTGTGGCGAGGATTGAGCGCATAAAGAAGAACACGAGTTTGGGAGGTTTGTAGCAGTGTCGAGGCGCTGGCTTACGGCAAGGCAGACCAGCGCGCATTTGCGCCACCTGTGCTCGGTCTCCTTGTTATTGAAGTTGGCTCTCAGGCTGGCCCAGAGTTCTGAGGCACGGTAGAAGGTTAGGAAGACGAGCACGCCCAACGTCAAGCAAAAGAGGTCAACAATTGCCCAAAAGACGTGCGCCAAGATGGCACCCCGATCGAGATTCTTGTCCCGAGCGTCTTGCAGCACCATCAACATGCGTGGTGACAAAAATGCTGGTAAAAGGAGCACGGCTGCACAACACCAATAAACAGGCCACGGGAGAAGCAGTTCGAAATCAGGCAGGTTTCGTCGGTGAATGAGCGCAACAGGCAGCGGAGGAAATTGACAACGATGAAGTTTGCTCTATCCGTCTGCGTGGCAGATTGGCTCTCAAGGGTGGGAATCAAGGAGAGAGAGAGAGAGAGAGAGAGAGAGAGAGAGAGAGAGGGAAGCTGGTGGGGGTGGCTTTGAGGTTGAGCGCGGTCGTACCTTCAACGAGGTCAAATAGTGTGAGGAGCGCGAGGCCAAAGGTACCACCACGAAGTACTAAATAGCGTTCAGCAGCCGAGGTGGTATCGTCGCGGAACTCTTCCAAGAGCTTTTTAAAGTGCTTGCGGCAGCGCGGGTTGAGGTTGACGAGAAGGTAGGAGGGCAGAAAGAGACCAAGGTCAAAGATCGGGAGAAGGGCGCAGAGGGTTGAGCCAACGATCAGGAAGGGGGTGGCGATGATGAACAGGAGATAGATGAAGCCATCCTTGGCTTTGAACTCGACCCAGCTGTCGACGGCCCTAGTACAAGGCATGGTGCCCGTGCAGCTGTCGTCTTCACTGAGCATGTCCACATAGGGTTTGCTCATACCGGTCATCACCTCAGTGAAGGGCTTGATGTTGAAAAACAGGGGCAGGCTGAGGACCACGCCCATCAAGGAGAGACCAAGGTGTAACATCCAACCGGTAACCACCACGACGTTCATGAGTACATAGAGACAAAAGGCCAGGCCGCGGCCGACCAGACGTAGGAGTTCCACCAGCACATTGATCAGGCTGCCGAGAAAGGAGTCGCTCGCCATTGTACCGGGGATCGACACCCGCCCCCGGCTGGGCAGGGTGGAGGACAAAAACAGATCCTTTCGCCTCAAAGAAAAGATCGATCAGAGACGAAAAGTGGATCCAGATATAGATCCGATGCCACTGACACTCCAAAGTGGCGCCGAGCAGCAAAAGATGCAGGACATGCAATTGAAAGTGCCGGGAGAAGCGCTAACGGTGGGCGATCAAAGCCCACCGACCAGGTTCAAAAAAAATGCTCGAAACACACACACACTCACACTCACACATACACGTGAAAATGAACGCAAGCCTCAACAACTCTCATTTATACTACAAGAAGTAACACTGTAAACATTATTCAAATTTCTTTAACTTCATCAAGTATGTATATAACTTAAATGTCAGCACCACCACGCCATCATCCAATTTTGGTGTGCTGACAACGCATTTTGTTTGCTTCGGGGCTCGAGGCGAAAGGAGGAGCGAGAGGAGGCGCTGCTCGTCCGCCTACTTTCTCTGAACAAGAATGACAACTAGGAAGGGCAAAGAGGCTTTCGACTCTTCATCAGGCCTTGAAACGTACCAGCTGACAGCATTAGCCATGCCAATTTGTGATGCAAATAATTCCAACGTATTTAATAAATTTTCTCTAAACAACAGGATGTGGGCCTTGGATGGCGGCCTGGGAAGCGGAATGAAGGAGAGGACTAGAGGCTGTCTCGGGAAAGTTGACTGAATGTGAGTAAAAGGAGCGAGGAAAAGGCAAGACAATGAAAAGGGGTTCGTTTGGTCAATTGTCGATGCAGGGGAAGCTCTGCTTCCTTGGCGTCATAGCACACACGGATCATAGATCCAGTGATGTAAAATGCCGGCACATACCACGCCGCCACAATGGTGGCATGGAGAACCTCACAACTTCAAAAATACCATATCAGCTCTGCTCTGCTCCGCTCTGGGAGTCAGGATGTAGCTGAGCCCATCGTGCGGTGTGACCAGCGCTATAGTTGGTAAACTGGCTCTTGGTGAGCAGGAGGGGGCGATCACGGCCCATGACGTAGATTTGGCGCTCCACGGACGACTGCTTTTCAGAAGTCACTCCCGCAGCCCAACTCGCAAAGTAGAACCCAGTCATGAATGCATCAAAGCCTGCCCGATGACCATGAACCGTGTTGCCGGCTGCACCACTTGGGGCCACAGTCAAAGGCACAGAACTGGGTTGGTCGCCCGATGGTGTTTGGCGCGGCTTGCGTGTACGCGCTTCCTGTACATCCAGCACCAGATCCAGGTCGTGTAGGTTTGGGCAAGCCTCTCCCCTATTGCAATGCCCAAAGCGCTCGTAATGGCGACACAGTCGCGACGCCTCGGTCAAGGGCCATCTACTCTGTAGCGCGGGCATGGCGTACTCGCCGCGATAGGATGCGGGCAGATGCATGGTGTACGCAGGCTGCTGCAGCGCCATGCCAACGCCCCGCTGCACACGTCGAAAAGCGGTGCGAAACAAATACTCGAGAAATGACGCCGGCTCTCGCGCCTCATACTCGGCCACATATTTGGTGTCAATGACTCGGCCAAAGAGCTGGGAACAGTCGGCCACAAACACGTCCAGCGTCGCAGGTAGATCAGCCCACAGGTGCTGATACAGAAAGCAAAGATCAAGAAGCCCATTGTGCGTCACGATGGGCGCGGTGCTTTGTATCAATGCCTCGAACACACGCCGGGGCACCTCTTTACGGATCAGAGCCCTCGAAGCAGCGGAGTCAGACCTCGGCCCCGGCCCCGGCCCTGACCCTGACGCTGACCCGGCCTTGGCGCGCTTGCTTGCAGGCGGGGCCTCAGCTTCGGTGGCACCAGCCCCGGGCGTGTAGGTCAGCCCGTCGCGCACCTGGCGATTAAAGTCGAAGCCATGCCGCAACAAAAATTGCAGGCTGAGCGGTTCCACCACGTATTCACGCAAACTGGATAGAAGCAGCTCAAAGACCTGAACCTGATAGTGCACTACAGCATTCTCTGAAGACTCTGCTTGTGGGTGGCTTTCGGAAAAAACTGCCAGTCCCATGGATAGCAGTGCACGCGAGCGAGCCGCTTGGCAGTACACCCCATATTTGGTGTTCATGTCCTTGGCCCGAGCCTGCCGGCGATCGCCAAGACCCGTCATCTCAAGGTCCAGCGCCACAAAGCTAGCGCGAGAGAGCGCCAGCATCAACCGCGGCAACAACTTGGTCGCATTGTCGCGATGCACCTCCACCACCGTCACCATTGCAGGCAACCCGCCCACTGCCGTTTCCGCCATGGCCTGTTTCCTTTACAACACAACACAACGGGAAAAAAAAAAAAAATTGAAATGACACAAAGAGACGAGTTTGCTTTCTAAGCAAGGGGTTTTTTTTTTTTTTGTTTTTGTTTTCTTTTTGTTTTTTTTCTTTTGAGGGCGTGCCTGTGTGTGCAGATCGCCATGAGACGTGACTTGTTAATTAGGAGTTGGGAGATTCGACTTGTCTCACTGTTCTGAGCAAATGCGACATTCTCCGAGGAAATACCTCGTCTATCCACAACGCACGTCTACCCGCAGACGCACACACACACGCACACACACGCAGACGCGCACACACTTCTGGATGGTGGTAAACTTCAAGGTTTTGGCTAGTGAACGGGTGCTGGCGCATCTACCAGGGTCAAGGGGAAGCCCGCCAAGACATCCTCTACAAACTGTGCAACAATGCCTATTGACAAGATGGCAGATAACAAAGCCCATGAGAGTGGGCAGGCATCACATGCTAGCCGCATCTTCCAACCAAGTCAAGGCATAGCACTGACCCAAAGCATGGCTGACGCGGCGCAGCGTGGGGACCGCGAGATCCGGAGCCTCGGGCAGGCTTTGGACAAAGAAAATGGCACCGTGCAAATTGTCCGGACTAAGACCTTTAAAGCGGGCCACATCGGTTGAAAAATTGTTTCGCAAGTATTGCTGCAGTGTCGGCCAATGATCGAAATCACCCGGGTCTAACCTACTCGATCCCATCCATCATGTAAGCCTAGGTTTTCAAAGGCACGAGGAGAACCAAAAACAAGGATCGTTCTCGCCATAAAGTGTTGCGGCTTGCACCATGGACTACCCAAAAGACACGCACTCACCCCCCGGCTTTGCTGTTGCTCCCGCCAATCACGATGCGCGCTGCCACCTCCAACATGGCGTGGGACACTGGAGTCACACGTTTTTGCTGCCGAATCTCATTGCGCACGGCCGTGGGGATGGCAGCGGGTGGCCCCTGCGCTTGAATCATGGCCATGAGCTCATGCCAGCGTTGGCGCAGCTCGCCATAGCCGTGCAGCCATTCCAGAACCCGCGCCAGCGCGTGGCTCTCCTTAGCAGCGAGAACAAAGCGGATCGCGCGCGTACACACACACACACACACACACACACACACATACACCAAGCAGCAGCAGAATAAAAAGTGAGGTGGTGACACACGAACGGACGGGCGGCGCTGGCTTTGCACCAGTGCACGCTAGAAAGCGAGGCGCGCAGGCCATACAAATTGGGTGGCTTCAACCGAGAGCTGGCTCATGGCCTCCAGAGCCAATGTGCCAAAGGGGCTGTCCTGGCGGATGTCAAAGGAATCGAGGCGGGGGCACAATGTCCTGGTGGAAGCCCAAGCCAGTGCCAAATTTTGTGCGAAAGTGAAGAGGCGGCGCAGCGAGCGAGCCAACGGCAAGCGCACGATCGCGCTGATACAAACAAACAAACGAGCCGGTGGCTCCGACATGAGAGGGGAAAGCTTACCGGGCCTTGATGCGGGCTTTGACAAGGTCCCATTCGACGGTGAGATTGTGCCAGTCCTCGGCAGGGTCCAGAAGTGCGACAAAGGCAGTCAGGATGTGAACGACCTCTGCACGCGGCTTGCGATAACCGGCCAATTCGTTGATATCCTGCTCACTAATCTGCAGGCCCAGGGATCGTAGATTGTCGGCGGCGCGTTGAACCCCTCGTACGCACTCAAGGCGCCGCGCACAGACATCCAACAAAGGAGAACAGCGCCCAACGCTGAGCGTCAGGTCCAAATCGCGCACGAGCAGCATGCGGTCGAGCCGTCGCAAGATGGGCTTGGCCGTGGTCGAGCGGACGCTTGAGGTCGCCGCACCGGCCTTGCGACGGGTGGAGCCGCCGAGGCTCTTTGGGGGCGGTGTGCGTCGACTGCGAGATGCCACGCCCACGCCGGTGCTAACCGCATTCGGAGTGGCGGGTGAGCGTGCGGGCGTGCTACGCCCAGAGCTGCGCCTGGAGATGGGCCCCGGACTTGCTGGAGGTGGTGACGGGGTGGGGGCTTCATAGATGACCGAGGGCACACTTGCTTCATCGAGTCGGGTCGAGCGACTGCCGGGCGAGCGACCATTGGGCGCACTGCGGGGCCTCGGGCTGGCGCCTGCGCTGCCACCCTGGCGAGGACTGCGCGCCGCTGCTGTGGAGTTCTTTCCCGCAACGGGGGACGCCGCCGCGGTGGCCCGAGCCCGCGCCGTGGGCGTGAAGGCCGTACCTTTACTGGGGGTGCGAGGCGATGGGGCTTGCGGGCTCTTTTGACTCTGAGGACTGTGGCCCGGGCGATTGCCGGCACCAGTGGTCGTATGCTGGATGGCCCTTGACGATGGGGGGCTGTGCGCCGAGGCGTGGGCATTCAGAGTGGGGTCGTTGGCGTGCGGCAGGCGAACAGGTAGGTGTCGGCGACCACGCTGGCTGACCGAGGTCATGGTCGTGGAGATGCGAGAGGGGGCGGCCATGGTGCCACTGTCTATTGACTCTGCAACCTCGCTTGAATGGACCGCATCGGCAGGTAGCAAACCAGTAATGTCAAAGGCCTCCGTGGAGAGGGAGCGAATGCGCTCCTCCAGAGACATGGGGTCGAGGAGATCGAGCGACTCGGCCGTGAGCCGCCGCTCCATGGGAGCCGGCCGAGCAGGTGAAATGTCCTCGTCAGTCTTTGATGGACTTGCTCGCTTGGGGCCTGTGACTGCCTGTTGGTGATCCCGGGGAGTGGCCCCGCGTTGTTGGGCTTTACTGTGGCCAGTGATGGGAGTCTCGGGGGCAGACGTCGCGCCGGCTAGTGGACGCTTCAGGGAGCCGCGGCGGGATGAACTGGCGGATCGTGACCCCGAATTGCCCGCTTTTTTGCTGCTGGCACGCCGCTCAATGATGGGATCGTACACAAAGACATCGCGGCGCATGGCGGCGCGGGGTCGGTTCTGGGCATCAGCCAGCTGCAGTTTGGCATGTTCCCGGCGCCGAGCGATGGCAGCCTTGGCCTTGCGCTCCGAAGACGCCGTGGGCGCCTGTAGACGTTCAAATACGCTCATGGTTGCCGTCACTGGCCCCCAACACTGCGATGGCGATCCCTTCTGAGGGCCACACACACGCGCTGCCGTTTGAGGCTATGCGTGCTGTGGTGTCCAGCGTCCGACAAACACATCAAGTACGAGAACCAACCCACATACTCGAACGGCAGATACATGCATCCGCTTGTACGTTGCCTACTGGAAAAATAGCTGCTCATCGGCACTCAAACCGCGGCGCCCTCGACAGCAGCCTTAGAGCTTAGAACCTGATGAATGAATGAAGGGGTGTGAGTTGTTCCTTCTCTCTGCTTCCTTAAGAAATGTCACGATCAAATTTGTCGTTGTGTATGAAACGGCATCGGCGTGCGACGACCCCATCTCTGGCCGTGAGCTGTACATGCTGCAGGCAGGTGCACCATGATCCTGTCGTTCTATACACACACCCATAGCCCCCACGTCATTGACGCCGGGCGACCTCCCCCTGGCCCTACCCAAGAACCACCGCCCGCCGCCATTTCCGATCTCCGCCAAGAGGCGACGTTGTCGATAACACCTATTCACAACGATCCCTCTATTGTCAGCACAGAGGTGAGCCTAAGTTGGCTTCAGCACCACAAGAACCCACTGCGATGACCTTTGAAAAGCCTGCACCAAGTGTGTGAGCGGTTCCATGGTGTTATAGCGTTATAAACCGTGAGGATCGACAAATACTGCTTCCGGTACAACATCAACTCGGGCATTCATCGTCATCGTCATCCTCCGCGGCGACTTGATCCTTGACATCGAGGCTGCTGAATGCATTTTCTTTCCTCTGGTTCTTGGTGGTTGGACTGATCCGTAGTTTTGCAGTCTCAAAACGAGTCATTGACCTGTTGGTGGTCTGAGAACGACCCGTCACTGAAAACCGAGTCCGTCATGTCTGTCGCGGGCTCGAACGGCCATAGCATGGGCTTGGCAAACGTGCCGCTGACCAAAGTCACTCTTTACAAGAATGACTATGCCCATTGCTTGCGCATCACCCCTGCACACAAGGGTCAGTTCTTCTCGAGCCGCGGGCATCCACGATGAGTGTGCTCTCTTTATCGCCCTCTCACTCCCCCACTGTCTCACGCCCCCCACTGTTGTCTCGCTCAGGTACATTGCTGGCCCACAACCGGCGCGGTTTCAAGCTGAGCGTTCCACAACAGACGCACGACGTCATTGTAGATACGCTCGCGGCACGCATCGGCGATACGGTGCCCTCCACCCAATACAACATTGAGGCTGCAGATCGCTTTGCCGAAGCTCGCGCTGACCAGGCCAACCTCTACCAATTTGATCTCAGCGGCAGCATCCGGGGCTTCCTACGCTCCTGCATTGGTGCTCAAGTGGATTTGACGGTTGCTCAGCCCTCCAAAACTGACACTGGGATCGAAACCTTTGTCACTCACACATACAGCGGTGGGTTGTCACTTTTCAGACTTCTTGGCCCAAATTTGTCCGCCACCTGGCCGCGGGCATTGTATCTGATCAGGCCCCGCGATTCCGCCACCTAGGACTCCTCGCCATGCTGCAGGATGAGCGTGTAGAATCAGTGACTAGCGATGGCACCACGGTAGGAACAGCTTCAGCCCACTCCCACCACCCCCCTTGCTCTCATCGATGACCTACTGACTGTCGGTTGTACCGGCTATGCCCCTGGCTCCTTTGGGCTCCCTTGTTCGATTTTATTTTCGGGGATAGGTTACTCAGACAGTAACAACCGCTTCACTTCTGAGCAGTGAGAAGGGTCTTCAGCTAGTTCCTCTTGTTCACCTTCGAACCTGTTTTATTCACAACAAGGATTTGCGCGATCAGCTCGAGCAGGTGTGTGATGGGGGTGGGGGGCGGGCGCACCCCAGATATCGAACGTGCTCGAAGATGTGTACCACTGTGCTCACCCACAACGTCCTACCACCCCACCTCAGATCATCTGCCAAAAGCTGCAGCGCAGCCAGGCCTATCAATCCAAGGAGTCTGGCCACGCCGTCATTACCTTTCTCACCCCACCTGAAACGGTGCGTCCTCGCCTTGTGGCCTTGCTGACATGGTCATAGTCGCGCCGCAAGACTTGCGAGTCCCCTGCAAAGGGCAGTTGCACCTCTGCTCATCCCTCCTCAACCCCAACCCCAATCAAACCCTTGCATGCTTTGGCGGTCGTTCCCGTGCTTGTTCATAACTGCAGGACGAGCTTGATCTCTCCGTCAGCTACGTTTGTGACGCCAAGGAGTGGTCTTGCACCTACCACCTCGACGTGCCAACGGCGGCCATCAAAACACCGACTCAATTGCAGGCCATGGCCAACATCCACAACACGACCGCTGAAGACTGGCGCAATGTCCAGGTCTGTCTTATGGGCAGTGAGCTTGAACTTGTCAACGATGCTGCCGCCTCCAGCAAGCAACAGCAGGCCAAGAAGAAAAAGATTCAAGCTCGCCAGTGAGTCTGTCCGCCCCATCTGATTCCCTCGCAACCATTCAACGCAATATTTCTTCGGTGCCATTGCACTGCACCCCCTCATCCCACGTGCGATGATCCAGAGAGCGAGGCTCAATGACCATCTTCATCAAGACCCTCACTGGTACGCCTACAGTGATTCTCAAACGACTGTCTTTGGGGTTTTGAACACGAGGCTTCTGCCCATACAAGGCTGCTGGGTGTCTTGGCTGCTGTGTTGGCTGACTTGCCCATGACTGTGTGCTTTTTTGGTTGCAGGCAAGACAATCTCCCTCCCCGTGTCGCCCTCGGACACCATGGCTGTGATCAAGAGCAAGATTACCGACCGCGAAGGTCGGTAGCTTCCAGACTTGGTCGCTTGCAGACTTGGTGGCGCTCTGCCTCTTCCCAAAACTTGCAGGGCTCTACTGGAACCCTTTTGTTCCCCCTGATACTGTGCTATCGCGGTGGCTGTAGGCATCCCGCCGGATCAACAGCGCCTCATTTTTGCCGGCAAGCAGCTGGAAGATGGTCGGACCTTGAGTGATTATAACATTCAAAAAGAGTCCACCCTGCACTTGGTGTTGCGGTTGCGTGGGCGTGGAGCCGATGCCGATGCCACGGATGATTGGGAAGCGGTCGACGTGTCCGCCATGGCCGGCCTGACGGAACGCATTGCCTACAATCTCAGCCAGCCAGTCAGTGTGCCGTGCCCCCTCCCCTCCTCTTCCAAGCTTCCTGCCACAGCAGCTAGCACCGCCTCGTTGCTCACGGGTTTGCTGCGTGCACAGGTGGATCTGCGTGCCGGCGAGAGCGGCGTTGTACCCGTTGCCACTTTTCCCGTGTCAGCCCGCAAAATTTTGGTGTATGATCCCTCCTTCAACAAGGTTTGGCCAAGTTGCGCTTTGCATCCTGAACTTGCTGCACGAGAACCGTGCTGTCCCCTGACTTGATGACATTTCTGGACATCTCTGGACACGCTTACCCGCCAGGTCAATGCCATGCATTCAGTCCACTTGTTCAACGAGTCTGAGGCAGCCCTGGCCAATGGTACGATCAGCATGATGCAGGAGGGCCGATTCGTCTCCCAAGTTGAATTCAGCCCCATGCTGCCCAACGATGACGCTGTAATCCTGTACGATCACGCACAATTCTATGCCCACGCCGTGCCCACTCTGTGCACCCCATGCCGCGTGCCTTTTGCCCTGACTCTTGCCGCCTGATCGGAGGGGGGGTGGGTTCCTGTATCTGTTGCAGGCCACTACATCTTGAAACAGCTGATATGCATGGTCTCGGGCCAACCATTTTGTTTGTTCAAACGTGTCTCGGACACCGTAGAAAATTCAAGTGGGCCGACATTGGCTATGTTTCCCGCCGAACGACGGTATACACCTTTGTCAACAACGGTCAAGAAGCCATGTCCGGTCCCTCAACGCTCTACATTAACCACACGGCCTCGATGACTCACAACGGCTACAGCATCTTGACATCGGAAAATGCCATCAAGCGGGCAGAGGTCCGTCGAGTTGCGGGTGCGGGTGGCCCCAAGACAGCTCAAATCTCTGATGCCAGGGGATGCGCTCTGTTCGGTGCACTCACACTCACCCTCACATTCACTGGTCTTGCTTCTGCTGATAGGGCTTTTGTCGCTATGAGCTCACATTGGCGCCTGGTGAGACAAAGTCCATTACGGTGGAAGAGGAAGCATCTTACGAGGAGAAGCTGGAGCGCAAAAAGTTGATCAGCAAGCTGCGAACAGCCTCAGAGCGGCAATGGCTTTGCACAGACATCTTCTCGCACGAAAATTTGGAGCAGCTGCTTCGAATTCTCAGCTGGGAGTTGATGGAGAACACTTTGACCGATGCAATGGAAGATTGCCTGGAATTATCAGATTTGCTCAAGTCAGGCCACGCCGCATTTCACAACCCTGGCTAGAGTCATTGTTCGCTGACGCCCATCTCAACCCTGATGCATAATTTGGGTCGACTGAATAGGGCTGAGCGATCCCTCCAGGAGCTGAACCGAGACATGGACATGACCGGCCCTGTATTCGAGCAGTGGAAGGTGGTGCTCGAAGGCCCGATCAGGCAGATATTGGAGACGACGCAACGCTTGATGAATAAACAAAAGCAGCTGCAGCAGGCCAAGCAGGAAGCTGAGACCAGCATCAGCACCATCGAGACCGACCAATGCCGCATTCGAGACAACCTGAAGTCCTTGGAAAAGGTACGCGCCCTTGTGCGGGTGCAGAGTGGTGCCAAGGACATGCACAAGCCCGAGACGCCTCAGATTAAACTGTTTTCACATACATTGCGCCCTGTCATTCTGTTTAGGTGCGTGGTGAAGAGCTTGTGAGTCGATATCTCAAGGACATGAGCAAGGCCGAGGATGATTTGCAGGCACTGCGGCAGCAAGTGCGTAGCCATGAGCGTGAGATCAAGTCCCTGGAGGACGAGGTGAAACAGCAATCGCGCCTACTGCACGATGAAGCGGAGAAGCTTTGCGATCAGCTTCCGCCATCTGACGATTGTTGAGTGTGTGCGCCTCATGCGCACGCGATGGTGTTGACGCGATGGTGTTGACGCGATGGTGTTGGTCATGTCGCCTGGCGCGGATGCTGGACTGTTTGCGTGTTTTTGGTTTGATCAGTGTCGAAACTCATGTGCCAACGGCATGATTTGATTGGTCCAAATTTGCTTGGAAGTAATTCACATGTCAGCTCAACCGTCAAAGGCCTCCAAAAGAGTTGAAAAAGGGAGAAGAAGAACAGAAACAACACATACGCGCGCGCGCGCGCGCGCAAACATGGCATCATGGAAGAGACTCACATACACAAGACGGGGGAGCCGAGAACACAAGAATAAACAAGCAGGGCACTGGCATCGGATCGAACCAAGCACGCGGGCACGGCATCATTAATCATGGGGTCGTTCAAAAGAGGATAGCATATGCACGTGGATACAGAGACCAAGACAACACGAGACGTGTTCAAGAAAGAACACGAGAAGGAACTATATTTTAAAAGGGTCCTTAACTTTGGCCTTGGCTTCTTCTGCTGCTGCTGCAGCAGTCTCAAACGGATCCACGGGTCGGCCACGGGCTAGCTGCAAGAAGCGCTGGCCGGCGCGCTTGGTCATCATCTTGATGGGGTCGTCTTCGCGCTCAAAGACATTGGTACCAGCCATCACCTGCAGCCGAACAAGGACGTAAATGACCGAGTGCTCCTTGAGGCCAGAGGCAGAGAGCGTGGCTGCGTCGTGAAGGATTCGAACGCGAAGATCGGCTGGCCAAGGCCAGCTGGGGCGGAAGGCCCGAATCGAAGCCACCGAATGACCATCTGGATCCTGGGGCGTCGTTGGAAACAAGAGCGTCATGCAGTCGACAGAAAACTTGGTCAGCTCGGCCACGCGTTCCTTGAGGGCGGCAATGGTGGCAAAACGCAGCTCAGTGACCTCCAACGGTCGACCTGAGAGCGCGTGCACGAACATCGGCATCCCGCCTAAACAGCCAACCCGCGCGATGAGTTTAGCAACCGTGACGGAAGCGGCCAATCGTTATCAACCCGCGCTGCGGCGTACCAAGCGTGTGCCCTGGAATCTTGGGCGGTTTCTCTGGAGCCTTTTTGGATCCCTTCTTCTTGGCGCCCTTCTTCTTGCCCATATTCAACGGTGGGCGTGCACGAGGGGCACGGATCCAATGCTCTCGCGAGGAACGGGGAATAGCTGCACAAAGCTGAACTCAAGTCGTGCGCGGTGACCCGACCGATCCTGTATATTAAAGCGCCAAGCCCACCTGAGCCCGTTGGACACCAAACTTCATGTGAGAGAGACGCAGACGGTGACAGAGACAGAGACAGAGACGGACGGACGGACGGACGGACGTGCTGAAAAGCTTGTGGCTTTGACGACCACACACACACAATAGCACAAGACGTTGCCAACCACACACACACACACACACACACACACACACACACACACACACACACACACACACACAAACACACACACAAATTGTCAGACATTCCGACGGTTACTTTTTTCTTTTTTCTTTTTTTTTTCTTAAAATGTGGGCGAGGACGGTGGGTCGTGGGCGATTAGGCATCGCTGTGCAATGTCTGTTTGGGCGACAGGCAAGGGCAGGGGTGGGGGTGATACCGCAGCGGAGCATGCATCTTTTTACGTATGATCTGCATCATGACGTGGGTGGTGCGGAGAACATGTTGCGGCTTCCACTTGACCGACACGAGCGAGACTACCTGCCGTGGGAGCGCCACATCCATGCCCTGGTGGTACTGTTGGTGAAGCAGGGCCGCATGTCCGTGGATGAGCTGCGTCGTGGTGTGGAAGGACTGCCGTCGTCCCTCGCGGAGCAGGCTAGTTACTATGAAAAGTGGGGCTTGTCTGTCAGCCGCATCTTGACCGAAAAGGGCACAGTGTCGGGCCATGAGCTCGAACAAGGCTTTCTGGGCGTGCCCACTACAGACTTGCCCCAAGTGCCGCGCTTTCAGGTGGGACAGCGCGTCATGGTACGCCCGTTTGGCACCACCTTTGCCTATCGACAACCACACCTGCGTGTCCCGGGCTACGTCCACGGTGCCGTCGGAACCATCGTTGAACTGCCCGGCCTCTTTCAGGACCCGATGACCGGGGCCTACGGTGAGCGTGGAACGGCCCAGCCGCTCTACCGAGTGGCTTTCAGCCACCGTGCCCTCTGGCCCGAGGGCGCTGCGCACGCTGAACCCGGTGAGCTTGAGGATGGTGTTGTTGTGGACGTCAGTCAACCGTGGCTGGAAGCCCTAAGCGAAGCCGACTACGCCCAGCGCTTGGCCACGCTGCATCGCGTTGCCTTTACCCCCGACTCCAATCCCCCCCAAGCCCACAAGCACCATCATCATCGTCATCACCATGACCATCACCACCACCACCACCATCATCATGCAATGCATGCCGAACATGAAGCGCACACGCATGATACTCGGTATGGCACAGAGCAGGCTGCCGTGGCCAAGGAGGCCGCCTTAGATTTTCCCTACCAGCCCTGGTGTGAAGCCCTGGTGCAAACGCTCACCAGACGCGGCGTGGTTCGATCTGATGAATTACATGCCACCCTGGCCTCCCTTGATGCCCTCCAAAACTCTGGAGCCGGTCCACAGCTCGTGGCACGGGCCTGGAGCGATGCAGCCTTTGCCGAGTGGCTCTTGACGGACGCTGCCGCTGCTGCAGAAAGCCTCGCTATCAGGACAACCAACTACGATGCCGACCCGGCCAGCGCCGAGCGCGTGGGTGGGCATCGCCTCTTTTCTCACAATCATACTGAGCTACGCGTCGTTGCCAACACTGACACGGTCCACAACCTCGTCTGTTGCACACTGTGCAGGTACGAGAGCACATTGTGACGAGGCCCTTGTTGATGTTTTTACGGGCTCACCCACATTCCTTTCATTCTTCCTACTGCATGGCTGTCCCACCGTAGCTGCTATCCCACTGCCATCCTAGGCCTCTCCCCGCCGTGGTACAAGTCCAAGGTTTTCCGTGCGCGAGCCGTCCGAGAGCCACGCCGCCTGTTGCGCGAAGAGTTTGGGCTAGTGTTGCCAGAGGCGCGTGGCATTCGCGTTCACGACAGCACGGCCGACTTGCGATACATGGTACTGCCCCAGCGGCCCCAGGGCACTGAAGGCTGGAGTGAAGAACACCTACGCACCATTGTCACCCGTGACTCTCTGCTGGGGACAGCCGTGCCTCGCGTTGACTGATCTCCCGTCTGCTGAGCCTTTTTTTGTTTTTTAAAACACCCCAGGTTGCGAACCGAATTGGGTGTGTGGGCGGAGAACAAAACAAACTGTGAATTGGCACAAACCGAGTAGAGACGCGGTGCAGTGAGGTGCCAAGTCCAGAGCCACTTTGCACTCTTCCTCCAACTGCTTCAAATTAGGATAAAAATAAAAAAAGGAGCAGGTTGAACCAGAATCGATTTGAACATCCAAGTTGTAACATGCATGCCTTTTTGATCAACGCCCTGCTGGGCAGCCAAGCGCACCCACCAACACCCACCAACACCGTTCTCAAAGCGTCAACTCGAAGAGATAAATTTAACGTTGGTCACGAGCCGATTGTTCAGAGACTCTGGCGGGAAGGCTTGATCCACGTGGAGCGGAAACACGACGTGACGTGTTGACTCATAAAACACCTGCGCATCAAGTGCCACAACAATGTATGAACACGGAACCAGGCAACCGAATACAACAGGGCATGGGATGCAAGAGCTGCATGCATACCGTGTTGTTGTGTGTGTAAACGACCTTGAAGGCGCGGGCTCGCTTGTCATATCGTGTCACAATACCCAGCACATCACTGGGCTGATAATTGACGTACGGCCCCACTTCATCTTCGGCCTCGCGCGCCGTTACGCGACCAGAGCCCATGAAGAAGAGACAAAAGTCAATGTCTGGGCAGGTGCACCGCAGCAAAATGAAACAATCACTGTACTGGTGTAGACGAGGCCAAGGCCAGGCAGGATGGGGTGGGCTTGCTCACCGTCATAGTGCTGGTCTCGCTTTCCATGAAAATTGCGTTGCACATTTGAAAGGCCCACAAAAAACCACTGCGATACCAGCAAGTCAAACATCCTTTTGAGGGGCGCGAGCCACAAAATATGACGCGCCCCGACACCAAGACACGGCAAGCGTGCTGCAACTCAAACAACGCGACACACCTGATCCGTTTGACAAGGTTGAAAGCTCACGCCTCGTATGGGCCCTTCCTCGCCAAAACTCTGGGACGAAATGGAGATGAATCCCTCGTCACCCGGGCCTGCCTTGGCCTCAGCCAGGCCGTCGAGATCCTCTTGTTCTGCTTCCTCCTCAGCTGTTACCGTCTCGTATTGGCTCATAGAGAGCTCAACGGGTATCTCGTACGTAATCTTGGCTGGTGTGGAGGTTGGGTGCCTGGCCATGTCATAGGCAGCCACACCTGGGGCATGATCGCCAGCACGAGCGAGGTCGTAGTTGGTGGCTGCATTGTCGGTTCGGTCAGCTGTCCCCACATCGTAAACAGGCGTTGCAGGTGCTCGGCCTAGATCGTAGGCTGGGCCGGCTGCGTTGATGGCCCGCCCCGTTGGTGCTAATGGGTTGGCTTGATTATCATAAATGTCTTCTTGCACTGCGTGAGACTTGGGTTGCGCGAGGGCCGTGAGCACTTCGTCACGGAGCAGGGCTGCTGGGTTGAGGGCCACACCCAGCTGTTTATCTTTTCGGCGTGCGTAGGCAGCCACCAAGGATGAAAGGCTAGCAAACGTGGGCGTCTCCCCCTTGACGTTGGTAATGCTCAGCGCTAGCAAGCCGGCGCGGTTGACCACAGGTACATTGACGGGGCGCAGCTGAGTGTCCAGATAACACAGCGTCGCAAAGTCTTGACCTGAGGTCAAAAGGGCAAAAGCGCCCGGTCCCAAAAGCTGGGCCTTGGTCTCCATCAAGGCTAGAATGGAGTCGCGGTCAAAGGCCAGCAGGTACCAGGGGCTCTCGCGCGCAGCGCTGTCGAGCAGCTGGGCCACATCACCGCTCACCTCCTTGGACGGGCGACGGGCGCGGCGACGGATGGTCCGCCACTCGGTGGTAGAGAGACGAGACATGCCCTGAACCTGGAGCTTGGGAGTGTCCGATTCGAGCTCGGAGTAATCTCCTGGCAAGACATGGGTGTACTTGGATCCAGCACGCCCACGCGAGATGCCACCGCCCGTCGTCGGGGTATAAGGGGAGGCGGACGAGATCGGCCCCGACTTGATGGTGGGCCGAACAGGGGAGTACTCGTAGACATGATCGCTGGACACTGGATCGGCCTGCTCATTGGTATCAAAGACAATGCTCTTGGTGACGGTGGGAGCCCGTGCACGTCCGGTGGGTGGGGCTGCGCCCTCTGAGCCAGAGGCGGGCTTTTGCCGGCTCTGCTTCTGTCCCATTCTGACCAAATTGTACTAGCTATCGCACCAATCAACACCCAGACCTAGACACCTATACCGACGGCTGACGCTGCTCCGCCCCCCGCCCCCCAAGCCATCCCCGATATCACCAACCCTCCACCACCCGCCATCAACGCTGGCCAACACGTTCCGTGGGTTGATGTCGCGCTCAAAAAAAAATTGAAAAATGAGACAACAAAAAATGATGACAACACCTCTTCTGAGAAGGTGTAGGGTGCTCCTGCGACCCTATCTCTTTCCTGTGAAACTCTGAAACTCTCGCTCAAACTCTCTCAAAAACTCTCTCAAATTCTCTCAAACTCTCTCTGTCTCTCTCTCTCTCTCTCAGTCCAAGCGAGCACACCTCAGTTCAGGGACAGGTGCGCTGCTGACGAGGGTGAAGCTTGTGAGGGTGGGTGGTATATGGGCGGACGAGGGAGGGGACTTGATTTTATTTATCAGCTCGGCGCTGTCAGGAGTAGATGCTACGGTCGTGATGGCAGAAGCAGCCGAGGCTGGGTTGGACGACGCGCTCCTCGAGGCCCGTCCGCATGCTGACTCCGACGAGCGCGACAACAAACAGGATGACGAGCACCAGGCCACCGAAGAAGAGCTTGAGCTCGGCGAAGACCCCACCATCCGCTACGACTGGCAGCGGGGTGACGTTGAAGAACGACGTAGCGCCATTGAGCGCCGCCGCATGATGCTGGCCGAGGTTGACTTGACCAAGGACGTGCGCTTACAACGGGTTCGGACTGCTGCCGTTGAGGGTTCATGCATGGCGTGCGCAGGTAGTCGCCAAGAGTCTCCTCTGGGTTTGATTGCCTTCTTCTTTGGCCATTTGTATCACCTGATAGGAATGGATGGATCTGCTCAATGAGCGCAATTTGATCGCCGTGGAAGATCAGCTGCGCGAGCAGGAGGAACAAGCGCAAGCCCTCGCCCGTCTGGCACAAGAACCACAACTGGCCGGGTATGTCATTTTTCCACCACAACCACACACACTTTTCCGTGCGAGCCCCAAGCACCTATCTCTTCCACACAAATGCTGCCCGCGACCTCTGCATACAAGGTAACCTGTCCGCCTCGACTTTCGACCTCCAGGTGGCTTCAAAAGCTAGGCACGCGTCGGCCGCGTCGCTGGAATCGCCGATGGTTCAACTACAATCCAGAGACGGGTGTTCTTCAATGCTTTCAGCGCGAGAATCAAAGCAAACCTTATCGGTGCGACTTGGTTTTTTTGCATTCGCGCGGTCAATGGCCGAATGGGTGCGCTGTGCTTGCTCGAAACTTGATGAGCTAACTGCTGCGACTTTGCTGTAGCACCCTGGACCTGGCCGATATGGCGCGCGTAATTGCTACCAATTCGTCGCGTACCAGCCGCTTCCAGATCGTGATGCAAGATGGCACGACCTGGGATCTCAAGGCGCCCGTATGCATCGCTCAACACACATGCGCCTGGCCTGTGTAGATCAAGAGCGGGAGGCTCGGGGAATGTGTGCGATGATATGCCTGCTCCCTACGACTGCCCGTTGACCCGTTTCCTCCGCGCCTCCACACTAGGATATGCCGACCATGACCATGTGGATGGACGAGCTCCTCATGCGACAGCAGCAGCTACGTGAACAAGCCCTCCGTGAAAATATGACGGCCTCAGGGTTTGCGGCAGGATCCGACACCCGCTTCACGGCTGAAGAGGAAGCACTAGCCGCCCCTCCAAGTTTTGATGAGAGCTTGGACATTCACCCCCAGGGCCCGCTGGCCAATAGTGCCGACCTCTACACGGCGACGGCTGCCGAGATTGCGAGCATGCAATCGGAAGACGATGACGACGCGTCCGAGCAGGATGCCAGCGAACTCTCCGATGAAAACAAGCGTCTCACAAAAAAGGTGCAAGAACAAGCCAACATCATTCGTGAGCTGCAGCAGAAGCTCCGCAAGCAAAACGAGGCCCACCGAGAACTTCATGCTGCCCACCTCACTCTCCAGCAACAGTGCAAAGAATATCAAGCCGACGTAAGCCAAAGCTGCCGACATTGGCTTTCTGACCTTGATTTTCTTTTCTTTTTTTTTCTCTCTCTCTCTCTCTCTGGCCGGGGCGGCGTGATTGAAAGGAAGCTCCTTTGTTTGGCACCCTCACCCCCATCTGTTGGTCCGCTGCAAAATTCCATGCCGATGTGTGCATTGTATATCGCGCGGTACAGAACACACGTCAGCGCGAGGTTGTTTATCTGCTGCAGGAACAGCTTTCCACTCATGACCGCGAGGTAGACTCCTGGCACCTTGCTTCGCCTGCTAAGGCCACGCACGGACAGCATGTATTCATTTGACACCTTGATTCCCCGTGCCTCGGCCGATATCGTTCCTTAGCTGGCAATGCGGGACACGCGCCTGTTGCAGGCAAACGAAGAGTTACGTTTGGAAAAGGAGGCGCGTGAGCGTGAGCGCTCTCTAGGCCTGTCGGCACACCAGCTACAAATGCGTCTGGCCTGGGTTAAGGCTGATTTGTCCCATCACCAAGCCTTGATTGAACTCTACCACCACCGCTTGGCCGGGGCCACGGCCTGTGTGTCCCTTTACCGAGCCATTGCTGATGGAATGGATGCCACCACGAGTGAGCGTGAGGAAACGTGGATGGCGCAATTGGCTGACGCTGACCACGCCCTCCTCTCTTCCAAAGTGCGCGCGGATGGCCTGCAGGAGCAACTCAACGTGCTGCAACTGCAGGTGCGTCAGTGAATACTTATAACGACGCTTTCGGGCTGAGCCCGATCTTGCTGAGATAGCAAGCGTGCAACTAATTGAGATCCCAAGAAGAAGTCAAGAGACTCGAGCTGTCTCCTCAGTGAGCGTGCCTATCAAGAAACACACACACACACACACACACACACACACACACACACACACCTCCCCCATGATTGTGCGCCAGACCTCACACGTCAAAAATGTAGCAGTCGAGACATGGAAAATGTCCTTTTGTTGATTTTCCGTCATCACCTGCGTTTCTGTTGTCATTTCGTGTGTGTGTGTCTCTCTCTCTCTCTCTCTCTCTCTGTCTCTGTCTCTCTCAATTAATTCTCTCTGTCTCTCTCTCTCTGTCTCTCTCTCTCCTCTCTCTCTCTTTTGCTCATTTGACTCTGCTCGTGCGAATATTCACTTCGGCTCAACACGGGGTGCGTTGGAGGGGCTCGATTGGCAGCTGGGAGCTAGATCTGATGGGTTGGCTGATGTGGGGTAGAGTAGAGTGGCTATTTGGACCGGCTAGAATTGTATTGTTGTTCATCCTTGCTCCGAGGGAGATCAGCCCCTCGCCTCGAGTGTGGCCAGTGCGCAGCCGACCCAACTCATCTGGCGCTTCAATTCGTTCTAGAGCCCTGACGCTGGATCTAGCTTTTGTTCATCGCCATCTACGTGTTACGCCGCTACCCCGGTCGACATGGCGCAGACCTTTGATCCAGCGCGTCCGCGCTACGATCAGACGACCTTTCAAGGTCGATTCCGTCACTTTATGGACATTGCCGATCCGCGCTGTCTTGCACCGTCCCTCTTCTTTGGGATGAGCCTAGACGAGAGCGTGTCACTCATGGAACAGTGGAAGACCAACGCTGTCCCAGCCAGTGTCCCTGCCGAGCGCCTCTGGCTTGCCAAGAAGATTCGCGACTCGGCCATCCACCCCGATACTGGCGAGACGATCGTGCAGCCCTTTCGCATGTCCGGTTTTGCTATCTATGGCACCCCAATCGTTGTGGGCATGCTCCTGCCCAATCCCACCATTGCTTCCACCATCTTCTGGCAATCCCTCAACCAGACACACAACGCCTGCGTCAATTATGCAAATCGCAATGCTTCCCAGGCCACGGAAGTCAGCGATCTGGTCACTGGCTACATCGGAGCCGTAGCCTCGAGCGTCTCCATTGCCGTTGGCCTGAACCAGCTCGTCAAGCGAGCCCGGATTTCCGAAGGCCTTCGCACGGTGCTCAGTCGATTCGTTCCTTACCCGGCCGTGGCCAGTGCCAGCACCGCAAACATGCTCCTCATGCGCCGCTCCGAACTCAAAAACGGCATTGCCATCAAGGACGACGAGGGTTCGGTCGTCGGCTTTTCTCAGAAGGCAGCTGAGCGTGCCATCTACCAGACCATGCTCTCTCGCGTCGTGTTGCCCGCACCTCTCCTACTCATTCCACCCATGACAATGATGGCCCTGGGCAAGACTGGGCTCTTCAACCGGCTGCCCCGCGCCCGCATGCCTGTCGAGGCAACCGTTTGCGTATTGGCGTTCGTCTTCGGCCTGCCCTTTGCCATCTCTCTCTTCCCGCAGGAGGGCTCCATCACCGTGCAGGAAGCAGAGCCCCAGTTCCGAGGTCTTCAAAATTCCAAGGGGCAACCCGTAGAAACGTTCTATTTTAACAAGGGCCTGTGAAACCCCCCTTTGTCCTATCAAGGCTATGACAACCCCTAAGGCTGCGGACCCTTCCTTCGTTTCACCCGTGCCCCTTGCTCCTTTTGCAGTCTACAAATTTATATCATAAATTACCTCTCGGCGCGATTCGATCTGTTCTAATATTCATTGCACACCCATCTTTCGGCCCCAGGCTGTGAGGATACACAAAGCACGGGGTGCTAGAGGATGCAAAGATGCCAACCCTCCCACTTTATCGAACCCCACCAGCTGTTACATATTTAGGGATGTGAGGAACAACACCAATAGGGAGTGTATTATGTACAATTCACCGCCTGTGTGCTGGTACACTGACGCCAATAGACCCTACTTGGAACGTTTTGCCTTGTCTGGCCGACGCGCTGGAGCCCGGCTCTGCTTGTGGTGCGCGTCCCGATGCTTCTTCTTGGGTGCGCTGGTTTGGGGTGCCCCACCCCGATTGTCCCCCGATCTTTTGCCAGATCCGGGGTTGTGCCGGTGATTTGGGCGGTCCTTGCGATTTTTTCGTCTGGACCGGTCACTCGAGTCCTTGAAGTTGTCTGGCAACGCCGTGCTGACGATGCTGAGTCGTAGGGGAAGCTTGCATCCTATCACCGGGGGGAAAGCGACACACAAGCTGGCGTGACCTGCACGCGCAGTGCGCGCGGATTGTCTGAGTGAGTTGCCAACTCTGGCGCGCCGCGGGGACATACCTGGCGTTACCATCCATCGAAATGCCGCTCCTTGCATATGAGCAGGTAGTCGACAATACCATAGAGTTACGAAGGGACTCGTCTTGCGCTGCTTGGCATTGAGCGGTCGAAATGCCGGTGGCGTCTCGTAAACATACTGTCGGGGCTGTCGCGGAGTCAAATAAAAAGGAAACGGTGCCGCACGCCCGGTGGTTTGTGTGAGGGCAGCCCAAGGAGCCTTGGTATACACGTAGTTGGGCTGCACCACGCAGAACGGCTTGGGCGTCTTTTGCAGAAACTGGCATAGCAGAGCCACATGGTCCTGGCCCGTTGTGGAGAAGGGGGGGTTGGTTACGAGCACGTCGTAGTCTGGCACGTTGCCAGAGGCGACGTCAGCGTAGAAGTCACGACATTCGTTAATAACTGTCTCAAAGCCGAGGCGCGCAAGGTGTGCCCGCATCGAGCCGGCACAAAAATAAGGGTCATAAATGACGAGCTCCTGACTCGTCTTGCCGAGACTCTTGGCAAGCCATCGCAGCAAAGGTGCAATATGAGCATAAGCTAGGTAGGGTGTCTCGCAATGATCGTTGGCATCCGCCTCCCATGGGAAGCTGCTGCTGGCTGCCTCGGCTTGAGGAAGGATCAAGCGGTCGCCCTCGAGAATGCCAGCAGGTCGGAGGCGCCCTTGCTCGTCCCGCTCGCTATGATAGACGCGGTGCGTGCTCCTGTCGATGAGATAAAGCGTGTCCTCGATGAACCGTCCCTCCAGCTCGGGCTCATCATTAAGATTGGAGACGCCGTCGTCACTGCCGCTATCGCTACTCCCGCTGCCGTCGTCGTCGTCGTCGTCTGACTTAATCCCAGAACTGCTGGGCTTGGCTCGGTCCTCGCCATCCTCCGCTACAGACAGCTCAGGGGGCAAGTCGGGTCGCGATTGTGTGTCGAGCCACGCCTGCCAGCATTCCGCACAGTATATGGCCTTGTCTGTGGGGTCGTGACAGAGAAGCACATCGGCGCGACCACACGCGCACCGCTCCCGGGGCGCCATGACAGTCAAAGTTTTTTAATAAAATCAAATTTCTTCAATTTTTGGGGTATTTTGTGTGATTTTTTTTCATAATTTTGTCGTGCTTCAGTTGTTACTCGTTTGGAATTCGGGTGCCGACGATCCATATTGGCGTCGCGGAGCAGCTGCAGCTGCCCTGGTCGAGGCCGCGGGGTTACCGACAGAGAAAGACAACGCTGTAAACATGTGTTTCACTCTGAACCGGTTTGCCATAAATTAGGTCACTCTAAAAGCCAGTAACATTTTGTCTTGGGACACACATTCAAATGTACTAACAAGATCACACAGGATAGAAAGATCGTCATCAGGAGAAAGGTAAGGCAGCGGTGTTGATGAAAAGGGCAGCACCGCCGAGAGAGCTAGTTCAGTGTGATAGAGGCCACAAGCCAGCAGTACCCTAGTTGTCAGCGACAGCCTCACATCGCCGCCGCCGCCAAGTTACCTCAAACCCTGGACGGCACTCTTCACACTGATTCGGACGTCGCGGATAGCAGCGAGCACAGTCCATGACATTGCACTCGTAAGGCCGGCACTCGCGGCGTCGGTTATGCTGATAGAAACCGCTCTCACAGCGCGCACACTTGAGGTGTGTATGGTCCAAACATTCGGCACAGTGTGACACAGCACATGCATTATCGCGCAGACACGCCCGTCCACGATCGTCTACGCATCGCATCGCCAGACCAGGGCGAGGCCAGATGAGATTGGAAGGGTTGCGAGGATGAAGCTGCGATACCGGTGCTGCGAAGACACGAACGACAATGCGGGCAAGTCCTGTCACGTACATTTTTGAAACCCGGGCGAGCACTGGTCGCACTCCTCGGATGATCGCCAGCGGCAGAGTGCACAGTTGGACACGGTACAAGGAGGCTCATCGAGAGCGCACTTATACCCGTTATTGCGAGGATAAAACCCCGGATTGCAGATCTCACAAACGCGGGATGAAGTAGGACTGCACTGCGAACATTCATCAACGTCGCATGGCCATGCTCTGGTAGGCACAAGAGTGGATGTCGTCTCGACATTCTCAGCAGTCGAGGTCTCGAGCGTCAACTCGGAACTTGACGACTGCGTACTCGAAGTAGAGGTTGCATCAACGGACGTAGAGGTAGAGGTGGATGCAGAGGCGGAGGTAGAGGTAGAGGTGGAGGTGGAGGTGGAGGTGGAGGTGGAGGTGGAGGTGGAGGTAAAAGTAGAAGTAGAAGTAGAAGTAGAAGAAGAGGTAGAAGCAGAAGTAGAGGTGGAGGTAGAGGTGGAGGTCGAAGGAGAGGTAGAAGTAGAGATGGATGTGGAGGTAGAAGTAGAATAAGAAGTAGAAGCAGAAGTAGAAGTAGAGGTAGAGGTAGAAGTAGAAGTAGAAGTAGAGGTGAAGGTAGAAGTAGATGTAGAGGTAGAGGTAGATGTAGAGGTAGAGGTAGAGGTAGAGGTAGAGGTAGAGGTAGAAGTAGAAGTAGAAGTAGAGGTAGATGTAGATGTAGAGGTAGAGGTAGAGGTAGAGCTCACGCTCGAACTGGAAGAAGAAGTGGACGTGGAAGTCGAGGTAGAATCAGAAGTAGAGGTGAGCGAGACAGAAGTAGTGGTAGGGGTGGGAAGTGATGCAGAAACAGAGGTAGAGACGTCCACAAGGGCCACGCAGCTTGCTTCGCTAGTCAGTACATGGGCTGTGTCGCAAACCAGACACTCGGCACCGTCTGCCGGGTCGCAAATATGGCAGCCATCCACGCGGCATGCTGGGCGGCAAAGTACATCGCCATCCAAACACACAACCTCAGTACAGTCAAACGTCTGCCCGTCGATCGGGCGACTCATGGATCTTCCCAGAGCAAGACCCGCGTTGATCAGCAGCAGACCACCAGGTACAGAACAGGCACTGGCATCAAGTGGAAGGGGCTGATACGGGCGGGTTGAGTTTTCAAAGGATCCGTCGTCATCCAAACGCAGAGTCCGGCTGCGAATCGCGTAGTTATTGTTGTTTTGCAAATAGACTGTGGCACGCGCTTGCTGAGCATGATAAACCGTATCGCCTACCATGTCACCCAAAAGCGAATATCCATCATGTTGCGTGCCCTTGGTCAGCGAGGGCCAGGCTCCGCCCACGGCATCAAGCAACGTTGGAACCTAACGCGGTGCACATGCATGTTTTGAGCAAACTGATGCCCGTCGGTCCCTCATACCCTGGCCAAGCATCTACGCGCGAGCCTACCACGTCAGCAAAGTCGCCCAGCTCAGCTGAAACGGTGTTGGCAGGAATGTGGCGTGGCCAGCTGACTAGCAGCGGAACACGCACACCTCCATCATTGAGCTTAAATTTCGCACCCTCGGCAACGACGAGATCTGGTCCAAAAACCGTGGCTCGACCATTCTCCGCTCCGCTATAAATACAGAGCATACGCATCAACCAAATTCCAAAAGTACCGTCAGCGAAGCTGGGGAAGCTATCAAAAACATCAAGGCAGATTTTGACAAGACAACGCACTTGTCGGTCGTGAACATGAGCAAGGTGTCATCAAATATGTCTTCAGTATCGAGGGTATCCATGATCTGCGTTTCACAGGTCAATGAACCATTCCGGGGCGGGGTGGGAAGTTTGAACAATGAGTACACGATGACCATCACGGGAAAGGGCTGAGCGAGGTGAGCTCAGAGTTAGCGCTCGTTATCATAACAAAACTGTTGCTGTCTGCGGGTTAACCTACCCGACCCACGATGGTATCGAGATGCTCCACCATGCGTTCAAAGCCCTCTTGTTGCGAGTCATAGGAGACGCCGGGCGGTGGGCGGATGCGTGCATGTGGGAGAAGATTGCCATAGTAAATGAAGAATTTGCGATTTTGTGCAGCCATGGCGCGGATGAAGTTGCTGGCAACGGTTTCCATCACGTCAGGGGAGTAAAGGTCGGTCAGGTCTACTTGCAAAGGAGTACCGTTGCTTGACAAATCTGGAAACATCCAGTCGTAGGTGGAATACGATTGGCGAGTTAGGTTGTGCACATTGGTTTCGAAAATGCCGTTGTAGTAGCGCTCGCCGTCGTTGTTCCAGGCAAAGTAGTAGTCAAAGCCACAGCGGGTGACGATGCGCTCATAGGTGCCAACGGGGTTCATCTGCCACTTGCCCAGCATGAGCGTGGTGTAGCCAGCGTCGTGCATGGCTTGGGCGACAACGCAGTCGGAGGGCTTGAGGTCACGATTGGCGCCGTTTTTCTTCATGTCGGTTCGAAAGGGGTAGCGACCGCTGATGATGGTGGCTCGGCTCGGCGTACATGAAGGATTGCTGTAAAAGTTGAGATAGCGGCGGCCTCGTGAGGCCAGCTCTGTGGTTCGTGGGGTGTGCATGCCCACGGCCCCATACGCGTCAAAGTACTCAAAACCCACGTCGTCTGCGAGGTTATCATGCAAAACCATGCCAGCAAGCGAGGCAAAACCGAAGCAAAAACCAGGTGAGGGTGACAAGTCTTCACTGCACGAGGGGCTGAGCCATCAGGATTGGCAGAAGGTCGCACCGCCAAGCATGAAGATGACGCCGGCTGGCGAGGTGAGATTGGTGACAGCGACACCCTGGAGCAGATGTGCGCAGGTCGCGAGAAGCAAACCCAGCATCAACCTGTGCACGTGTCCCATGATGCCGGTGCTGTGATTGCCAATTCAAGGCACCCAAAGCAACGTCGCCTGGAAGGCAGGACGCAGCAGGTGTTGATGCTGGCAGTTGAAAGAAGAAAAAGACTTGCAGGGTTCACGTTCACAAGTCAATCCTCGAAACCCAGAGCATAATAATAATAATAATATGACGAAGGCGGGCTGCTTGATGGTCGCAAGTGCCCGATTCTTCAAGTGCTGATTGTTGACGGAGAGGCAGAAGCAAAACGGAGAACAGGCCGAAGGGGAGGGAGCGGGGGATTGTTCCACACAGGCGACATGCGTGCATGCACACATCAACCATGAGAGTCGAACGAAGTGAAGATATCACACACATTTTGTCAGACGATTGTGTTCATTCTTGACAACATCAAATTTTTATTTTTTTTTATTTTTTATCTCTCTGTGCTCGAAAGATGGCTGACGAGCTAGGGATGTTGGCGGGTCGAGCTCGGGCGCCCTTGCCCGGGGCGACCAAGGGTCCGCCCGCGACGCGGGTACCCATGCGTGCGACTAAGCAGAGTGGTATGTTTAGATTGGGTCAGCGGATCTGTTGGGCGTCAGCATCTGCATGCAGAGCGTAGTGTGTCTACACTTGTTTGCTTTGAACGCACCCTTCATGTCGCTCGGCTTGTTTGTTGGCTTTGGTCATCACAGAGGAGGAGATGCTGGATGCAATCTTGGGCTCGAAGGGCCGTCAAAAGGAGATTCAGAAGCTGCGAGGCTTTAGCACGGCCGTACCTGCAGCGACTAGCTCGCGCCCGGCTACCCAGGCTGCGACAGGTCGCGGACCCCCACCTTCTGACAATGAGATGATTGCCATGCTCTCCGGGCGCCTGCGCAAGGCCGAGAAGCAGCTCAGTCTAGCCACAGACGCCATCAATGAGAAGGCACGTGTAGCACATCATCATCTTGCTTCTCTTCCCGCGCCTCAAGCGAACCATCATCACAAAAGACGTTGGTCAGGGACGGTCAGCGGCTGACATGGTGGTGGCGTAGGATGTGTTGATTCGGCGGCTGACCAAGCAAGTCAAGCTCCTCGAGGGCGTGCAGCAGAACCGGGAATCAGACCTCTCAGCCTTGTCCACGCTTCAAGATGAATATCGCAAGCTCCAAAATCAAGTCCATAGTATGGAGGTATGTCATCAGGAACCCCAGGTGCACTGCAAAGCCTCAAGCGCTCATTACACCCCAATCATTTTCAAGACACCCTGGGCTTGGGATATGGTCATGAGCTTTCATCTCGGCTGCTTTTGCGTTTGCACTCTGGTCGAATTCGCTGCCCAAGAGCTTCCTTGCCGATTACGGCATGGTCTGGGTCGGCGATGAGGAGGATGATGATAAAATGACAAGCGAATCTGCAGTTGCGGACGCACAACCCACGTCTGCCATCACATCAGCGGCTCTAGTCGAAGCCGCCACGGCATCAGTCTCGCAGCACAGTATGTACCTCATCTTGATACCTGTGACACATAAGTTCTCTGTATCAAGGTGTTTCGACACCTTCAAGGCATCGGTCTCACGCGAGGCTGTGCGTGCTTGGCCCCAGACGCAGCCACGGCCACGGATCCCGAGCCGGCAAGCAAAGGGGCCGATGGTGACGACCATGCGCGTGGTTCGACACCGCCTTTTCATGTGGATTATGACAAGGTTTGGCCCTCACCTCGGGTGCTTGTTCTGTCGCTTGGAATGCCTGCGGCGACGTGCTAGCGCACCCGATGTGATTCATCTGGACTGTGCGGTCAATGCCCCGGGAGTAGATTATCGCCAACGTGCACGAACTCAACGTGCTTGCCGGTGAAGGCGTGGCACGGGTTGTAGCAGCGCCTGGTGGAGGACGCCTTGAGGTCAGCAAGGGGCGCTGGGATTGCAGGCGCTTGACACACCCTCGTGCAAGCCAACATCACAACTCATCTCGGGTTTATATGTGGCGCTTGGGGACGTGACAGGTGCCCGAGGCGGTGCCGATGCATCTTTATCGCAATGGCATTCTTCTCTTCAACGGCCCTTTTCGACCCTTTAGTGACGCCACGACACAGGTGTGCTTCGGGGGAAAGATGGCCAATGTAGCCAACCGCACTCAATCTGTATGTGCCCGTTTGTGAGGCGCGTGTTCACTGCCCTTGTCATCTTAGATGTGCGTGCGCGACTTGATGGATGGCTATTTCCCGTGGGAGCTGCGGCAACGCTTTCCCGATGGCATTCCATTTGCCATCCATGATCATCGGTGCGGTGAAGCGTGCCAGTCTTGTCACACCTCGGCAGGGCGTCTGTCGTCTTTTCAATGACTCACTCTGCTTATATCATACGCCGTCTCGTGCAATTGCTTGGGGGTTGCTTTGGGAAGCGGGCAAGATTATCAGCGCACGACCATCAAGGTGAGGTGCTTGGCATCGGGCGCGCACGGTTTCTGTGCTGCTTCTGATCAGTCTGATGTACATGGGTGGTGCAGGCGTTTCCTGGATCGGGCTATGCACTTGGTGGGCAGGCCACCACGTCAGTGCTGCTGCAAGAGGACGGACCCGCTTCCACAACAGGACCCGAGGCGGCACAAATTGCGACGCCCGGGCTTCAGGCCGTGAGCGGTACGTTGGCCAATGTCAAGGTGTTAAGTGGTCCCATGTCGCCAAACCTTGTCAACTCGTGCTTTTGTCACCATCCTCACTCCAAGTAGGTCCATCCAAGACGCAAGCATTCTTGAATCACTTGCCGCCCACCGTGATTCGCAACGGATGTATCATGGACATTCGGCAAGGCCTTGCCGGTCACTTGACTGTTCAGACGGTGAGTGGCATCAACTTTGCACGGGACCAAGTGGCAGGCCTGAGAGCTGCTCTTTGTGCAAGCACTTCAACACGTACTCGTTGGCGTGGGAATCTGTGTGTTCTGACTCACCTGGGGTGTTCGGTGCTTCAAACCAATCAGCGTGAGCAGCATCGTGTGCAGCTGGTGGCTACGCCTGTGACCCAGCACCTCGCAGCACAGGCGGCCGTACCTACGGCGTCACCACAACGGCCTACCACTCCGCGCGACATTGCAACCCTTCAGGTGTGTATGTGTGTGTGTATGTGTGTGTGTATGTGTGTGTGTGTGTGTGTGTGTGTGTCACACCTTGATCTTCCTGATCTTTGTGTTTCATGGGGGCCCTTGTAGGTCAAGTCTGAGGACGGCAAGGTTACTCTTATTGTCAAGTTGCGCTTCAACGACTCAGTGGCTGACGTGCGCCGCTGCATTGATCAACACCGGTCCGTGCGCTTGCTGCTGGGGCTTTCTTTGGGGCGGGCTGGTGGCAATGCTCAAATGCCCAGTGTGTCTATGCTATTTCTGTATGCAGAGGTACCAGTGTGGATGCCACGTATCGTATCTACACCACGTATCCACGCAAGGTCGGTTGACAGCTTCAGTGGCGCCAGAGGGAAGAGTCAAAACCAGTCTCACAGTGTGTCTTTGTTTGGCGTGCTTCTCCAGCTGTTGGATGATTCAAGTGCGACGTTGCTGGATTTGGATCTGGTGCCCAATGCCACCCTGCGGCTTGTCGCCAATAAGTCTAAGAAAGTATAGACATGCTCGTGCCTGGGTCTGCTTCGGAGGATGACTGTGCATTGTAGTGCATGGCTCCGTGATTGATTTAAGACTTGGTGTTTCATTATTTGACTTTGACCGAACGGAGGCTACCATTGCCCGACCTGGCTGTTTGCATGTGCGTCACTGTGAGCCAAAAGGAAAATGAATACAGATGGAATATCGGTGTTCTTCTCGAGTATCGATTCGCGGAGCATGGTGACAGGACGCCATGGCGAGGCTCTCTAAATGCCCGTTGAAGTGCGTATGTGCCTGTGGGGTACACCCAGCAAAAAAATACTGTGAGGGGAGAGCGGTGTTCGAGCCGTGACAATCCAACGCACACTGTATCAAGCGCAATCGGTAATAATAGACTCTTTTCATCTTGCACGGGCATCTGAACCCCCGTGCCCATGGTATATGGGTGGGGGAAAGCGTTTATGCCGTGCGAACAATACCCGGACGCCGAAAAGACAAACAAACACAACGCTATTCGCCGAGTATGGGAACAAGACTCACGTTCAAGAGACCGTTTCTGTCAAAGTGGGTGTTGTCAAGTGTGGAACGAAACCTACAGGCGGGCAAGCAATGGCCTGATGAGATTGTGACAGGGGGGAGAACCAAGAGACAGGAAGCGGTCATCACATCCCGTCTCAAGACCCAAAGGGACTGCTTCCCCCAACCATCCTGTGCTTGATGTCGCGACACTGTGACTTGAGACACACCATGGTTGCGAGACGCAAGCGCCTCACGGTGTGCCTCAGCAGACGTGCCGCCAACAAGACTTTCCAACCGCCATGCATTCATTCAGCCATCACTCACCACGTGTATCGCCAGAAGAGAAAGAGCTTGGAAAATGCACGCACACGCGGTGAACGAGAGAGAGAAGAGAGAGAGGGATGAGCTTCGAGAAACAGTGAGGAGAAGACTGGCCGAGACTGAAGGGGACTGGGAAGAGCGGGCGGAGACCAAGAGATTGAGAGACTGGACGCCGATGTAAGACAATTTGGTCACACACAGCCAACCGAGCTCGTTTCGACGCTTGTTGCAGCATGACATCGGGTTTGAGGAGTTTTTTATGGTCGGCCCGTGTTAGTTGGTGCAGATATAATTGAGGTTGTCGACGTCGCTGGTCTTTTTTTGCGCGCGACCAGCGCCAACAGCTCAATTCAAACTCGGCATTGCGTTTGGCCAAGAGAGCAGGAGCTGGGTGCACACAAGCTTTGTGCCAGTGCCACATCTGACACTGGGCGTACCTGGTATGTACTTGATTGGTGGTGTCTTAGCTTCCACGCTGGCCGCCAGGCTTGTCTAGTACGCTGTGTGGTTTGAAAGCCACGCATGTGACGCGGCCGGTCGACGCCGCTGCTCTGTGCCAGCTCTCGGCGGTGGCTTGCTGTATCACGCATTCAGACCAGTGTACCTTTTTGTGTCATCTGCAGGTGTGGCAACGGGGTGGCATTCTCTGCCGTCATGTTTGGCTCACTCTTTGGCGCAGACACGCGCTCGGCGGAGCCCGTCGAAGGCCAGGCCTCTGAGCCAGGCCCGGGAGAGGCAACCGCTGCTGGCTCGCAGGCGAGCGGCTTTGGTGGTAAGGTCCCCGACGTGTTTTCCATGATACTTTGCAACGCAAAGTGATGGCACTCCCTTTCACCTCATATAATCCTGCCCCTGTCCAGGGTTTTTTAAAAACATCAACAAGTTTGGCAAAGCCCTGCAGGAGAGCGCAGCAGGCTTGGTAGGTTCATCTTTCCATCTTTCCCCTCTCCGGCCCCATCTTGCCTCGGTTGGCAGAAGCCTCGCATCTCCGCATTGCTCACTGGCCCTTTCTATCCGCTTAGGCGGACAAAGCCTTTTCAGACTTCAACAAGGAACAGGAGACTTTTGTGCGGAGCAAACACACTTCTGGCGTTGGTAGGAGTCTTTTTGGGCTCAACTTTTCGCCAACGTCGTTCTGCCTCCTCGACAAGCATTTTTGCTATAGGATGTGATGGATATTTGTCTCACTTTTGATAGAGCCTGGTATCCCACCATGGGTGGGTGCATCCAATGAGGAGGAGCTGAAGCAACACATTTTGAACCTCTCCGCCGTACGTTCACTTGGCCGTGAAAACCTGTAATTCTTTGCCAGTCCTACGGCGTTCTGCGCTCGTCAGCGCTGATTTGAATGACGGCTGGAATTCACCTAGGATGAACGCAACGTGCTGCGCGATCCGCCTCCTGGCGCACAAGACTTTGACTTTGTCTTTGAGCGAGCCTTTCCCAAGGCCCTGGCCATTCTGGAGCACGATGCTCGCCTGCAAGCCATGCGCTTTGAGCTTGTTCCCAAAAAGTACGGCTCCGATTTCTCTGCAACTGGGCATTCTAGGCGCACCACCAGCAGATACACCGTCAGCTCACGGTTCGGGGGACGCCACACTCTGTCCCATGGCTCGGGGTGGCTCGTCGTCTGCAGGCTTTCAGAACAACACTTTTGGCGCAACTACTTTTACCGCGTGTCGCTGATCAAGCAATCGTATGGGCTAGCGGAGCCGACGGCCGCCGATTCGACGTCCGCGTCATCTCCCTCTGCGCCAGTGGCCGACCACTCCTCTACGACCACGGCTGCAGCGGGAGCTGCGGCCACGTCTTCCGATCTCATTGACTTGGGCGTACCGGACGCGGATTACGAGGAGCGTTATGAGCCAGAGTTTGACGAAGATGAGCAAGATGCGGCGCAATCGGATCAGGATGCAGACGATGGTGCGCGCAACGAATCAAGGCTTTGGTTTTGGTTGGAACCACAACGCAGGCTTTGTTTGGTCTTCTAGCTTTATCCTCACCTTTGCGTGTGCTGTCCCTTTCTTCTCTTGTTAGTGGCCTTGGAGGAGCTGGACGGCCCCAGCAATACCAGCATTCAGGACAAGGCGGCTCCAGAGAGCTCGTCCGATTCAGAGCTGGTGGTGGTTGATTCCAACGATGCACAAGCTTCCGAAGATGAGGCCGATGCCACAAATGACCTCGGCGAGAGTGATGACTGGGAAGCTGATCTTCAGGCCGAGCTCCAGGAGCTTGAGGTGGGTCAACCGCATCCGGCGCTCCAGAATAGGTTGTTTGGACAGCGGCTGATGCTGGGGCCGCCCCGGTTTTTTTCATAGAATGAGGAAGGAGACGACGGAGACGACATTCCCGATGATCTAGAGGCCGAGCTTGAGTCCATGCTGAATGACAACTAGAAGAATCCGCCGAGAGGCCTGCTTTGCTAATCCGGTGCCGGAACGTGATGCACAAGCCTGCACTTTCACCACAGTCGGCTTCGCTCTTTTTGTGTTTTTGTTTTGTTTTGTTTCTTTGGCATGTGTCTGCGTGTACGTGCTCATACGTCTGCTTGATCATTGCAAGATTGAGGGCCTGCAAGTGACCAGGCCAAGCCTGCTCATGCTGCACCTCAGCTGCACCCTGATCGGGTTAAGCTCCGGTGTACAAACCCCACTAAAGTTGTCGTTGCCCATGTCCGCTCTGAGTAAGTCACATCTCCCCTTCTGGAATCAAAAGCCATCAAAGCCAACATGTTTTGTATAGCTTTCAGCTACATTTTTCCCTCCATCTCCATACAACCGCGGGTGATCCAGACAAAGGACAAGAGAATGGAAAGGCAAGGCCATAGGGTTGTATTTTCACTTACCAAGGTTTGTTGATATCTCTTTGTGTGGAGTGTGTGTGTGTGTGTGTGTGGGTGTGTGAGGCTTTATGGTGTTGGATGTTGGTGTTTGGGTGTGGTGGGTGGGCGGGATCAAACAATGGGCGAAATGGCAGCGCTGAATGAGCCCTGTGATTGGCACTGATTGCATTAAGAGTGCAGCAGGCCAATGCACAAGGGGGTGGTCGGATGGGCTTTATTGGTCAGGTTGTTCTATTGAGCTTCCGAACGGAAGTGGCAATGCTGATTGATCTGCTTGTTGACGCTCTCTCTCTCTCTCACACACACACACACACTCTGGCTTGTGTGCATCGTCCGCCTCGCGTTTGACGTGCCATCGCCTTCTGTTTGCGCTCGCGCGTTTGCTCACTCTACGATCACTTGCTGCCTGGCGCTGCTACTTGATTTCCAGTTGACGCTTCGTGCCTTGGTGGCTGCTCTTCCTTCTTCGTTTCTTTTCACATCTCTCACCCTCAAGATGAGCCGCAAGCTTGTAGATGTCGACGAGTCTGGCGTCGATCGCAGGTCAGTGACTGAGCCTGAGCCTGAGCCTGACCTTGACGTTGACCCCGCGCAGCCCTGCTGGCCACCAATTGTCTTGCCCCAGCCAACTTGTGTGGGCCATGTGTCCATTTTTCCGCTGCTCTCCAGTTTCCATCCTTCTCACGGAGACTGCCCTGTGCCCTTTTTAGCTACTATCACGGTACCATCTCGCGCGAGGAGGCCGTGCGCCGCCTGCAGGAGGTCAACACCGACGGTGCCTTTTTGCTCCGCCTCAGCGCCACCCAGAAGGATGCCTACACCATCTCCCTGCAGTACGTCATCGTGCCCCTAGTGGCTTGCGGCTTGTGGCTTGTGGCTCGAGGCTTGTGGCTCGAGCTCCTTTCATCTTTTCGCATCATCCATCTATGACGCATTTGACCGACCAGCTGATCCATTGTCACTCCACGCTCGATTGTTGTGTTTGGCAGGTCCAACGGCGAGATCAAGCACATCCGCGTGACCAACACGTCCAACGGCGGCTATGCCCTGGGCAAGAGCAAGGAGGAGTTTGAGAGCATTTGGGATCTGATCGAGGCCCAGCTAGACAAGTCACTCAAGTCCACCAAGGGCGATCAAGCTGTCCAACTTGTGTACGTTCAGCGACTCACCTCGCGCCACTCGTCCTCGAGTATCACACGCCTCTTTTTCAAACATCAGACTCGCTGACAAGAATCAGGGATTGTGTCGTGACATTCTTTCGAGTTGCATGATTCGGCAACTGCTGCTCCTCCTTTTGTCATGCGCTCATGTTCCCTTGCTGCTCGCGCCGCCGTTTCTAGTCATCCCCTCAAGAGCCACGAAGAAGTGGTGGCTTTGGATTTGATCAACGAGGCTCGCGAAGCTGGCATGGACCCCTCCAAGCTTGGTGACGGCGTTATGGACTTCATGACTGGTGGTCTCTCCGCCGAAGAGATTGTGGCTCGCCGTAAGGCAGCCCTCGCTAAGGATGGTATCGCTGGTCTCGGTCTGAAGGAATAATTCCAGAGTCGCAGTCAATCAATAGAACTACGCTCTCCGACAGCGCGCACACAAGTGTGGGCACGGTTGCCTTTACGTCCTTTTTTTTCTTTTACTTTTTTTTTTTTTTTTCCGGTGCACTCGGGCGTGTACTTCGCCACCTTGTTGTTGTATGCATACTCCCTTTATCGATCTGTCTTCTTAGTGCCGTTTTCTACCCCGATTTTTTTTTTTTTTTTTTTTTTTGTGTGCCCGTCAGCTCGAATTGACTTAGGTCTCATCAGTCAACAGTGGCACGAGGCAGAGGCAATCCAGCCGTCCAATCATTTGTGACTCTGTTTGTGTTCGACCAGCAAGGTGGTAGGTCTCATTGCAAACATTCAATTCACAACAAATGACGAGCGAATAAAATAAGAAAAGGACAACAGTACAAAAGTCAAGATGCAAAGCGTGGATCAATTGGTCAAGAGTGCCCTCAGGGCAACGTTCTAAACGGGAACTTGTACGACTCGAAGTTGGCCTCTCGCGCCTAGGCATGGGTCGTTGGTGCCGCGGCAGCCGAGGTAGGGCGGGCTGTTGGTGGTGGTTGTGGTAAGCGCGCACGGCGCGAGCTACATTCACGGCAAGCCAAAACACAAGAGAGTCAGAAGAAGATACAGCAAAGAACGAAAGACGGTGCGTGTCTGGAGGTGGCTGCGTCAAGAAATAGGCCTAGCTGTGGGGGTATGCTTGCAGGAGCAGCGTCTGCACCGACATTACCAACGACGCACCTGCCAGTCGGTGGTGGGGCGGGCAGGACTTTGCGGGTGTTGAGCTCGTGTGTTGGTGAATGCACGGCTCGCAGCCTTCGTGATCGGACCGCCTGCAGGCAGGGGTCACCAGCAGACAGGGCAGACGTGCGTCAGTGTGGTATTCGATGAGCAGGAGCAAGGATCATGCCGGCAAGTCAGCTAAGCAAGGCGTACAGTGCTGGCTGTGGCCGGCCGCAGGGGTCCAGCACCAGGTGGTGCCGGAAGTGGACCAGCGCCATTGGGCCGGGCCGGCCGCGCAGTGTGGGACATTTGACGCCGCTCTGCAGGCGGAGCTGGTAGACCACGTTCCCGATGGGGAGAGCCGGCTGCGGCCGTGGCAGGCCGCATGCGAGCGGCAACGGCCTCTGCTGTCGAGCCTTCATTCTTAGACTCACGCATGGCAGCGTCTTGGCGCCGCTGCTGCACCGTGGCGCGATCGGTGGCACTCAAGTCACCAGCTTCAAAGCGATGTTGCCACCCGCGCAACTCATCAAGTATCTCTTCCCGGCTCTTGTTGTTGAAGGGGTCATCGTTGGGGGCTGGAACTTCATCCCTGAGACCCACGCTGTCAAGCAGTTCGTCCAGGTCTCGCTCGTTGCTGCCTTGCCCCTGTCAAGTAATGCGCGCACCCCGCAGCCCGGAGTTAACAGACAGAAGGGAGAAGCACTGAAGAAAAACCAAACAACGAACAGCGTCGGCGCATGTCGGATGCAGCTGCAGAGCGCCAGGTCAGGCTTCAAGCTAAGACTGGACCGACCTGGCCCGCTGCACGCCTTGCAAGGAGCGCCTTGAGGGGGTTGCCTTGAAAGGTGACGTCAGAACCATGCGTCAGTCGTGAGCTGCCATCATCCTCAAACTGGTCGCCGTCTTCTAATGGTGTGGTTCTGCACGAGGATCAGATCAACGTAACGCATGCCGAGAAGGAGGGAGAGCAGAAGAGATTGCGAAGCAGAGATGACGCGTTAAGAGGAGGGTTTATCAAGCAAGGGTTGGCACTGTCACGACACGGCATCATGGACGGGGAAACAGTGCTCGCATACCTCGCGCCTCGTAGAAAGGACGTGCCAGGCCGTGCTGGGTCCATGAAAGTATCCCGAGCATATTTGGACACAGGGATGAGCTCAGGTAGGCGGAGAACAACACGTTGGGCGGAGTTGATACCTGCAGTGCCGGGTCGGGCCGCAGTGCCGGGGCGGGCCGTGCCAGGGCGAGCCGTGCCAGGACGTTCAACCTGCTCGATGGCTTGTTGGCGCAATCGCTGCCATATGATACACCGGCCCACAAAGAGCCCCGACCAGGACAGAAGCGATGGCCAAAGGCAGCCCGTGGAGGTGAGGTCAAAAAGAAAAGGACATAGCTGTTCTGGCAAACAGTGCATGCAAGACCGAAATGGTAGTGAAACGCACGTGATTCACAAGGTTTACATCGCTAGAGTGAGCTGCGGGGGCGCTCACGCCCGCCGGTAACCCGTCCAGCGTCTGAAGCCTGCAGGAGAAAGAGGGCGCATTGCATGGATCAGTGCAAGGCGGAGCAAAGTTGAGCATATTTTCCAGACGTGGTAAAGCGCGGTTTCAAAGCTCTTACTTGGGCAAGGCTTGGAAAATTTGAGAGCGATAAGCCGTGTCGGACTGCCGTGGAAAAGGAGCAAGGGCAAGACATTTTGGTGTCAAGAGCTGCCCCATATGCGGGTGGGTGTCCAGTCGCTGAGTTGGTGCTGCAGTGGACGGGTGCACATACCTCGGCGGCGGCCGCGATGGGATTTCCTTCCAAGACAAGAGTATGTAGTTTGGGGCACAAGGCCAGGTATTCGACCTGCGACAGCTCGACCACCGCATTCCTGCACACCATCATAGACACTTGAGGGTCCAGCCTTGCACTTGTGTGACTGACCGACCACGTATCAGCATCTCCCAAGACTTACCCTTCGAGATCTACGACTTGCAAGTCTTCGAGCATGGTCAGAGGGCTACATTCTTGGATGGCGTTAAAGGCCACGTAGAGCTCCTACAGAAAAGAGCACAGAACAATCCATGATGGGTTGGGGACAGCGATTGGTCGGTGCGGGGCAGGAGGTGTTGGCCAAACCTGAAGTCGTTCGAGGGCTGAGATGCCATCTAGGTCAACCAAGCCACATCGGGTTAACCAGATGACGGTCAAATTTTGCCAGGATGTACCCAGGTCGCTGGTGTCATCGAATGGACATGGGACGTGAGCACAGAGACCCGCTGATGAGTCGATGCAACACGGGGTGCAGTTGTGTCAAGCAAAGAGCACACGAGGAGGGGCTGAGACCGACCGGATCGAGGCGATGCGGCTATCCGCAAGCTTGAGCTGCTGTAGGCTCGGCAAGTGGCGACCAAAGTTGCCCAGGCTGTGGTCCACGGCATCAACCTGGTAATCAATCAACATGAGACACCATGTTTAATGTTTGAGAGGGGCGGGTTGGACCCGAGGTACCCTCGTGCGGGGATCCACGGTAGCTTTGCAACAGTACCGAGAGTTCGAGGTATTTAACAGTGGAAAGATCCGAGTTGTTGGCGGCTTCACGCTGCCAAGGCGTGCAGCAAGGGGCGGGTTGTGTGCCACACCAAACGCATACGGGCAACATAGGATGAGAGGGTTAATCGGAGAGACTCCCACTGACACACCACGGGGCGCAGGGCGGCGGATGGGGCGGCGAGCACTAGCACAGGAGGGTGAAAGAACGAGTTTTTCGGACCAAGTGTTGTGGGGCTAGGTATTCGCCGAGCAGCTCGAGGTCTCCCGAGGCCTGCCGCGCCAAGGGGCCCGGTTCGCTGGTCTCATCGGCTTCGCCAGCACTGCGCGGGGCGGCGCGAATGGGTCTCGAGTAGCGAGCGCTGGAGATGCGCAAACCAGCGCTGCTCTTGGGCCGGTCTGCCATGGCACCGACCTATGAACTGGGTGTGTACACAATCAATGGGCATTTGATCGATGAGGGCGGGTCCGGGGGCTCAATGCCAGGCCTTTTCACCGTTGTCATCGTCGTGATGCTCAGTTTTCATGGCGTTGCCAGAGAGGAACATTCTCGCTCCATGACGTACCAAAAGCTGCTAAATTTGAATCAACTACTTCTCTTCTCAGAAATTGAACGTCGTGGCGGCCAATCACAAGGGTAGACGGCGCCTGGAAGGCAGCCAGGTCCAGACGAGCTTGTCGTCGTCCAGGAGAAAAAATTAAGAAAAAAAAAAAAGTCGCCGTCACCAAAAAATGAGAAAAAAAAAAGCTGAGAGAAAATTTCAGATTTGACCAGGCTCGACAACTTTAAGAAGGAATGATTCTCAACACGATGACCAACCGTGTTGTAGTCTCTTTCTTTTGACTGCACTGCACAAAGCCGTCCCAAACTATGTGCTGTGGAAATGGCGGTCGACGAGGATCCGATGGGGCGGGCGGGATGAAGGGTTGAAACGGACTGTCAAGGCACAAGGCACAGGGTGGCTGTGCCCCCTCGCGGGATGGTGAATCCGAAATACATTCAAACACATTCAACACATTCACACATTCAAATACATTGAAGGTTATTGATTGAGATCGATTGACTCTCTACTGGTGCGTATGGACTGACTGTATGGTCCTTGTGGACTTTTGGTGTCGTGGTAAACTAGCAGCCCTGGGCATGGAAGGACCGCACTGCTCAACGCCGTGCCATCCCTCCTCGCCCGAGTCTGAACCGAGCCTGCGTGCTGTTGTATTGTCGCCGCCATTCACCCTCTGCCATAAGAAGAAGAACAATTCCCAAATATTCCACAGTCAAAAGGACACAAGAGAGAGAGAGAGAGAGAGAGAGAGAGAGAGAGAGAGAGAGAGAGAGAGAGAGAGAGAGAGAGAGAGAGAGAGAGAGAGAGAGAGAGAGAGAGAGAGAGAGAGAGAGAGAGAGAGAGAGAGAGGGAGGTCAGAGAAAGAGAGAAAAAGAGAGAGAAAGCAAAGAGAGCGAAAGCAAAGAGAAGAGAGAGAACCATCAAAAAGGTACAGAGAGAGAAAGAGAGAGAGAGAGAGAGAGAGAGAGAGAGAAGGAACAGAGGCAAGCAACAAGTCAACAAGTCAACAGCAACATCGCAAAACACCACCAGCACCAGCACCAGCACCAGCACCAGCACCAGCACCAGCACCAGCACCAGCACCAGCACCAGCACCAGCAGCAGTAGTAGTAGTAGTCGAAGTTGGACTAGGAGTAGTAGAAGCACTGCTTTTTGACGAGGACGCCCAGTGACGACCACGACGAGGCGGGGCAGCGGATGGGGTGTGCAGGCTTGTGGTATGTTGGATGGCATATCCGTGCGGCCGCTGGCCGGGAATGGTTGCTTCGGGTGCATTTGGGGCTTGGGCCAGGCTGTTGTCCAGCACCTGTCAAGCTGTCACACGCGCGCATCGGGCAGCCCGCTCACAAACGGCCATTTCCACTTGTGCTACATGGCCTTGTCCCCTCTCCGTGCTTAGGCTAGGAACGCTTCAGGGTCGTGGCCGCGCCAGCCGGTGATTTCCAAGAGGACCGCTCGTACCTTCCCCCCAAGCTCGCGGCAGTTCCTACCACTGTCAAACCGCGACGCTTCTCCTTCGCGTCCTACGCTCTCGTCGCCTCTGGGAATTGCAGTCACACGGCACGCTTGATCAACCGATGCGCAGCAGTGGCAGCTCCTTTTTAAAGCACTGACCGAGCCCCTTGCCTTGTGATAAGATTGAGAACAATGTCTGCGATTAGTACAATTAGACAAGTTGCCGCCTAGACGCCACCATGTTGGCGCCTCTGCTGCAGCAGCAGCTCTCCCAGGTCGGCTGGAGCCCTCGGTAAGAGCTGTCCCCACTGCCGCTTCCCCAGAGAGAGAGAGAGAGAGACACAGAGAGGAGAAAGAGGAGAAAGAGGAATAATCTAGGAAAGAAGCAATACTTCGCCGTGGTCTCTTCACACGACAAGTGCTGATTTGGTCCTTGTTTTTTGCCTTTGATAGTGTTCAGCAACACATTGCCAGCCAGTTTGATGGTGCAGCCAGCGTTGGCCGCCTGGACTTTCAGGCCTTTACAGGCCTCATCGCGCAATATGCACCTACCGTCGACTCAGCTCGCTTGTCAGTCATCCCTTGCTGCTGCGCCGAGCGTGCGCTCTCCCAAGACAAAATCGCTTGACACTCGATATCCTCTTGGTTCGCTTTCTCGACTTCTTCCAGCTCACCCGACTCAATCTTGTGCGCCATACCTTTGTCCCACCAATCCCAACATTCCTTCCCAATAGCCCCGAAATTTTCCGCGCCATGGCCAGCAAACACGCCCATCACCTGACCTTTGACAACTTTATCGTCGGTGCGTCGTCACTTATCACTATGACGTTTCTTCCAAAACCGCCTCTTACCATCGGCGGCGCTTTACGCCCTGCCCGCTCGCTTGTTGCAATACTGTCGCTCCACCACTAGGCTTGGCGTTGCTTAGCAGCAACACGCCGCATCAAGATGCTTGGCTGCCTCTGCGTTCCGAATTCATCTTCAAGGTTGGTCAAGCTGCTCATTTTTACGCCACCATGGCTGTTGCCTTGTGCTACTCGCCGCCAGAGCGGGCACAAATGAATATCATCCCCCCGCTTCTTGTCGGCTTCCGACACTTCTTTGTTGTTCTCCTGTCGAGTTGCTTGAATATCACGAGTCCGTGCAACCTTGCTGAGACCATGTGCACTGCTGACCCTCCCCTGCGTAGTACTATGACAGTAACCGTGACGATCTCCTGCAGCTGGATGAGATCCTAAAGATGTTTCAAGATGCCTTTCCAGGTGCGGCAAGCACCAAACGGCGTCAAGATCTTGCCTTGTGCTTTCCTCTCGCTCACTTTTTTTCAAACCATGACTCACCTTTTTCTGGACTGACATCATGATGCATTCCACTTGAAGCGGCCAATGATGAAGAGTTGGCACGAGAGATCAACTCTCGGCTCAACGTTGTCACCATTCCACTCGTTGACTTTACTCAAATGATCAAGGTGTGCTCTCAGCAATCCACACACACCGACTGCCTTTCCCCTCGCCTGCTCACGTCATATCCAAACACGGCAGGCCGATGGAGCGCTAGCCTTTGCGACCGATCTGTGTCGGTATGTGTGTGCCAATGTCTGGCGACTGTTTTTTTTCCTCCATGCTTCGAGCTCTTGCGCCATGCCAGCACCTCCTGCTCTCATTGGGTATTATATCATCTTGCAGTGCCAGCATCTCGCTACATCTGGATGATGATGCGCAGGCAGCAGATATGCGAGAGCTCTCCTTAAACGGAGACAACAGTAGTACGTGACACGGCTGCATGAGTGCCAGCGCTCACCGTTTCTTCTCATGCCTCATGTATCGCGTGCAACAAATCAGGCCGTTCAGGGTCGGTGTCACGCCGTCCTCCTGGTGCCGTTGATTTTGGCGGCAAGCGTCGCGACAGTGCGTTGGAGGAGGATCCCCTTCAATCGGTCGCACCTACTGGTGATGACGACGATGAGCAAGATTTGGACCGCGAGCATCTCATATCCAGCCTGATTAGTTCAATCGATCGCGAGCATATCCTTCTTCGCGACAGCCGTCTCGGCGACCCAGAGCTTGAAGCCGTGCGTGCCCGCTCCTGCTCTTGCCCCAAACTCCCGACAGTCTGTATTTTCTATCAGCTCCATTTGTCGCTTCTACACCCGTCTCTCTCGTTTGACTGTCCGTGCATGCGTCCCATGTGTGCTTGCCTCTCTTCGTGCACAGCTGGCAGAGATGTTCCTGATGTACGCAAGTGACAATCCAAAGCTGCTGACTAAAGAGCAGCTCAGCACCCTTTTAACGGAAGAGCTCGGCGTGGCTCGCGATGATTGTGATGTGTATTATCGCGCATTTGCCCTCGACGATGAAGCACCCAACGCCAACACCATCTCTTTTCGGTTCGAATTCTTGCCTCGCGCACAGCCTTCACGGACCCATCGGGGCCCCCTTTTGTTGAATTTCACAAGGCACAGATGTGCTCATGGGTTTGTGTCCCACTTCTGTCCCACGCTTTTTTCTCTCCCCCCCACCCCCAGTGCGTTTGCATGTGGCGTGGCCGCCGCACAACCCATCACCCCAAACTCGAAGGAGCGCCTCCAATATGTCTTTCGGGGCTATGCCAACCCTTCGTCGCGCCGCTTGGACTTTCCGTCATTTCGCCGCATGGTCCTTCATATCCAGGCTTATCTTGGCGGTGACACTTCAGCTGATGCAGTCGAGTCAGTTGCTTTATCGAGTGTCTTGCTTATTCATGTTTGAATCCCCTCAATTCTTTGACATGTGCCAAGCTGTCGCTCTTTTCTTATGAATTGTGGTCTCGATCACAGCCGCGCTGCTCGCGAGGTCTTTCATGAGTCTGGCATTGACCTCAACTCGGGGTTCATTGACGAAGCACAGTTTATTCAGGCATGCCTGCTTGAGGCACATGGTCGTGGATTCCGCGGCAGCGGCGGGCTTCTTCGCGTCACCGCCACTGGTCAGTGTCCCAGCGATACACTTTGCAAGCCTCATCATCAGTGGCTGCTCGTACCTGCTCATGCGTGCGCTGAAATGACACTCGCGGGGTGCAGAGAGCGGTGCCACACAATTGATGAGCGCATCAGAATGGGATGGCCCAACTCCTTCGCCTAAGCGTGTGGCTGGTTCCAGCGGCAGCCGTCTGGCGCATCAGGTGCTGACGTTTGCCTTGTCATGCCTGCTGAACACCCATTATTCTCGCGCGCGCACTCATTGTCTGTCGTATCTCCTTTGCTCTTAGCTCTCGCCCGTTGGGTCACCTTCGGGTCGTGTGCATATTCGCCGCAGTGCCGTGTACAAGCTGGGCGCGCGTACGTCCTCTACGGCCAATCATAGTTTTTCTTGGCAGTGCTCTCTTCCTGATCTCATTTCTCCATGAATTCTCCTTTCCGTTCCGTATTTTGCCTTCCAACCCTCTGTAGTGCCTCATTCGCCGGCATCCAAGGCTAAGATCACCCAGGCAATCATGGAGGCGCCCTCGCCTGTAGCTGGTGTGGTGCGTTGCATTTATTTCGTCCATGGCATGGCCAGAATTGCGATCTTCTGGCCTCTAGTCGCTTTTTTCCATGGCGCTGCTTATTTCATGGCGCCCCCTTTTTTTGGACTCGACTTTTCTCTTCTCATTTGCGTGCTTCGTTGATGGGGGCATCCTTCATCACAATCTTGGTGGGATTCTAGCCTTCGTATATCATTGAGCTGGCCACAGAAGTGCTGAACGAGATGCTGAAACCCGAGTACTTGCACAACTTAGGTATGTGGGTATCGTTCTGTACAACTTCTCCCTCAACACCTTGGGCAGCAACAAGGTAGTCTGGGTTTCAGTATATGCTGGGAAGGCTCATGTCGCTGCCACATCTCGTTGCCCTTTGCGCTTTGGTTTCAGATGATCAAGTGAGCGACAAGTTTACTTTGATCAAGTTTGCCGAGCTTGAGGCTCTGCTCGCATGTGCTGAAACAGCCTTGAAGCAGGTCGATACACTGCTTTGCCATGTCCATGATGTCGTTTTCTTGTGACTGGTGTGAACTGCATCACCGGCTGATGATGGCTGCCTCGCGACCGCTGCGTCGTCTGGGCGGGTTCGTTTATAGGATAGCACCGTTCTCAACGTGTTGGCCCCGGTCAAGGTCTTTGGTGATATTCACGGCCAACTGGCAGATCTGTTGACGTTCTTTGACACTTATGGCTCACCCAATCATCACACGGGTGACATTCACGCCCTTTCGTACCTCTTCATTGGTGATTTTGTTGATCGAGGCAAATTCTCCCTCGAGGTTATGACCTTGTTGTTGTGTCTCAAGCTGCGCTATCCCGAACGCGTTTTTCTCGTACGCGGTACGCAACTACGGCTGTGATTCCATCCAGTCTCTCTCTACCCCGCTGGAGCCGAAACCACGAGTGCATTATTTGTCTTGCATTCATGGCTGGCAATGTGTTCGCGTCCACGCCGCAGGCAACCATGAAGATGGCGATGTCAATGCCTACTTTGGCTTCAAGGATGAGTGCCTGGGTCGCTTAGGTCCTACAAACGGGCATACCATCTGGGAGCGCATGAACAAGGTATGCGACATTTCCTGTTTAGAGCTCCATGAGCTGTGGTCATGCGCTGCGCACTGCGCGTGTCGGAACTCACAGCGCTTCTTGCAGGTTTTCGGCTGGCTTCCATTGGCCGCCCTAGTGGATGAAAAAATTCTTTGCGTTCATGGCGGCATTGGCAAGGCAAGTCTGCCTCGCGTCTGCAAGGGCAAGGGCAAGGGCTCGCCCGTCCTCAATTCCGTGCTCGAGCTCGAGGCCTCTCGGGGGATTCAGATTGATTGAGACTGGGTCATGTTTTGTTGTTTTGTCGCTGTAGGAGTTTACAAGCGTGCAGCAGCTGCGTGACATTCAACGTCCTCTGCCACAGCCCATGACGTCGAGCTATGCGGCCATTTTGCGCGATGTCCTCTGGGCAGATCCGACAGATAATGACTATTCACTAGGTAGCACCTGTTGGCTGCGTCAGACCTGGTACCTCGCTCCTTCCATGTATCTTCCAGACACTGATGCTCACGCCACCCGCCCGCGGCACTTGTGGCTGGTGTATCAGGTATTCATGCCAATACAATTCGCGGATCGGAGATTTGCAACTTTGGGCCCGATCAAGTCGAGCGGTTTTTGCAAGAGAACAGTAAGTTGCGCACGAAAGACAAGCCAACTCGAGGATTCCCGTCATCAAGTCTGTTCGGTGTGCAGCACGGCCCACCAACACTGATAATATGAATGGGGTTCGTGTAGATCTGCAGATGATTGTTCGGGCGCATCAATGCGTGATTGCCGGTTACGAATTTTTCGCCAAGCAGCAGCTCATCACTGTGTTTAGCGCTACCAACTACTGTGGTCGGTACGGCAACGATGGCGCCATGTTGACAATCAATCGTGAACTCGCCGTCGCCTTTAGCGTCATTCGGCCCGGAGATATGCGCTCGACCTGGGCGGCTCGTCAGCCCACTTCGCCGCTGCCACCCAACTTCAGTGACGCTGATGCCGATGACGCTGAAGGTGTCCCAGGCCAGGCGTAGTGGTTGAAATGTAGCCTGGCGTGTGCAGGGCCTGAGCCACTGACCACCACTTCCTTCCGAGCTTACCCGATTAACAATTCAGACCTGCCTTCATCTCCATTGGCACATTCTCTTCCATCTTGTCAGCTTGAACGGTCTCAGGCTTCCGCTGAAACTGGTTCTGTTTGAAAGACACGAATCGCAGCTCCCCTCGCACCATTCTGCACTTTTGTGGCATCGATCAATTTGATAAAAGCAACAGCGAGCGACACAGAAGACAAATATGGGTGGCGCAGCCACTCGAGCACTTTGAGCGCTTGGGCTGAGCGCCCAGTGCCGGGAAAAGCAAGGTTTGTGCGGAAAAGTACCACAACCAAGGACAAGATCAAAATCGGAAAACACGCAAGATCAAGGCCGGAAAACATTCGGATGGTGTTGGAGAGAGCAGGCAGCGAGAGATCGCTACACCTGGCTAGATGTATCGAGTTTGGTTGACAAGTTCAACGGCAGGGCAGGCTGCGGTCGACTGGTGGTTTCATCGACTTGCGTCAAGCGACGGGTCATGGGGTTGCCATTGGAATCTGACGAGGCCGAAACGTTGCGCGTGTCCATGAGCTCTCGATAAATAATAATCGCCTACAAAGACCGACAGGGTGGTTAGGTATGTATAACTGGCACCGTTGAAGATGGGGCAATGAAAAACATTGTGCTGTGGCAAAATATGTTTGGGTTGCTGGTGAAATTATGCAAACCTTGAGCATGTTGTAGATATCCTTAAAGGCAGGTCGCTTGTGTGGGTCAGGGTCCCAGCCCGAGCGCATGATCAAGTAAAACGCGTCATCGCACCGGGTTGGTTGACTCAACCGGTACCCATTCAAGACCTGAGAGTCATCAGACATCCAAGTGCAAACAAAGGCATCACACCATCGCGCAATCGCGATCAGCTACTTTGCTCAACATACTGAATCACACGGTGGCCAAACACAGCGTACCTCCATTTGAACCTGGAAATTTGACTTGGGGCCATACGGTCGTTCGCCGTGGGTGAAGATCTCCCACATGGTAATACCGAAGCTCCAGACTACGGTCGAGGGCATCAAATAAAGTCAGTCAAGGAAGAGATTAAGCAACCGAGTATATTTCTTCAACGGTGGTCTCAACAAAAGCACTCAAGCCGCATAGATGGGGCGCAGATAAGCAATGGCAAGGACAAACGCCGGGCTTGGCATCAAGACCAGGTGAGAGAAGAGCAGATGAGTTTGCTGCACAGGCGTACCATCGGTTGCTTCAGAAAACTTGCGTGACACGACGGCCTCGGGAGCCGTCCAGCGGATGGGAACCTTGGCGGAACTTGCCGTGTAGTAGTCATCGGCGTTGGCCACGCCACGGGACATTCCAAAGTCCGAAATGACACAATTAAAGTTGCTGCGCACCCCACACCAAAAGGCAGATCAAACAAGACGCAAAAAGAGGGAATGAGCTTTCGCCACATCAAGGATTGTGGTCGCTCGGGGTGATCTGCCGAGCAAGCCTGGGCGAGACAGACACTTACTGTTCCAAAAGAATGTTTCGAGCGGCAATATCTCTGAGATTGGGGCAAAGTGTGGCACACAACCATCAGTCATCATGGGGTGCACGGTCGCACATGAATACGTGCCAGCAACTTCTCCAACAGCCCAATAGGCACGCACCGGTGCACAAAGTTGAAGTCAGCCAGGTAGCTCATGCCACGCGCAATGTCCAGGATGAAAAAGGGAAACCAGGATTCATTGGCATCCTCGCGGCGCAGGTACAGTTCAAGCGATCCGTTGGGGCAGAAAGGCATCACGAGCACAGGACTCTTGATCGTCACTGCCCCCAAAAGGGTCAAAACCTGCGTCGTCAGACATACGGGTGAAGAGCGGCGGGGCGCAAAAGTGGGGTGACCTCAGTTTAAATGGTCACGGTGAGGCACCCGCTTGCTGCTTTCTCAGTTGTCCCGGCAATCATGTTCACCATACATACGTTGGGGTGATCAAATTGGGCTTGCAAAGACGCCTGGGTAGACAGTGTTCCAAGTACAAGTGAGGCGCTGAAACCAGGCACCAGTCAAGTGCGGTACTTTTGACTCACCTCTGCCAGCAAGTTAATGGCCTCTCGACGATCAGCTGTCTTCTTGAGCATCTTGACAGCTACTTTGATGGGTGTCTTTCCCTTGAGTGGCGGATCCACGCCTGCGGTTGACTTGGAAGGCAGCTGGGTTGGATCGAGCGTCGCGAGCCAGACCTCTCCAAATGCACCTACAGCACGTTAAATGATGGGTCCTGGGTTGAGCGTACATAGCCAGCAAAGCCCGACAAGAGCAGCGCAACCAACATATTTTCCCGACCCAAATAGTTCGCGCAATCACGTCTGTACATACATACCAGAGCCCAGAATTTTGTCGAGGACCAGAGAGCGCGAGGGCAGCTCGTAGGGTTGCTTGTTGCGATGGATGTGCCCGTACAACTCTTCGTCATCCTCATTGGAATTCTCTTCCATCAGATCTTGATGCAAGTTCTTAAAGTTGTACGGTTTCTCGCCCAGCACGGCTTGTTCGGCCAGAATTTTATCGACCTGGCGGCGAGCACGCCGTCGCTCTTGGTACACCAGAAGCACGGCGAGAATGATCAAGACCACGACTACGGGGATTACAATACCGACAATGACGTCGGAGCCCGAATCACCCTGGCCACTACTGCTGGCAGCGATTGTAACGGCCTCTGTGTCACTCGCAGGGCCTCGACCTGCTGCTGTGTTGGCAGCGACGCGAAATTCGTATGAAACGCTGCGTTCCTTATCCAAACTGAGGTCATACATGCGCGCCGTCAGGAGCTGGGAGCTCGCCTCTTCACCGTCCACGCTCGTCCACAAAATGTAGGACACGATTTGGCCGTTGGGTTGCGATGGCGGGTCCCAGCTGATACGAACCCCATCGGCCGTCTCAAACGCAGAGACCGTAGGCGCGTCAAAGGGAATACCTTCGGTCGTATTGAATGTGATGGGCGCACTGCGCGGCCCGCGACCCGCACTGGTTCGTGCAGCAATGGTTACATTATACAAGGCAGCTGGCAAGAGCTCGTCGAGCAGCAATTGCGGGGTCGTCGTTGTAAAGGTCCCTTGCTCCTGTCGCCGTCGCCGATTCATCAAAGGTTGTGTAGCAACAGCCTGATCAGCTATGGCAGCACTGTCAACTTCAGCGTCTGGCTCGTCAGGGCCGGCAGCGGCGTTTCGAGCAGCGATGGTGCCGGTGTTATAAGTGCGCCCTACCCGCTCGACGACGACCTCATACGTCACCTCGCCATTGGCGTCGGTGGGCGAAAGAGGGGCCCAAGACAGCTGTGCTGAGCGGGTGCTATCTGTTGCACTGCCAGAGGTGGAGAGGTCAGATACATTCGGCTGCACTGGTGCCACTGCAGGAATGTCTGTCGCCGTCAGAACCACGCGCAGAGCGAATTGCAAAGCACCAGCGCCGGCGTTGTTGATCGCCCGCACCCCAACAGCATAGAGTGTGTTGGGATGCAGTCCAGTCAGCTGAGCTTGTGCTGTACCTGCAGGTGCAGTCACAAGAACGGGCGTACGCGCGCAGCTGGGCAAGGGTGCGCGGCAGAGGGTAGGGTCCGGTGGTGCGGTTGGTGTGGAAGTTGTGGTGGTGCCCACGCTTGTGCTGCCGCTTGGAACCGTACTCAGCGTGGGGACCGTGCTCACACCCGAGCTCACGCTTGTCGGGCTCGTGCTGCTCGTAGTGGAGCGGGTGGTGGATGAGGTGGATGAGGTGGACGAAGTGCTCGTTGACGACGTAGCAATCGAACTTGCCGGCTGCGCTGTCAGCGTGGATCCCTGGCTCGCGTCGACGTCCTCAGTGCCGGGCTGAATGTTGCTTGTGGAGCCGCCATTGGCGGTGCTGCTCGTCGTTGAGGTGGAAGTTGTGGGGGTCGTGGGGGTCGTGGACGTAGTTGTAGTAGAGGATGATGACGTGGTGCTCGTCGTTGAGGTGGTGGTGGAGACGGCATCCGCGCAGGCATTGGATTGTGCAGCAGCAGTTGCGGCCCCGCGATCCGACAGGGGACAGGCGTAAAGCTCGTAATTGAGTAGCTCGCCATTGATGCGCTGTGGAGACTGCCAGGTCAAGGCCAGGTTATCAGTGCCAACTGAGACGATGCGGGTGGCCGTCACTGGCTGAGCTGGGGCCTCGGCCGTTCGTATGCACAGCGGATCAGAGGTGGGCCCGTAGCCCACAACGGTGGCGGCTGCCACCCAGATCGAGGTGAGAGTGTATGGAAGCAAATCGGGAATGGTGAAGTTGACCAGGCCACCATCTTGCCAAGCAACGAGCTCAGTTCCCGTGATACTACGGTCCTCAACAGCCACAGGCTGAGCTGCATCGGCGGGGTGCGGGAAAAAGCTCTGCAGAAGCGTGTTATTCTCTGCATCACCACACTCGCTACTCTGCACCCACGAGACATTGTATTCTACAATCTCGCCATTGGGAAAGTATGGTGGCCGCCAACTGGTGACCAACGAGGTGGCATTTATCGTAGTGCGATTGCCAAGATCTTGTACGGCCTCACCCGGGCGGCTCGGCAGAGTCGTAACGAGAATTGGCGTCGACGCCGGTCCAGCCAGCAGTGCCCCGTTACGCTCAGTGTATGCACGTGCATACAAGCGATATTCAGCATTGGGCTCCACTGTCATGAAAACGAAAAGGGGAAAAAAAACAAAACAAAAAACATCCAGCAATTGAGCATCAGGGATGGCGGAGGAGCAAGCGAAGCCATCGGGGTAGGTCCTCAGCCCCAGAACTAGCAATTGCAAATTCAGCAAAACCAAGTTCCAAAACCATGGCACAACGTACGGTTGGCAACGCTTAGCTGGCCCACTTCGCTGTCATCAGCATCCACCACAATGTCGACTACACATTGTCTCTACACGGAAAAAAAAAAAAAAAAAATTGAATAAATAAAAATCCAACACACCATCCGAGAAGATTACAAGCGTGGTGAGCAGCCCACGTCGGACGTGCGCGACCTTGACTGGTATGCAGGTTCAGGGCCCTGCATGCCTTTGCCATGTTCCCAGTTTCAAACAGTAGCTGTCACACTTACCGCGGCCTGTCCATCAGGGCAAAGCGTGCGAATCGTACTCGTCCACTCGTAGTTGAAGCGATAGCGCACAATCGGTCCCGTGCGCGTGACCGGCGCATATAGTCCAACTGTAAAGCCATTACTCCTGGAAAAACAAAACCCCAAAAGCCAAATGAACAAAAGCAAGAACGAAACAAACCCTTCGGGACGCAAAGGCCAGCAACCGTAATCTCGCAAAGAACTCAAGTCAGAGCAGGTCTTTCGAGTGCAGGCCGAGACGCACCCGAGGCTAGTGACTTGTACCGAGGGCGCCTCGATGGGGGCGCTAACGGCTGTGCGTACGCAGGAGACGGCAAAGCTGCTCGACCCAATTTCCGTGTATGCTTCAACGCCAAAAATATAGTTGGAATAGGCCATCAACCCCGAGGCTGCATAGGCTGTGAAAATCGTGTCGGCACAAACATATTCGAGCTGGGCGAGTTCCTGAATGGTGCAACCGGCACTGGCGTTGGTGCGCCTGGCGTAGCACACACGATAACCCGTAATTTCACCGTTGTCTGGGTCGGGCCGATTCCAGCTGAATTGCAGCGAGGTGGCTTGCAAGTACGTCGCGGGAAAGCGAAGGTCCAACGGAAGGGTGGGACGATCCTCCAGCGTGAAACCACCCACAATGGCAGACGAATCGTAAAAGACGTCGCTGCGGGAGAATGCAATCACATAAAACTGGTATTGGGTATCTGGAACCAAACCCTGCACCCAGAACGCCGTGGTGTCTCTAAGGGAACCACAAAAGAAACAAGAGGCGGATGTCAAGCACAGTGCACGCACTCCGCACCAGGCATGCTTTGAGGACCAGCGAGTTGCGAAAGAGTCGACGAACGCAACTTACGCGTCGACGACCAGGCCAAAACCTTGCGGTGTATCCACGGCCCCGAGAGGATACTTGAGGTCCGTACCGTTGGCCAATTGAAAGGATGGGCCTTGGGCATACAGTGCATATCCGCCCAAGCTCGTTGTTCCTGTCGGTGGCTGCCACTCGATCAAAGCCGCCCGTGAAGTGATGTTGGCAACGCGAACGAATCGCGGCGCATTGCCTATGGGTTTTCAATGAAGAGCCATTTTTGAGAAAGCGAAAGCACACGACGTTGGGAGAGGCATGCATGTGTTCAAGCACCGTAGCCTTGAGTGAGCATGGGCATCACCTGAGCTACGCTGCGTTTCCGGGGCTATGACTGGCTCGGAGAAAGGTCCAACGCCGACTTGGTTGATGGCAGCAATGGAAACAAGGTAAAATTCATTGTACTCGAGCCCTTGAACAACGGTGACACCAGCATCCCCATCGGCTTGGATTGTGAGATTGAGCGGCAGATCGGGCAAAGATTGCGGAGTCACGATGAGGAAGTAGGCCGATACCTGACCATTCTGGTCTTGGGCATCAAGGCCATCCCAACGGACGAGCAGGTTGTTTTCGATGGCGTTGATGGTCACGATAACAGGAGCCGCGCTCGGCAAGGCGGGTGCGGTTTGGAAGGTACTGAATGCCGACGTGGGACCCGAGCCAGCGTCATTCATAACAAGCAGCGAGGTCTGATACACTTGATTGGGGCGTAGGCCCTCCACGGTAACGGGCGAGGCGGTCGCGTTATAGGTCACAATCTCCTCAGTTTCGCCATCCACTTCGGCCACGCGCGCGACTTGAATCAGGTACACAAGCGAAGCCACTGGGCCGTTGATAGCCCCCGTCAGAGGCGTCGTGGAAAACGACAGCTAGGTCGAGCCCACGCGTAGATGAGCACGAGAGACGACCCCAATGTCGGACAACGTAAGAACATGACAGAAACACCGCAAGAGTTGCCAAAGGTCGGTGATTTGAGGCAGCGGGAGCGCCAGCTCAATCACCAGCCATGACGAGAGGGCAGGGGCAGTAGCAGTAGCAGGGACAGGGTATTGAAGGCAAAGCGGTCTCAAGGTGAGATATCACACAGTGTACTCGCTTCGTACCGTGACATTTCGTGACCCACGACGAACAATGGCGGGGGCCGCCAAGACGGCTGTGGGTGGTGCCGAGAGTGAAAGAACTTCAATGTTATTCGGCAAGCTGGCGCCGGCGCTGTTGATGGCCACGACCACGATCGCATACTCGGTGTACGGGGTGGCGGGGATGGTAGCCGTCAAACCCGTGGCCTGTGACGAAAGGAAAAGCGCGCCCACAGCGAAATACAAGGCACATGATTCTGTCAGACGCTTGGCCTTCTTTGCCAACTCATGAGGATCCTTGCAGCTTCATGAAAGAACGACCAAAGATACGCACTGAGATGGTGAGCGTTTCGCCCACAGAGTTGGCAAAGGCACGCGTGACGTTGTATGAGGTCACGATGCCATTGGGCAGCTCTGGAGGAGCCCAGGTCAAGGTGATGGACGTCGACCTAGAACAGGTGAAGGGAAATGCAAATCAAATGAACATGGCGGTCACCTTTTTCTATTCTTACGGTTCGTTCACGAGCACATGCACGTGCAGGCCACACGTCGTTGCCCGTGCTCGTGCACGTGAAAGCGATAACTCAAGCGGATACACGAGCGTACGTGATGTTGACGGCCTCAAGGGAACGAACGGCGGAAGCTTGTCCTTGTGCTGTTGTGAACACGACGCCCATACTTGCCGGGCCGATACCCTCGATGTTTTGAACGGCCACCGTCACCGTGTATGCGCGATATGGCCGAAGGGCAGTCAGCATCAGGCTCGTCGTGGTTGGGTCCTGTGAGGAAGCAGGTAGGCCCGGGCTTGTAATGACAACACGGTAGCTTTGCAGCTTGCCGTTGAGCGTGAGTGGTGGCGGTGATTCCCATGACAGTTGAGCTGTGGTGGCTGTTATCTCAGAAACCGCCACGTTCAGCGGGGGTGCACTGGGAATGGCCGCGTCCGTGTCCACGCCGACAGGAAGGGAGAAGGAAGAATTGCTGCGAGAATCGGCGTATGAGGCCCACAGCGTGTACGAGCTGAACTCTTCAAGGTCGCAGAGATAAAAGGTGTTGCTTGCATCACACATGAGGGTTCGGTAGAGAAAGTTGAGAGGGTCGTCCTCCCGCGAGGCAATCAGGAAGTGGGTACCACGCGGCCCACATTCCAGTTCGGTGCAGGTGGCATTTGTGTTGATGTGAAGGAGCGTTGGCGCAGGGGGCACCTGCACTGCTTGTGTCGCGGTGATGCCGGCAACGGCGATGGTAGCACGCACGTAGACCCCGCTGCCAACCGTAAGCGTGTAGGCCTCCTGACCCACCACGCGGATGGAAGAGGTGGAAGCATTGTTGATAGTGATGTTCAGAACAAAGGTGGCATTGCCCACCACGATATTTTCAGTGGTCCAACTGATCTGCAGTTGTGTCTGGCTCGCAGTTGGGCGCCCCTGGGTCGCACGAACAAACTGATATCTCAGAGGGTCTAAGACAACGGAGGCAGGAATGCGTGGATCTTGCAGGGTCGTAAAGTTTTGTTCAACAACCTCGCCCGCCCCATACGTTGTGTTGAGCACTTGAAACTACATAACCGGGCGATGACGAATGAGACGGGCGGCCTTTGATAAGTGCCATGTTCCGTGAGAGCCCCCCTCTCAAGGATAAGGGAGGGGGGGCCACAAGCAGCAAGGCGTCTCGTTTGGATAGGACGGATAAGACGGATAGGACAGGTAAGAACCAGCCCACATCAAGCACTTTGAAAACTTTACCAACCTGGAAACGGTAGGTGCGCAAGGACAGAAGGTCGGCCGTGATCCTAGCGGTTTGCGTGAGAGGAATGTCGTGCTCTTCCACAAAACTAAGAAAGCCATCCAGACCATGTGCGCAAGGTGAGCGTGATGATGAGTTTCCCAGCAGGCAGGCTTTGGGCACGGGGCACGGTCGGAGGACCATCAACCTACTCGAAAAACATGGTGCGCACGGTTAAGCGAAGGTATGCATGTTCCACACCATCTTCCTCATTGAGGCTGGGTGGTTGCCAGGCAAGAGCGATAGCGTCGAACGTAACGTTGGTGGCGACAATGTCCGTCACAACGAGGTTCGGCATGGGCTGCGTGGCGGCGCGTACTACCACCGGGGTGCTTGCACATGCCAGGCAATTGCCTCGTGTTTGCAAAGTGATGGTCACCGTTTCATTTGGCCAAAGTTGAGTCAGGGTCAGGTTGTTAGCGCTGGTGGGCAGAGTCAGGGTACCTGCATTGTTGCTTTGGGAGGAAGTGTAGCTGAGGTCGATGGCGCGGGCACGGTTGTCATCGCTGGCCAATGACCAAGTGATGGTGGCTGTGGTTGTTGTGGTGCTAAGGACTACGTTTGAGACGGCTGGGGCAGCGGAAAGAAGGGTCTCAAGAGTGGCACTGTCGTTCACGACGGAGGATTCGTTTAGCGTTATGGTGGCGGTGATGGCATAGGTAGCACTTGATTCAACACCAAAGGTGATGGCGCGGGGGCGTAGGAGATCGTGGCAGGTCTGCTGAGTGAGTGCCGCCAAAGTCATAGTGTCCTCCTCAGAGCCGCCATCAGCGTCCAGGCGCGTGGCTTGGAGGGTGGTGCGCATGGCACGGCATTGGTCGTTGTACAAGTTGCCCGTCAGGAGCGACAGGTCCCAGCCCACAACGGCTTGTCCCGACGTGGAGAGGGGCAGGACCGGTGTCAAGTCCAGAGACCAGTTGAAGGTCGCGAGCCGTGCTGCCAGCGACGTCGAGGGCCGAAAGTACTGCGCGCCAACAACCTCCACGACTGAAGTAGATGGGACCGGGGTGGTGGTGCTGGTGGCGTTGGGGTCGGGGTTGGTGGTCGAACTGGGGTCATCGTTGTCGGGGGCGGCGAGGCGAGTGGCGACGAGGCGCACCCAATAGCTATGGTCAGCCAGGGTAGGGGCTACGAACTTACGAGCCACGTTGCACGGGTTTGCGTTGAGGGGCACTTCAAGAACGGTTGAGGTGTGAAGGCTCTCCAGCTCAAGGGTGTATGAGGCGTTGGCCAGAGTGGAGCAGTTATCAACGGTGAGCAGGACGCGACTCACGGACCCGTGGTCAAAAGTCAGATTGCCCGCTGGGGCGGCGTTCAGGTCACTCTCGACCAGGGTTGTGATGGGTGCGGGAATTGGAGGTGCATCGTCATCAAGGACCGCGCGTATGTGTATGGTGGCATTGGGCCACAGAGGAACGCTGAATGGGGTAAAGGGGGATGGCTCTTGGGGCAGGAGGACCGTGTAGAGACGGTCGCCGGCGGAGCTGTCGACGGTGATGTTGAAGGCCACGGGCAAGGCGCTAGGGAGGGACGCGAGCATGGCTATTCGAGCTACGAGGGCATGGGGGGCCTGCGTGTTGCCACTTGCAAGCACGGGATGAGCGCCACGACCCAGGATCTGGACGTCGAGGTCAGGAAGCCGGTCAGGCCGGCTATGACAGACGGCATCCTGGGCCGCGACAGGGTCGTTGACTGGTGCACTGGGGTCAAATGCAAAGCTTTCGGTGCTTGCAAGACATGGAGCGAGAAGAACACAGGGTGAATCGAGGTCGGGGGAGGCTGAGAAGCCGGGCACACAAGGCTGGCAAATGGTATCTGCTTGCTGAGAGGCGGGGAGATATGGCTCGGTGCCGGCGGGGCACGGGGAGCCGGCTATGCAAGTCTGAAGGTCAGGGGTATATCGACCTGGGGGGCAGAGTGGGCACGTGACGGAGTCTGAGGCGTTGAGACAGGAAGCATTGACAAGGGCATTGGCGTCTGGGGTGGGATCGGGCGTCAAAACATTTTGTAGACGGATGGTGACGCTCGTGGCTCGCAGAGCGGCGTCGCAGGCGGCTGGATCAGCATCGCATTCGGGGCAGGAGCTGGCGACGGAGGCCGGGTTGAGGGTATATAGGACAAGGACCAGGGATGCATTGGGTTCAGGATTGACGATGCCAGGGTCGACGAGCTGGAGGCGGATGGCACCGGTGGAGAGCCAGGTCCAGGTGTTGGGCAGCGTGGTAGGCTGAAAGGCGAGATGGGGAATAAAGGAGGTGTTGTCAAAGCGAAAGTAGCTGCAGGAGGGCAGCAGAAAAGTGACGTTGAGAGGCAGGCTGCTCAGGTCAACCACAGTGTCAGCGCTTTGCTCCAGCCGCAGGTCAAGGTTGATGGTGCTGGTCGAGCTCTGGCCTCGTGCGGGCGCCAAGCATGAAAGGAGGAGGGTCAAGAGGAGCAGCGAGCACGCAACGAAGGAGAATGGTCTGGTATGAGGCGTCGGTCCGGTCGTGTGCCTCTGCAGCGCACGACGGGAGCGCGCAGCCCGGTCGTCGGGCATGACGGCGGAGCCACCTGGCCAGCACCAGCGGTTGTGGGCGCAAACCAAACCGCCGCGTCAAGCTGCTGGCATCGAGGGTGGGATAGCTCAAACGGCCCGAGCCACGGCATGAACCAGACCGGGGTGCCGGGCGCAAGGGGTCTAGAGTGTCTAGAGTGCGATGAAGAATGTTATTTGGGGGTGGGGCTTGGTGCGCGATGAGATGGGATCGGGCGCTACAGGCACGGGTGAAGCGTGGCACTGGAAGGGCGTGCTGTCTTGACTGGGCAGAAGAAGCGGGTAGTCACACAAGTCGGCGCCAAGGGAGGCGCGCAGCAAACTAACAACAGAGTTTGCCGAAACCAAGCAAGGGCACGCGTGAAAGGAGGCGAGGGTGGGAGCGTGTATGCATGTGATGACGGCGAGCTGTTATCGAATGGGCAGGTCAATAGCATTTATTGGTATTCTGGTGATCACGAGCCACGCACCGACTGGTTGTGAGACGAGGGCAGAGCCGTTCCAAAACGGCAGACCGAGCCTGTCTGTGACCGAGGTGGCCCTATCTGCGAGGCTGCACGCACGCTTCCTCGTCTGAGTGACCGACACAACTCGAGGACTTGCTTGTTGCGTAGCAATGGCGCGGGTCGGGGGTGGTGGTGTCGTCCCAGCGATGACGACAGGAAGAAGAGAGAGGCACAGAGAGAGAGAGAGAGGGACTGCATGCACGCTGCGATGAGCAAGGAAGCAGAACCGGTCTCGCTTCCAGAGCCGAAAAGAGAGAGAGAGAGAAGCACGATCGAGTTTCGAGTCGCCCACTGATCGAGAGAGAGAGAGAGAGAGAGACGCACGAGCGTACACACACACACACGACACGTTATGGTGTTGCAGGGGCAACATTCGGTCATCTGCATACATGCACCTGGTATGCATGGGCAAGCGTATCCATTGTCAGATGTATTTGTCAGATTTATGAGCCCGACCAGAGTTACGTGTGCATGCCTTGTTGTTATGGTCCACGACGACAACCCTTAACTGCAAAACTCCAATGTCAGACGATATCTGGATTGTGCTGTTTTCGTAGCAAGTTGTGTACTTATTGTAGATATGAATGAGTTCTCAGAACTAGTTTTTGTAGTGTAGTGTAGAGTTTCTGCGTGATACTGTGGTTCTTGTTGCAACGACACACAAGCACAACGGCTCCATGTCAGTGGGGGCATAAGTAACCGCACCAACACAACACAACAGCTTCTTCAACTTCTTCAACCACCACTGCATCAAGTACAACGGGCTCGCCCTTGGTGGCCGCAGGAACGACCCGGGACTGTGGCAACAACTGTAGTTGTGGTCAATGGGGACCACTTTGTTTTATTTTTTTATTATTTTTTTTTGCGCCGTCACTCGCGTCAGTCGTCGCCGGGTGCTCGTTGCTGATCGCCTTGAAGTCTTGACTGTCGCGGTTTCTGCGGTCGTGATACCTGTGCTTGCGTTGGCGCCGCTCTCGGGTTTACGACGCTGCTCTTCCTGCTTGTGCATTCATTCGTCTTTTGCGATCCGCACACACACACAGAGCACAGGTCCCTCGGTCGCTGTTCAGACCCTTCTCCTCTCCTTGACTGTTCACGTTCAGCTCAGCCAGGTATGCTTGCGTGACGTCGGTCGCGGGGGGCGTAAGGGACCCACCCGGCATCGCAACGCTTCTGCAAACAGAGGCACATTTCCTGCCAGACAACCCATTTGGCTTGGCGTTGCCTGCATATGAAGCCGCAGCAAGAGCTGAGGACTCGCCCCTCGGTTTGCGTTGGGTCGATCTGCCACGCCACCGTCACCGCCACCGCCACACCTCACCCACCGCCCTCTCCTCAACCCGTGTTCTTGCGGCACAGACTTGACTGACCAAATCAGCCATTTAGCGCCGGTTCTGCACCCGGCATCGCCTTTTGCTTTGCCCCTCCCCAACCGGGGGTGGGCCACGCCACGCTCTCCTCTGCCTTGAGTCTCTCAAGATGGCAGACGATACGCCCCGAATTGTCGCCCCGTCCGCCGTTCCGTACGTGGCAACACCCGCCCCCTTTGCTCATAGTGCCGGCATGATGTCCACTCACTTGACGTTCACCCATCCTCGATTCAAACTCCCTTTTTAGACCAAAGTCCTACTTTCACAATGTAGTGGCATTGTTTCAACGCGTCGTACCAGACGGCCGCCAAAAGTCGCCTCCCCGCCGTGAGCCCGTTCGCTTCGTCAAGCTCCAAGAACTCATTGGTATGCTTCTTGCTTGCCCTGACAACCCCTCTTCGATCCGGAAATGCTGCCGATCACCAACTCCTTGTTGCTGCTGATCTTCCCTTCTCTGTATGTTGGTCTCATCTAACATATCCCCCTGCATCGGCCTTGTAGTGCAAGGGCAGCGCCGCATCTACATTATCGTGGCCTACCGTGTTGGTGCTCAAGTCTGGCTATTCGACGACAAAGGCGTACGTGGCTCGTCACCACCCTGCTCTGTTTGACAAGGCCTTGGTGGGATGACAGAGAAGAAAGGGGGAAAAAAAAAAACTCAAAAAAAGAAAGGCAAAAGAAGAGGCACACAGACACACTCGCACAACCTCGCCCTACCGCGGTCAATATAAACCTCACGTTTCCAATCTAATCACAGAACGCGCATGAGATCTTCTCCCTGACTGATGAAGTGGTGGACACGGCTTGCTTGCTACCGGATGCGGACGATGTGCTCAAGGCCCACGAGAGCGAGTTTCGCCCCCTCTTTATTCGCGCCCATGCAAGTTGCCTTGCTTCCACAGCGCAACATGCCACCTCGTACCTGAGATGTCTTTGCTGCGAGCCCTGCTTTACTCCAACCCGTGCCCTTAACTCACCCAGCGACCAAACCGGCGTCGTGCTCTCGCTGACTTAATCTACCAACATAGGCCGATATGATTTACTTTCACTCTCTGGTTACCCATCAACCCATGGGCGCAGACATTCAGTGCAAGGAGCCCCCCCTTGCCCTCGCGGCCAATCGGCATGCCATCGCCATTGTACGCCCTCTCTGCGGCCCGCCGTCTTGTCTGTGCTCCAGGCTTGGCTGGGGCTATTTGTAGGAATGACCATTGTCAGGAATGACCACCTTTGCTCCCCCCCCCCCACC